TCGTGGCGTAACTTAATCTACCGAGCTATATATAATCCGTACTAATAAGCCTTATCGACGCCTACTTAGAGGCGACTAGACTTCTAAGATGCTTAAATTCGTAGCTATATTTCTAAACCTCGATACTATGTCTATTACCGGAACTCCTAGTGCTAGGCTTAGGAATAGTCCGCGGCTCTTCCGTCTTGCCGATCCTACCGGTAATTATTAGTTAACTTCCGTAAAGCTATTTAGCTTCTCGGTAGGTACTAGTATGATTATAGTGCCCGGCCGTATCCTAGATACTCCTCGCGTAGGCTATAATTCGAATTCGAAACCTAGTATACTATAGAAGGACTGCTAGAACTTATAGAGCGTTAAGTTTACTAGACCTAGAAAATTTAACAAGTAGTCGGTCCTAGTTACTAACCGTAAGAGCAATCGAGGCAGTGTACTATATAGTAACCTAGGTAGTCCTAAAAAGGCCTTTATAAAGCTCTACGGTAGTAAAGAGAAGTATCCGAAGATAACCGTAATTATCGTTAGTAAGCGTTACTATACTCGTTTCTACCCGACTCGTAGGTAGGATACATATAATAACTGTTAGAACCTACTCGTAGGTATAGTCGTCGACTATAGTATCGCCGACAAGATCTATATAGGGTCGGGCTATAGGCACATTTAGGACTTTAAGGCACAGCACGACCCGCTTACTACGTAGTTACTAAGGACGAAATTAAGTTTAAGGCGGATAAACTTTAGCAATTTATATACTACCTCTGCTACCTCTTTAGCCGTACGATAAAGGCTATGTCTATCTACCTACTAGTATACTACGTAGACCTTCTTTGCGAGCGTAGCTATGCCTATTTGTTTAGCGTCCTAGCTAAGAGTTATAGCAGTAATTCTTTAGTCTTTAACGCCGGATAAGAGTAGTCTCGTCTAGAGGATAAAGAAGAAGAAGAAGAAGAATTCAATATTAGGAGAATAAACTTTAGCAATTTATATACTACTACTACTACATCTTTAGCTATACGACTAAGGCTGTGTTTACCTATACTAGATATATACCTTAGCAATCTAGCGCCCGGACTCGATATAAACCTAACAACGCCGTAGGCTCGGATCTAGTACTAGTACACCAAAAGGGCGTACAAGGCTACAATTATTATTAAGCAGCTAATCCCTTCGTTATAGGCGAAGGCAAATAGCTCTACCTATAACGAAGAGGTTAGCTACTTAATAATAATTGTAGCCTTATATACCCTTTTAATATACCGGTGCTAGATCCGAGCCTACGGCGTTGTTAGCCTCGACCTTCGTTAACTACGGTATAACTACGACGGCGACGAAAATCCTATAGTACTTCTACCGAGAATTATAACGAGATGCTATAAAAGACAAGAAACTATATAGCGGAACCTAAAGCAGTACGGAACTCGTACGAGTCGAGACTAATTAGGCTATCCGCCGCGAGTTAGTAGCAGTAATAGTAGCAATAGGATATAGATCTAGTAGCCGAGAGGCTAGATAGGACAAGGAAACTAGATAGCGGGAAGTAAAGCAGTGTAGAACTCGTACGACTCTAGGCCGAGTAGGCTATCCGCCGCGAGTCGGTAGTAGTAATAGTAGCAATAGGATATAGATCTAGTAGCCGGGAGGCTGGATAAGACAAGGAAACTAGATAGCGGGAAGTAAAGCAGTGCGGAACTTATACGACTCTAGGCCGAGTAGGGTATCCGCCGCGAGTCGGTAGTAGTAATAGTAGTAATAGGATATAGATCTAGTAGCCGGGAGGCTAGATAAGACAAGGAAACTAGATAGCGGGAAGTGAAGCAGTGCGGAACTTATACGACTCTAGGCCGAGTAGGGCATCCGTAGTAAGTCGGTAGTAGTAATAGTAGCAATAGGATATAGATCTAGTAGCTAGGAGGCTAGATCGGACAAGAAACTAGATATTAGAAAGTTAAGCAGTACGGAACTTATACGAATCGAGGCTAAGTAGGCTATCTATAGCGAGTCGGTAGCAGTAGCAGTAGTAGTAGAATACTAGGATAGTAGCTAGGATAATAATTTTAACTAGTAGTAGCTAAACTCTTCGGCACTACATTAATCTATATTAAGGCCTATCGCGATAAAATGCATAGGCATACGTATCTATAATTAAATTAGTCGCTATATATGCCGGAATGTTTTAAGTTACTTCTAGGTAATTCGACAATCCGCGAAGGCGTAGTTGCCGCTAGTATATAGGATATAGGTTAGTCTAGCGCTAACCGAGCGTCTAATACGAAGACGGTAATACTGGAAAATAGCATCGTAATATAGCAGGATATAAGTTTGATATATTAATAGTATTACCGAAAAGTGCAGGCTAACTCTAAGATGCCGAGTCGTAGTGTTAATCCGCCCCTAAATTATTAATCGACCCCGAACTTAGCAACCCTATATATAAATAATACATATATCTATACTAGACTAGTAGTGCTCGTACGCTATCCTACGATAGCATGCAATACTGCCTTAAGCCGACCGTAGCAAACGTTTATCGTGCTGCTTAGAGTTAGCGGTAGCTAAACATTCGAGTTATAGTAAAACGTACTTCTTTAGACACTATCGATATACTACTTATCTACGCCGCGGACTAAAGTAATAATACGATCCTTACTAGCGTCCTAGTCTAATATACTGCCGTCCGGAAACATAATATAGTCGGCGAGCTTAGTATTAGCTAGAACTAGATCGTATAGGAGGTATATAAACTAGTCTTCTAGGTACGAGCGATCGAGTAGCAAATCCTTATTAGCGAACTAGCCTATAAAATAGAAAGAGGCACTAGTAGTAGTGTAATTGCTGCCGACTAGAAAACAGTAGACGCGAGCATTGTTACCCTCCCCGGCCTACTAGTATAGAAAGCCGATTAACTCTAGGTTATAACCTACAATATCCTATTAAGTATAGGCGAGCGAGTAGGTAATACCCGGCTAAAGCACCTATATCGACACGATTAGCTCTAGATCTCGCTACGTCGAAGATATAGTCTAGTATAAGGGCAATTCGACCCCGACCGGAAACATACCTAGCCGATCTTAATACCTAGAACCCTAAAGCGGGTTAGAGCCGCGGGCTCTAGCTAATAGAATAGTGCTATTAGCTAGGGAGCGGATAACTAGCGCACTATCCCTAGAGCGACGCGAGACCCGATACTTAGCTACGCTAGAGGTTAAGACATAGGATAATATTAATAAGTCGGCGTATAGGTCTGTATAATAGCGTATATATAATAGCGTGTATATAATAGCGTGTATGTGAAAATCAAATAGAGTCGACAGGATAAGGCTTTATACTTCTATCTAATAGGCGCACCGATAGGGTAGTCGTAACTGCTACGAGTCTTAGAGGCCTTAGATTTAATATAAACCGCTTATTAGATGCCGCCTTAAACGACGTCGTTACTAAGTCGGCTAAGCAATACTTACTAGCAGTTACTCGAGCGCTATTCGTTTACTTTGCTTAGGAATACAACCTAGCTATAACATAACTAGAGCAAGCCTTAGTAGTACCGGGCGAATTTAACGTAATTAATAATGCTACGGGGCAGTATTAAACCGGAGCAATGCTACTCCTACACGTATACAGAATTAAACATATATAACGCATTTTACGGTATAATATGCAGGCCTTAGGGCGTTAGAAGTAACGTAGAAGTCTAGTCGAAGTATAGTACGGTCGTTTATATTTAGTATTGATTTTCCGATTAGTCCTAACTAGTAGCCGAGTCGGACGGCGAGTCGGTATACAAATTAGTATTTAAATATTATCGCAAGAGGCGCTAGTAGAGTAACATTAAGTTAGTATAATCGAACGGGATAAATCCGAGATTTTGCCGAATCCGCGGGCTACGAATCGATATCGAGTCGGACCCCGACTTATACCTAACTTCGTAGTAGTAGAGCCTTAGTAACTTCGTATACGTCGACATACGGCAACCCTATAGTAGCTATAGTACTAGCGCCTATTATCGAAAGCTAACTATATATATAGTAATATCTTACTATATCGAATGTAGGTTATGCAACCGGCTGCTTAAAAGCTCCTACGGCTATAAGTAATATAGAAATAAGTGCGAGAAACGCGTCGTACTAAAAGAATTCGCCGAGCACGATTCTACTATAAACAATGCCGCAAAGCGAGCCCGACTTAACTTATATACGATCTAAGGTAGTAACTAGAGCACCGAACAAGCCGACGACAGATCGATACTAGAAGGCATATAGCAAGACGTAAATAAAGAAGGCACAATAGAAGCTGTTCTAGCAATAACATTAACGCTAATAGTACTAGCGCTATAGGAAGACAAGGGAAGTGTAGATAGCATTAAATAGGATAGATATCTTAAATTACCGGAATTCGATATATAGGATAGCCTAGCGGACGAAGACGAAATAGAAAGCGTATAGGCAACTGCCGCCGGAACGACAATAACGCTAGGAAGCTAGAAGTTAATAAGATTACGGCTAATACTAAAAGGCTACTATACCGCAGATAATATCGATGTATTTACCGAATACACTAGCCGTGCCGCTAGCAAGCCTATAGCTAGGTATAGCATAATTACAGTTTAGTATAGTAGAGTGAATACAAGCGCCTAATCTATAAGCAGCGTTAAAATACGAATATAAGATACTTCGGGCGAGTACGGAACATTTAAGTTACTATTCGATATAAGCTTTACGCAATTCTTAAAGAGAGAGAGAATATCCGGACATGCAATTGCGAGGCTTTTCGAAGACGAGAGGCTAGCACTACTGCACGATCTACTAAGCTAGAAAAGCATAAAGGCTATAACGTCGAAACTGCGAGCCGGCGGCATACTACTATCGAGGGCATTAGGTTAAATAAAGGTTCGAAAGCTATACCTTCCGACAAGTCGAACGGGTTATAGCAGTACGGAGCTAGTGCTACGATACCGATCCGTTAAGAAAGCAGTAATGTTCTTAATAGGTTATAGTAGCTTTAGGAATAATCTAGTATATAAGCTATATTAAGTATAGACGACTAACGACCTACTACGGCGAATCTACTCTAATATAGCGTTAGTAGACTAGTAGTAAGATACCTAGAGCAAGATAAACATAGACGGCGCAACGATCGTACCTCTAATCGTATTAACCGATAAAACACAGATAACTAACTACTAAGGTAACTTAATAGTATACCCTATATACCTTACTATCGGAAACCTATACGTACGAGTACGCAACGCGAATAACAGACCCGGCACGATCTTACTAGGACTACTGCCGGTCGTTAAGGATAGCGATAGTTTTACTAAAAACAGTGTATATTACATATCGATAGTATATATATTTCGCTCTGCTATAAAAGTAGCCGACGGCGAGGGCTAGGATATTATATACGCAGATAGCGCGACGCGTAGGTGCTTTCTAATCTTAGTAGTAATATTAGTAGACTATAAAGAGCAAGTTGCAATTACCGGAGTTAAGATAAACATACATTGCCTAAGTTGCCTAGTATACCCGATAGAACGAGAGCACCTCGATATTATAGCAGAATAGCGGTTATACGAATCTACGAAGTAGCGACATCTAAGGTAACGCAAAGGCGAATATATAGCGAAGGATCCGTAGAACGTCTACGATATCGATTGCTTTATATAGCGCTAGAAATACGTCGATATATACTAGTCTTTAGTAGTAGACACACTATACTAGCTACTAAAAGGAGTGCTAATACACGCAATCTAATAGACTACGGACCTACTAGTAGACAAGATAAGCTATATAAAAACGAGGAGATACCGACTAGTTACCGACTCGACCCCGAATAGGGGCCTATCTACTAAAACAAGAAAGCTAGGGAAAATAGTAGTATAAGGGATTATCGATACGATACTAGACAGACGGTTCGTATATATACCCGTATACACTAATCTTCGCAAGTTCTGCTACTACTTAGCAGTTACTTAGTAGATAGGCTAAGAGTAGCAAAGCGTCCTACGAGTCTTATTAGTTATATTTATACTACTGCTCGAAGAGGTCCGTTAACCGTAGGCGATAAGATTTCTATATATACTAGTAGACTTTACCGTTCTAGCGATATATAGATGCTATAACGACGAAACAGTTAAGTATCTTAGGATAGCATTGCACCGGATAAACGAATAGAAGAATGTGTTTCGCCTATATAGAGTAATAAAGGCATAGAAGAGGGCCTAGCGGGAGGCGAAGGCTGCTACGCGAAGAACGAACGACCTAAATAACGACGATACGGTTATAATAGACGAGGACGACGAAGCTAACGAGCTAATAATAACACAAATAGAAGGGCACTTTAATATACCGAAATTCTACGGCATAACACATGCCCCGAGCTATATTAAGACGTTCGGCAATCTTCTAGACTTAAATACTAGCTATTTCGAGCACAAACACTATAAACTACTAAAGCTTGCATTTCGGCTAATAAACAAGAAGCCTAGCTAGGAAGAAAGTATACTAGATAGCGATACTAATAGATTAAATATATAGGCTAAAGACGATAAAGAATATATAGCAATCCCTACAAATGCTCGCACTATTAAGGAGTATACGCAACAGCTAATAATGCTAACTGCAGTACGGCTAGTAGAGGACATCCTAGGATACTAGCTCGAGAAATAGAGGGACGGAAAGAAATCGGTTAAGTAGATTACGATAAGGGAGGCTACAGCTACAATAGAAGAGAACTTAGGTCGCGACTTCTAACAAGCGATTACGGTATTCGTGCGGTAATAGGGTGCCTACGATAAGAATAGCGCATTAAGCACCGTAGCCGACCCTAACGATATTGTAACGGACTGTATATACGTCCTAGATATAGAGATCTGCTTCTATAATAGAATCCGATGCTAGAAGCCTACGGGTAAGGATATAGAACATCCTAACGTAGTAGCAGCCGACTTCGCGAGATATATACTAAACTAGGAGGGGCTCTACGGTAACAGACGTTATAATTTTATATAGGTATAGGAATACAACGTTAATTATATAGAAACACCTAATAAATTAGCAGTTCGATTCGGCGGTCGCCTACTAGCTTAACTAAAGTACGTAATCTCGATTAATATAGAAATAGGAATTAAATATAAGAAGGGGCTTAGGACGAAACGGAGGCCTGTTATAGGCGTTTTTATTAAGCTTTACGACTATATTAACGATAAGAGCGAGTACAAGGATGCGTATAGTCTAACGACAATCCGGCTACGGCGTCTTTTACCGTACTATAGTAGACTAAAGGGGCGACGGGTGTATAGCCTACTACTAGTCTATTACATATTATACGCCGTACCCGTAGACGAAGGCGCCCTGTATAGGACTCGCTATATTAATAGTACAGTTGATTTCGAGATATATAACACAATTTACAACGAGGAATAGGAGGATAAGGAAATGCGAGCTATAAAGGCTTACAGGCGAGTAATAAAAAGGTAACGTGCCGTATAGAGTATATAGAAATCGCACCTCCGAAACACAAAGGATAATAATACTAAGGCGGCGAAGAATAATTTTATAGTTTATAGAGAACGTGTAAGACAGGATATAGCGACATATAGTAACGACGGTTAATGTAATAGTAATACACTTAAAACTGTAGTACTACTAGTATATTCTAGTTTAGACCGAGTCGACTAATACGACCGAGTCGACGAGTTAATAAGTATTAATATAGCACTATACGAATAGTATAAACACTACTAACGACTGCGACTGCGAGCGACCTAGAGCGATGCTATATATATAAAAATTCACCGTATCGATCCTATCGATCGCGTCGATCCTATCGATCCTATCGATCCTAAGCGATCCGGGTACGAGTCGGGTCGCGACTCGGTCGCTTAGGATCGCTTAGGATCGCTTAGGATCGCTTAGGATCGCTTAGGATCGATAGGATCGATAGGATCGACACGATTAGAAAAAAAGTTTTCGTAACGTTATAGTACCGTTAGAAGTATAGACTCGACTTATAGATTATAGTACTCGAAGCCGCTTAGATAGCAAGCAGAGCTATACGTACAATTAGCCTTCTAGTAAGGGCATTATTAAGTCCGGTACTAGCTCTTAACGCACTTATAGTACTTAACGGTCGTCCTTAGCTAAATAAGTAATACGCTAGGCTCGAGAGTAAATTTAGTCGTTCTAGCTATAGCTATCTTCTATCGCTTAGCGACTACTGTCTCGTTTAGGTCGTCTAATTCGCGTACTATAGTAGTACGCTTTGTTGTATATAATGTAGCTCCGCTAGTAAGAGGTTTGTAGTTACTAAAGATTACTTCTAGCTCTTATAGACGGACTGTTGTTCTATAGAAGTCGATAAACTAGTGCTTATAGAAGTAGCCTAGTAATAGAATAGCGCGATTGCCGCCGGTCTTAATAAGCTTTATTAAGTCGTAGACACATAGATAACTATAGGTCTTACGAAGGTAGTCGTTATAGCTATACTATAGACAGCTATATAAGAACGCTAAGTACTTTACTTCGTTACCGTTATCGTTAGTTATAGTAAGCAGGAGGTCGTTAGCTCGTAAATATAGTGCCTTTACCTCGAGCAAGTAGTAGTCGCTTATAATACGAGATACACTCGCCTAGAATAGTCTAGTTAGGGCCTTATTATACCTCTTAAGGTTCTTAGCAAGGGCAACACGACGGCGGTCGTAACCTTCTTACTACTATTGTAATAGGCTCTTAAAGAGCGTAAAGATATCGTAGCGGCTACTATAGTTTAGCTACTATTTAATGCGGCTATAAGTAGATTTAACTCGAGAGGTCGTCTTATAACTAAAGTAAAGAACCTCGTTAGTCTAGCAGTCGACAATATAAGCCTTATATCGCTACTAGTTGTTATAAAGATAGGTCTTGAATATAGGGTATACGTTGTCTAACTTCTTTACGTTCTCGTTAAACTCCTGTTTAGTTTAACTATAGATAGTATACGTAAAGAGCCGTAGAAATTTGCTAGTTTAAGGGCTGTCTGTCTAATAACCGTTACTCTTAACTTAACTAAACTCGCCTCGTTCCTTACGGACTCGAGTTAATATATCTTGTTATAGATGCTAGTTATATACGATATTAGTAGACTCCGGAAATACCTCCTTAATAGCACCTATAAGAGCTTCTTTACGGTTAGTACTAATAACCGATAGCATAGCGCAATCTGCTTATTTAAGGCCCTTTCGGATAGCCTTTAAGAGCGTAACAAAGTCTGTCCTATCTAGCTTCGGACGGATAAGACTAACGCCTAGTTTAATAGTATTATTTATAGGACTAGCACTAACAATGTCTATTAACTCGAGGTTATAGATATTAGTAGAGTATGTCGTATCTAAGATAAGCGTATATAGCGTGTTCTTAAAGGCCTCTATTAAGCGAGGATAGAGGGCAACTATATACCGAATAGCTCTATTTTCCGGGTTCTTAATAATGTCGTAAAAGATAGTATAGTCGTCTAGTAACTAAACTATACGTTTAGCCTAGTTTAGCTGTCGACGTGCCTTAATATTGCGAGTCTAAGCAATATTGTTAATATCCTTCGGCTTTAGGAGAATACTACGGCCTCGAAAGTATACTATAATCTTTAAGGTTAGTATTCGGGCTTACTAAAGCCGCTCGAGTTGCTTAAGAAACTATACTGTTCTCGACTGCCTTTTATAGATAGTAAGGGTAATAACGTCGTCCTTCTCGTAGTTATAGAAATAGTGCTCTTCTTCTATAGAATAGCGAATAACCTACTAACCTTCGAGCTAGCTAGGGTCGATAGCAACTACGTAGAAGTAGAACTTATAACCTATCTTCTTCGAGGTTAACTTCCGCTTTCCTTCCTTCTAGGTACGCTTATCTAGTAAGCCGAAGCAACTATATACCTAGCGGTAGCGATATTTAAGACTATCCTTATTCTTCTACGGCTTATACTGCTTAAACTCGAATCTAGTCGCCTTTCCGAAGGCATAGACATACGACTCGAGGGCTCGATATAACGGATATTGCGACTTAAGCGGTATTAGACTACGAGAGCGCTCCTTTAGTAAGAATAGGTGCTTCTAAGGGCATAGTAATACTAACTGATAATCTAGTAGATTAATACGCTCGCGCGGTAGCGATAGTATATAAGGCGGAAGCTAAGGAGGCTTAGCGCTAAGTATGTAGCGACCCTAGCCTATAAGTGCGCCTAAGATCTACGCTTAGTAAGCGCGGATACTTCTAATCTTTTATCGTAGCGTAAGACGCTAGTAAACGGGCGTACTAGTATAGCGGTCTAATATAGTATCTGCGCTTTACAGTCTATAGGTTAAGGTCGCGCGTTCGATTCTCGGCGTACGTTCTTAGCCGACTAGGCTAATCCTTAGCAGACGCGGCTTCGGAGGTACCTAATTGCCTTAGGTGCGTAACTTAGCTATAAGCGTACCTACCTTAGAGAGGTTAGCTTATAGGCTTGTTTGTTTATTAGATTGCGATATAATTCTAATTAGATGCTTAGCTATACGTTCGGGTACGGGGCATTAGAAGATTTTATTAGCTGCTCGGCTATACGTACGGGTATAGGATATACTAAGGCTAACTAGCTATAGGGCTATAGCTAAGAAAAGGGAAGCGTATATAAGGCAGAAGCCGAGGAGGCTTAGCGCTAAGCACGTAGCGACCCTAGCCTATAAGTGCGCCCGAGATCTACGCTTAGTAAGCGTAGATACTTCCGATCTTTTGTCGCGGCGTAAGATACTAGTAAACGGGCGCACAAGTATAGCGGTCTAATATAGTAAGCGTAAGCAGCCTCGAATACGTATCTCCGAGACAAATTAGACCTCCTCCTACGACTTAATATCTACTACTATCGGTTGCGCGCCTTCCGCCGCCGCCGCCGCTATCTCTTCTACTACTATATCTACTACCGTATCTACTACTATATCTACTGCTACGTCGTTATTACTGCTAGTAATAAGATTATCGAGAAACTCGTCGTATAATAGAGATTTAGCTATTTTCGATAGTTACTAGGCAATCTACTATAAAAGAGGGAAGAAATGCGAAGTTTAGGTATATAGTAGATTCGAGTAGAATTCCTTCTTAGGTAACGCGCTGCGCGCCCGTTAATAATACTAACTAAGAACGGAAATGGCCTATATTAGGTAGAAAGAGCACGTAATTCTATACAAAGGCGATTCTACAATAGTGCTAGCACCGGGATATGCTGGGGCTCGGGCGGGTAGCTGGGGCTCGGTTTAGTAGCCAGGACAGCCGCGTCTCAAGATGACAGGGATCTTCGGAACGATCCTGCCGAGATCTCTCCTGAAGGATGGCAAGACCCCCCTCGTACATGTGATGAGAACCACGGCTCGACAAGCTTCTGCCACGATAGACACCTTACAAGGCTCCAGCACAAGAAATATACGCGACTCAAGCTTGGAATCCGTCGAAGAAGCTCAATATGTCAGGCTCCGACTCCGCCTCCCTATCAGCTCAAGTCAACAAGCTGAACCTTGGCAACGATACTGCTGTAAGCCTTTCTTTAACCCTATGATGCTCTTCTTTACTCCCAACGACTTCAATCTGACGATATGTACAGTCTTTGAATTCGACAAAGACTGGTACCGACACGCAACCCTCCGAGCTCATAGCAGTAGTCGATGATCTCTTGAACCAGCTAAGTGCAAAGTTCAGTAATGTCAGCGCTGACATGTTAGGGAAATGCAAGTTCAAAGCGCCAACGCTGAGCTGATTTGCTTGCTAACAACTCTTTTAGTGGACGATATGTCGAAGCGACTTGATGCTCTCGAAGCTCAGATACAAGCTGGCAATGCAGCAGCTGCTGCTGCTGCTGGAGATGATGATAAATGATGTTCAGCTCGTGATGAGGCATGTTTGACGCGTTAGCGAGGAGCTGTGGAGTTGCGCCGTGTTAGGATACAGTGGTATGGAGTGTTTGGATTTGTTTCATTCAATGTACATGTCTTTGCCATCTTTGGCGTACCAGCGCTCCCCAAATTCATGCCCCGAACGCCACATCCCAAAAGCAAATGGTATCATCCCAGGTACATCATACACGCGTCCTATCATGAGTCGGTCCAGCGTCCAATGCGAAATGCAATGGTCAAATCAATATCTGATTACAACGCCACTGCCTATTACTTCCGGGCCAAATCTGCTTTTGATGTTTTCTGGCATGCCTGCAGCGCTACCGGGAAAGCCATCATTTTTGGCTTGTGCTTTGACCTTGTCCATTAGCCGGCTAACAGGTAGACTTGGCGCCTGCAATCTCTTGACCATTTGCACTCGTTCGTCGTCATCGTAGGCGTGCAAAGCATAATGCTCCCGTATCAAGCGTTGCGACTCTGGATGTGATGCAGCATATACCTTATGTGTGCAGCCGTCCAGAGCGCACACCCAAGTGTCTTCTTGGACCGGGTCTTCGACATGACCCATGTTGAGAGGTCGTATAGGTAGGTCTGTGGTATGATCGATGCCATCTGTACTGCTTGTGGGCGAGGATGCGGCCTCGGGTGATGTCGGCATATCAATGCCTTCATCGTCGTGGGGCTTGCTATTCCGTCTCCTCGGTCTTCTCCGGACTTGCTCTACTTCATCTCCATCTTCATACTTTCGCTTGCCACCAGTAGGTGAAGGTGGGTCAAGGTCGTTCACTCCATCATCTTCGTCTTCGCGAGGTGGCCCTTTGCCTCCCCTGCGAGATGCGGATTTGCTTGCTTTGCTAGCACGAGGTCGTAAGGAGGACTTGTTCTTCTGGTTGCGCGCTCGTATCTCCCCGTCAGAATCTTCGTCCTTTGCAGGCGTTGCAATTGCCGCAGATCCCAACTCGCTCTTTTCTTCTGGTATTGAGGTAACTTTCTGTCTTGTCCGGCGTGTACTTGTACCTTTAGTCTTTGGTGAAAGCATCTCTTGGACAGTCTCCTCGACTTCTACCATGCTCCCCGATGCAACGACTGCTGAGCTTGCGTCTGAAGTGCCGTCTAAAGAAATGATCTCCACGGGGCCGTTTCTTGCCGGCCTCGCTCTCTTTCGCTTCAAGCTGCTAGTGCTTGAGGTCGTATCCCCTGAACTCTTCCTTGTATGTCTGGAATTTGTTCGGTCTGAATTTGCAGCCTTTGAAAGCTTTTCTGACTTAGGCTCCTTCGCCTCCACCAACGGTTCTTGCTTCTTTCGTGCCTTTGCGACCACGTCAGGGAACTTCCCATAGAGGTGCTTATAGATGGGTAATCTGCTCCATGATAGACCTTCTTTTCCAGCCAGCATCGAAGACATAAGAAAATCTTTGTGCTTGTAAATCATCTCTTGTCCTTTGGTATGATCGTCGCTCCCTAGCACAGTGGCATACTTTGCGAACAGCTCAGCTGCAGTATATTCCGGTAATATCTCTTTCGTCTTTCCCCGCCCTTTGATGCGTGGTGTACGATACGCGTCGGCAACAAAGTACAATGCATCGACCGCTTCGCACATCTCGGCGTATATGCTCTGGTACTTCTTCGCTGGGGTGATAGTATACCACCCTGCCTTCCCTGCTGCCCATATGGCAGATGTCCCGTCGTCTAACTGGCCATAACTGAACATGCGGACATCTTCAAGAACGATCGGAACGCGTTTCACTTTGCCCTGGGGAAGTTCTAGGTAGAGGTTGCGGTCTTCGTCTTCCAATGGCTCTAGCTGGCCTGCTACAGTCAACGGGTAGCCCGCTGCTGCCTCCAAAATAGATGCTAAGTCGCTCGGTTTACCAGGAAGGTGTGCATATGCATTGGTAAGGGCCAACTCTGGCCATTCGTCTGTGTTTTGTAGTTCAGGATCGCGGGGCGCAAGCAGATCGAGTTCTGGTGTCGGTTTGGCCATGTTCGTTGTCGCAAGTCATCAGTTCTACGGGAAATGCGTTACTGCAGCTTATGCGACCGTCATAAGCATGCTAAGAGGTCGTCGAAGGAGCTGGGTGGTGAGTGGCAGTACCTAGGTAGAAGGCTGTGAGCAAGCAAGCGAAGCGCGCGGTCGCGACTTCACGCTGCTGAGTTTGGATGTGAATCTGATTGGAGCAGCAACAGCAGCAGCCGCCAAGTGGGCACTGCCGAAATTGTGGACCAGCTCCGTTTTGGAGCTTCACTCGCGTCGCTTTCACATGATAACTTGCTAGTCGTTCTTTCTTCAAATGGGCGGTCGCGAGATTTTGTGGCGATCACTCAAAAACGCGACTTCCTTCAATCCCATCATCGCGACATCAAAGATGTCCGGTGCGATCCTCGAAGGCGTATTCGGTATGGTATGGCTTCAATGCTCGGAAGCATTACTCGCCGGCTGTCGCAAATCGTGCTAATAAAAGTGTCATAGCCATCAACAAACCGCCCGCCATAAGCTCAGCGCAGGTCATCCGCGATGTGCAAGAACATTTCAATCCATCCAAACTCTTCCGTCCATGGCTCGATCGCGAACAGGAGAGAAATGCATCACTGCCGCCACAACAGCAGAAACGGCGAAAATGGAAAGGCCGGAAGCAGAGGGACGTCAAGATGGGGCATGGTGGTACATTAGATCCAATGGCAACCGGCGTGCTGATCCTAGGTGTCGGTGCTGGAACGAAAGAGCTTGGCCATTTTTCGACGGAGTGCACCAAGAGCTACGAGACAGTCGTTCTATTCGGCGCCGCAACAGATACATATGATACCGAGGGCAAGATCGTGGGTCGAAAATCGCACGAGCACGTTACGAAGGAGCAAGTTGAGCAAGCACTAGCACAGTTCAGAGGCAAGGGCATGCAGAAACCGCCCATCTTTTCTGCTCTACGAGTGCAAGGAAAACGGCTCTACGAATATGCGCGTGAAGGAAAGCCACTGCCAGACGGCTATGAGATCGAAGAACGTCCAGTGGAAGTTAGCGAGCTGGAAATGATGGAGTGGTATCCAGGAGGCACGCATCAATGGCATTGGCCCGATCGTGAAGCCGACACCTCGGAGAAGAAGCTTGCAGAACAAGCCATGCACCTGGAGAGCGGTAAGACTGTCACTGTCGCGAGTGAGGAATCATCTGCGAAGCGGAAGAGAGAAGAGCAAACGGAAGAGGAGGCGCTCGCAGGACCGTCTCCGAAGCGATCGAAAGCCGATGCAGAAACTGCAAGCTCTACTGCAGCACCAAATCCTATGCCAGCAACTATCACGCGATTATCGACTGCGGAAGGAGCTCAGCCTGATACAGAAGTGGCCCAGCCTCCAAAGGACGATGCCCAGCCTGCAACGTCAGACACGCCACTCACCACCAAGCCTTCTGAAGTCGAAGTCGAATCCGAGGCCAATCGGGAGCCTGAATCTCAACCTCAGGAGACCATCACGACTCAGATACAGCGTTGTCCAGCTCCAGCCGTGCGGCTACGGATGACAGTGACATCAGGCTTCTACGTCCGGTCACTATGCCATGATCTAGGAGCTGCTGTTGGATCACTAGCCATGATGAGTGAGCTCTCAAGAACAAGGCAGTCCGACTTTGACCTAAGAAGTAATGTGCTGCAGTACGAAGATCTCAAGCAGGGAGAAGAATTCTGGGGTCCGAAGGTACAGAAGCTGCTTGAAGATTGGCAGAACAGGAAGACTCGCAGCAGTTAGGAATGAATATTGGACCCAAGGATACATTGAGAGTGTCTTGAGGGCTCTCCTTCATGCATATTTTTTGAAGCGAGCTAGTCCGGCTTAGGATACCGACATAACGTTACACAAGGTGCAGACTGCGCCACTTGTGTAATAGCTGCATTGTCCGAGAAGGCCGCGGGACTGAGACCACATCTCAGAGAGTTGGGCGACAATACCACAAGTGGCTACAGGCCTTGCAACTCAACCTTAGTCGCGCATCTCCATGCGGCTCCTTCGAACACATGTAGCAGGGTTGAAGCTAAAAATCTTCTACCAAGAAATTCAAGCCAGGATGGTAAAGTATACAGTTCGCCCGCAGGCACATGGAGTCCAGGCTGGAAAATCTCACAAGTGTCTCTGGATTCCTGATCTTAGCAAACAGTGCCATGAGGATCGAGCCGGTACAGATGGCGTCCTGCCCACCTTTCTTGCTCTCGATATTACTTCCCATCACCTTGATCGTTTCTTCGTGGCGAAATTCTAGCAGCAAAGGCTCGCTCTCGGGTTCTCCCTTGGGGGCTAATTCTCACTTTATATACCCCAACTCTCTGAACGCCCTATTCCTAATCTCGTCAATCGTCTTGTCCTTCCTCGAAGTATACTCCTGCATACTCTCTCCAGCCTGCTCAGTCGCCTCCGCACACTCTCGTTTCACCCTCGCATACAACTCCAAATCCTCAGGATGCTCCCTCAACCAATTCCGGAAAATCTGGTGTCGAGCAACTTCCGCACATTCCGGACCGAAAACATGCAAATTCACCAAAAATGCTTCTGGTTCCCAATCACCTTCGTCGACGAAGAAACGATGTTGATGCCACGCTGGTTCGCGAAGTAAGAATCTGAAATTCGCGGCCTCGAGAGCGGGGACGTAAGAGGCTTCGTCTAGAACATCTTTTACGACGAGGTCGATGTCGATTATGTCTTTTGCTGGGAGATCGGGGACACTGGTCGAGCCTACGTGGTGAATTTCCAAGGCCGTTGCTGGAGCTAGAGCTATTTCGATTCGGGATTTTGCTGAGAGGAAACGTTCAGGCCAGAGGGGATTGTATTCGACGATTGAGACCTTGTAAGGATTTTTGCGGTGGGCTATCCTTTCAGTGGATTTTCCGTCATCGGGTGGTGGGTGTGTGATTTTTAGGATGTCTTCTACGGTAGGTAGGGGCATTGTGACTTGAAGTGGGAGAGAGTGAGTTGGTTACTTTGAGAAGACTTTGCAGCCAAGAGACAGTACAGATGAGATCAACTCAGGGTGGTCTGTACAGGTCTCGCTGCTGTATTTATTGATTGAGGTCACGCAGACTGAGTTACGGCACGATAGACTGAATGCTGCCTTGAAAGCTAAGGTCCTGGGTTGAATCATTTGGATGGTGAGATCAAGGCTCATCAAGCTTTCGGCTTACTGTGTTTTCGAAAAGTTCTGGCCACACGTGATCGTCGGAGGATTCAATTACCCCCGTATACCGCCCGCCTAACAAATTTGTTAGTAGATCGTTGCTGAGCGGTGTATGTGTTCTCTGACCGCTATTCGGGCATATATCGTTCAAAACGAAGCCGTATTTCTAGTAGTATAGACTAATTCGAGGTGTTATTACTAGTACTCCTATTTTCCGCCTCTTCTACCGCCGCCGCTATGCATTCCGCCGCTACGATGAACTAGGTCCTGTACCTCTTCGAGAACTGCGATATGTCGATAAAAGACATCTATAATACTACTAGCGTACTAGAGCGCACTATACGTCGTTAGCGGATAAATATCGAGCTATTTAGATAGGTATTAACGCCTCGAACGGCGAGGGCAGGCAGACCGCGCGCCTTTATAACCTAGCAGGTAGAATAGTTGCTAGAATACCTAACGGGTCGTCCGGACGTATATCTCGATAAGATAAGGTTTAATTTAATAGAAGCGTTTCTAGAGATAAAGCCGCCGGCTCTTACGACTATATAGGATACATTGTTAGTAGAAGGTTAGTCTCGGAAGTTAGCGCGTTAGATCGCCTCTAAGCGCAATAAGACAGTACGTGCTATTTGGATAATAAAGGCGCGTCGCTTTCTAGTAAAGAAGGTCGTTTATATCGATAAGACTACTTCTAATTAGAAGACTAGACACCGTAAATATAGCTAGTCGCCTATTAATATAGATTGTATAGAAATAAGGTCTACTAAGCGCGAGAAGAGATAGTTAGTGTTGCCGGCTCTAATAATTAATAGATACTTGCCCTATACTCTATATATCTATAGCTCTATTAAATAAGATCTATTTAACTAGTAGATTAAGAACAAGTTATTGCCGCTAATTAAAGGTTAAGAGATAATACTTGTCTTAGATAATGCGAGTATTTACTATAGCAAGTCGCTAAGAGATATCGTCCTATCTGCTAGCTATAGATTAGAGTACTTGCCGCTATATTCGCTAGATCTTAACCCGATCGAACAGACCTTTATAGCACTTAAAAAGTGGATTAAAAGGAACTAGGAGCAGTAGAAGAGTTATCTATTATTTGATACCTTTCTAGTATATACTTTACACTAACAGGCCGGCCGGAATATGCGTAGAATGTTTAAATATAGCGGATATAACGTTAATAAGGAAGAGGTAGAAATAGGGTCTAAGGAGTTAGTCTCCGGACTTACTAACCTACAAATCTAAGATTTCGGATTAGAGCTACTATTTAACAATACAACCACTTTATAATATACTTTTTAGATTAGAAGAAGCGTTAGAGTTACAGCTATCGTTATATATAAAAAGTATGTTTATACCCCCGTTATAGATCTATTAGCTGCTTAGCAAAGAATCGTAGCATTTATCGTAACGAAGCGGAGGCACCGTAAACCCCGCAAAGCCGACCCTATCGTAAAATTCTCGAGTCCGCTATATTTAATATGTATTTCCTTAACGATTAGTTTATAGATTCTCTTCGTTGTTTTTTTGCAAATTAGCTAATATCTTAGAGATTATAGATATATATATAGAGATTGAGATTGTCGTTACGTTATTGCGAATAAAATCGAGAACAGCGAAATTCTCGGTCTCGGAATAGTAATCTCGCACTCGGAATAGCGGGCTTAGCGAGCGTACAGGAGCACTGTAGTATAGCTTCGCAATAATTAGGAGGTTTAGATTAATACTAGAATGCTACAACAACGATACATATAAACAAGCTATTTACGGCCGAGAATGTATATATATATAGGATAAACCTCCGCGTGTTATTATAATATAGAACGTCTAGTAAGTGTTAGAAAACGAGCGTATTATAAAGCTAGCGGACATTTCGAAAGCATACCTCCTTACTCGAGACCCTAAGCCGATAGTATTACCTATTTCTTTAGACTCTTCCTTAACCTAAACCTATAACTATTAAACACACTAGTTAGCTTACGCTATTCTTCTTTGTTTAAGCCTCCGAGCGACTCGATATTATATTTCTTAATCGTTGCCTTTACCTCTATCGAAACTAGCGCCTCGCGATCGCCCTCGTCGTTCTTCTACTCGGGTTAGGTCTTTATCTACGAAAGCGCCGATTTAAGGTCCTTAAGCGGCCGCGACTAATTATTACCTACTAGGTTGCGTACGGCACTCTTATACGTAACAAACGATACCGACGGCGATACTATAGCGCGGATTAGAGTAATAGGACCGGAAGAGTCGATAATCGATCGATTTAGCTACAAACTGCGTACTAGCTCGCGAATAGCATCCCTAAAGTTAACATTAATAACTAAGGACGGTCTACCTATTATAGTCGGCATTCCTTACTAAATTAGCATCGTCTACGTCGATCTAGTCGCTCTAGTCGCCGCCGAGAGTCTAGCATTCGATTAAGTCGCCGTACGCTTATTATTCTTCGCCTTCTTCGCGATTCTTAGCTTGTTAAATACCCTTATATTAGGCTCTTCCTTTAAGCACTTGCTATCTCTAATCTCGGCGGACTACAACCTTAAGTAGTCGCCTATTAAAGGGAAGTAATTCTCGGTACTATTAGGTCTAGGTTAAGGCTAGAAATAGTAGAAATTCTAATTAGGACAAGACGATAGTATATAGGTCTATTCGACTCGCAATTTAGCCTCGTAATTGCTAGCCTTCCGCTTCTTAGCAATAAATACGTCGCTAGCGGCAATTTGAACGTTAGTCGCTTTCTTCTTGCTAGCATTCTAAGCGACTAGAAGTCTACCTAGAAGCCCTCCTAGCGGCGTATAACACTCGATAATAATATTAATTCGAACGTTTGTCTTCTTAGCTTCTTAGAGCGATTTAGCGACCCTTAGCGCTTCTATAACGTCCGAAGACTGCTTCCTATCGGTCTCGAAGATATCGTCCTTCTTAATTAAGATATATATTACTCGTAGCTTAATCCGGCGTACGAGCTAACTATTCTTAGTAGCATTGTAAGAAGCCTACTCGCGTACGGCAATATCGAAGTCTAGGTCTAATCTCGTACTAATAGAAGAGGTGCCTACTAGCTCCTTACCCTTCTTATTAATAAGATAAAACTTCGTACCGTACTAGATAACAACCCTCGCAGAAGAGCGCTTCTTAGGCTCTATATTAGTGTCTCTAGCTAACTGTTTTAGTAGCTTAAAAACAGGCAGTTTAACAACCTTCTAAGTAGCCTCTTTAATAGGTAAGGCTTCTATTATACCCTTATCGAAGACTCCGCTATAATCTAAGTAATTATCGTTATCCTTAACCTTAACAACCTTAACTTCTATCTCTAAGAGATCTTCGAGTAAAGACAACTCGCTTTCCGGCTTCTCGATAAGGCTACGCCCTCGCCGTAACGGCGGCGGACTTATCGACTTCTCGAGCGTTCTTAGCTTCTTATAAAGTAACGGCCTCTCTACCGTAGGCTCTACTATAGGCTCTTTAGCCGGTAACACCTTCTCGGTTAGTTTGCGGGCTCTTACTAACTTGCGAGGCGCTATACTAATAAGTAGATATAGCACTAAACGAGTAACGAGTTAAACGACCGAGAAACGAGTAACCTAAGTCGATAATAATACCTTAACTAACGAGAATTCGACGTATATAGCAAACAGTAGTACCGAGAGGAACGGCGTAATAAGGAAGAGGAGACAAAGCTAATATTAGGTGGATTCTACAGCCAAGAAAGAGCTAGGGGTTCTCCTATTAGGCGCTTGGATCCTCCAACAGGTGGCCTCTGCGCCGTAGCCAGAACTTTTCGAAAACACAGTATCGGCAACGCTACCGATCCCTGCCCCTGCCTCACATCATCGCGAGTCCTTCTTGCCTCTACTGTACTCCTCATCAAGGCAAGGGATTCATACATGTGCACTTCGTCAAAGCCTCGTATATCCCGGGCTATTATTCTGGAGAGTCCGTCCTTCAAAAGCACGGCATCGCCCTGTTGCCGAAATATGCTCTCTGTCTGAACGGCTGGCGGGCGACCTGCTCAGTAGCAGGGCAGGGCAAAGTGCAGTTGCAGTTGCAGCCTCGCGTTCTTCACGTGCGCAGGACTCGACGAGTTGGGAATTGGAGCAGTTCCGCATACTCTGCTGCATTTTATCTTCATTTTAGCGGTAAGTTGCAACATGAGTCCGCGCAGCATATGATCAAGTTGTAGTCATTGCCATCATACAGGCTTCTTCGAGCCAGACATGAGCCTCTGTGACGGCGTCTCGCATCTTGTCGAGTTCATGCATATCGTACAAGCCATCTTCGCGCATGATAGGCGTACCCTGGTCGTCTTGATGCTTCTCCTTCGCGATGCTCTCCCGTGCTGCCGGAAGTCGAGCACGACGGGACTGCAGCAGAAGATACATCAATATCAATGATGTATGATGCATTGTGGTGGGCGGCGTGGGAGGAAGTCAATTCGATCGGCCACAAACGTTGCAGGCGACCTGCAGGCTACAGCTGCAAAAACCCGCGCGTTGCTGTCGCACCTTCCAAACATTGTTCCGTCCTTCGTTTGCCACTTTGCACAAGAGAAGCTCTTTTCTTCGACAGTCTGATCGTACTACTGCTCCCAGCACACTTCCAGAAACTCTTCCACACTCTTAGCGACACCCGTCAATCAAGTCATCATGGGTGGCTGGGCCCTTAAGCTCTTCTGCTGCGATTGGGATCTGGACCTGATCCAAGCCCTCGACAAAAACTGCGGTCTCGTCGATCTTGAAGTCAAGCACGGCAAGAAGCGCCGCAGCGATGGCGGCGAAGCATCACGCCGTCAAGCGGAGCATAGCATGAGAAGGACAACGCCATCTCTGAAGACATGATCAAGCGTGAGCCTGCCGTGTTGAAGAAGGACGAGAGCGAAATCGCCATCAACTACTCCATGTTCCAGAAGCTTTGCAGCCATCCAGAGAAGGTCCGCGCATACCTCGATTCCTCTGGTGCCCTCTCCAAAAGATTCACAGCTCTGAGGAAGGAGGCTCGTACGTCCAAGCTTGAGTGGACTCGCGACCCGTACGGACCAGGCTACATCATGTGTATGCTTGGGGCCTGTGCCATGACTCTTGGCGCGCGACTTTCTGTGCTTGATCTCGAAGGCATGAGGAAGTACTACAAGAATTGCGGACTCATGCGTGACGCCGTGAAGCAACTCGAAGACGCCTTGGACCTAGACACTGGCTACATGAGTATCGAAGACTCTATGTCGATCCTTATCATCAGCGCTGACTCCTTGGATAGGTCAATGGCAGTCCATGGGACTTCGGCAGCATTGGTCGTGACGAAAACATGGCGCGTGGTGGTGCTGCCAAGGAGGACCTCATCTATCCAGGCTGCGGCATGACGAACATCTGGGCTCCAGATCACGGTCGCCAGCAGGATGAGCTCAAATTCACGCGGAGTCATGTCATGAAGGCAATTGCCGTCAATAAGCCGAACGCCGATGATCTCGCTCAGACTTTGGCCAGTCTCTTCTTCGACCCTTACGCCAGCCCTGTCACCACTATCTCAGCGACGAAAGCCGACTCTCGCCCACAGGATTTCATCGACCTGGCTAGGGAGATGCTTGAGGGCTACAAGAAAGTTAACAGCAAGCCGCCAAAGAGCAACAAGGATGAGTGTGCTGTGTGTGAAGCTGGCGAGTATAAGGATGGCAAGCCACTCATGACTTGCAGCAAGTGCAAGAGGAGCTTCTACTGCTCCAAGGAGTGCCAGAAGAAAGATTGGAAGAAGCACAAGATCAGCTGTTCGCTCTTCGGTCCCACGGAAGGCAACTCGCACACGACGCTGAATGGGATCGCATCGTTGGAGGCTTTCAAGAGCCTGAACTCAGACAAGAAGTGAGATGGCTTTAACCTGCGCACAGACCAATGATGGCCCGGACGTCGTCGTGTCTAGGTAGTCAGGTGCTGAGGTGTGGTACATCTCACCTCCTAATGCCGTCCGAACTTGCTGCAACAGAGTAGTATCAATAAAGCTGTGCATGTCCACTTCAAAGCCTTAATCTTCTCCTGCTTCCTAATCTTTCCTTACTCCGCAATCTCCACCTACAGGTAGGAGTTGAGAGGCAAAACCGAGCAAAGCTCGCGGTGGTCGACACGGTACTCTTATGCTTCTGCCCAGCAGCTCCTGCTCAAGAAGGGCTACGCTAGCTGCATTGGCCTCGTCAGCACCAGAGGTGCATGCGATGTCTGATGAAGTGGTGAATACCACTATGCAAGCTAACCGCGATATAAAGCTTCCGGTCCTCGTTCCTCTAAACGCTCTTTAAAGCCATCTGGGTCTTGGGACCACCAAAGAGTGAATTGAGTGCCTTGCATGATGACTACCAGCATAGCCGCTCAGCAGCTGGGTTCCTTCTCTTGCTCAGTCTTGGTACAGGAGGCCACTGCAAAGCTTCGCACAAGCGAATGTTCTTGAGGATTCCGGGCGTTCGACAAATTTAAAAATCTACCGATGAACAATTAGCAGCACATGGCACATGCGTTGCTAAAGTGGCTTTATTAGAGCACAAGATTCGTGTGACCTGTGTACAGTACACATTCAGACGCACGTGTGGTTCCCGCGCTTGGAAGCAGGAGCGTGAACGATGCCTGCAGGACTACCTTTTTAACAGCCTATTCACCATCACGGCTGTGATGAGTGTACCGAGTCTCTGCCACGTTGCATACAATCGCGAAGAATGCTTCTTGACGTCCGCGAAAGATGATTCGATACTTGCAATGGGTTGTAATACATCGGCGTTGCTCGGTCTTGGCTTGGGGATTTCATTAGATTCCGTCCTCCCTCAACGGCGATAAATATTCGCACCTCGAATGTTCTCCGCATCAATGCGAGGTCAATGCCTTCTTCAAATTGCCGTGCTGTCTCAAAGTACAGCGCCATACCATGTGGTTGACAGCTCCATGTCCAGCATATCCCAGCCGCGGCACAGATTCAGACATGGATGCCTCAGATAGTGAGCCGACAATATTGAAGGCTTCCACTTTGAGTAGAACGTTAAATGCCGGTTAGAAGTGTAAGGCGGTGTATAGGATCATGCTAGACATCGTCCGGTTGCGGAGAGCAACCAGACCGAGTAGAAGATATGACCGCATCCCCCAACAAGCACTTGCCTGTTGAAACACGAGCCCGAACACATCGCATCCACTTATCCGGGGTTACGTCAACCACCCGCAGAGACTCACGATGTGCTTTTCGTGCATACATTGGAGTGAAGCGTCGCTCTCCATCGAACCGCCAGGCGTGCGCGAAGTCGAACATTCTCCAAAACCTCCAAAAGAACGCAAGTCGAGATCTTGCTGCAACATGTCGAATCGATCGAGTTGGCTAGTGCCTCCACAAATGGACAAACCTGGATTGGGATACATCGAGCCGCGGAATGCTTACCGGCAGCCAGCTTGGAGGAACCACTTTGTTGCGTGTACTGGCGAGTTCGTGGGAACATTCTTGTTTCTGCTGTTCGCGTTCCTTGGACATAGCACGGCTGTCTACCAGGCACCAGCGACTGGACCAAATGGCTTGCATACGAATGAGACGCTAATGTACATTGCGCTGAGTTATGGCTTCTCGCTTCTGGTCAATGCTTGGACGATGTATCGTGTAAGTGGTGGCTTGTTCAATCCAGCTGTCACGCTGGGCCTGGTATTGGGTGGAGGGCTGAGTGCCGTACGAGGGCTGCTTTTCTTCCCAGTGCAATTGCTGGCTGCTATTAGTGCTGCAGCGGTTGTGGAAGCCCTCATACCTGGGAGCATCAGACAAGTGCAGACCACTTTGGCACCTGAGGTTAATGTCGCACAAGGGCTGTTTCTCGAAATGGTAGGTCGTTTCTGCTCTTGTCAAGAATCCGCTGACAACCAGGCAGTTCCTCACTTCGCTCTTGGTCTTCACCGTGCTCATGCTTGCTGCCGAGAAGTGGAGGGCCACGTTCGTAGCGCCTGTGGGCATTGGCATTGCGCTGTTCATCGCCGAGCTGGCCGGCGCAGTGTACACAGGCGCTTCTCTGAACCCGGTTCGTTCGTTCGCGCCATGTGTGGTATCGCCTAACTTCCAGAGCTATCATTGGATCTACTGGGTAAGTCAAGAGAGAATGATCTGGTCCTGGACTGTCACGTGCGTCAGGCGGTGATGAGTCGAGTTTGAATTTGGCTAACACCATTTGATGCTGGCAGGTTGGGCCTCTGCTTGGCGCATTGCTCTCAGGTAGCTACTACCATTTCGTGAAGTTCTTCAACTTCTGGCAAGCCAATCCAGGCCAAGACAGCGGAGGCGGCAGCTGGACTCCACCAATGAGTCCACTATTGCAAATGGGATACTCTCCCCAACAGGCTGCCACGCAAAGCCCACCTTCATCGCGGAAGAAGAATGCTCCTGTAAACAGAAGCAGCACCAGCACGCGCAGTCCAACGCAGCGCAGGCCAAGCAGCGGTAGTAGAGATGGCGGCATTGCGCGACGGGATCATTATGCTCGGACCCATCGTAGCTCAGACGACCAAGGCAGGAGGCAGGACGATAGTCTACGTCGCGGAGACGGTCGCCATGCTCGTCGCTACGACCGGGCACGATCATATGATGAGGGGTACGACGTGTCTGAAAGCGCGCGTATCGGTATGAGAGCTGGTCAGGCGGAAGGGGTTGCAGTGAGAGCGCATGCCGGAGTATGACTTGTAACGTTATGTTGCGGAAAGAGGGATGCCGAATAATACGCTGTCACCCACGGATTTGTTGGACGGCAGCTTCCGCCTTCGATATGCTGACTGCAGCTTTGGCTGGCTGACAAGATCGTTGGTGAGCGATTCCAATTCCGAAGCTGCCGTCCAACAGATCCGTGGGTGACAGCGAATTCGATATTAATGATTGAACGAGGTCATGATAAATAAGCATAGCCCTTGTAGATAGCAAAATAGGTAGAAAGCATTCCACAGACTTAGCTTGCCAATTTGCCACAGTTCCTGTGCAGCATCTTGACACAATTTCCGCGGCTTCTTGTACTCGGCGTATCACTTGATGTCCCTCCAACCACGTGTGGTGTGGTGTGGTGTGGTGTGGTGCATGTGTAGGCGAGTGCATTACGCGCTCACAAGAACGACGCGACGCGTTCAAGATCGAGATGCGTTCGTGTTGCTGTGAACAGGGTGATGATTGATCGTTGCGATCTTGGGCGCGGCGTTGTCCGCGAGCCAGAACTTCTATACCCTAATTAAGCCAAATGGCGGACGGGGGTCATCCCCGTGAACGGCGGCTAGCTCGAAAACGTTAGACGTGAATTTTTTAAAGGTGCGGATAATGCCTTTAGATAGTACGCTAGCTTTGATCGGTTAGATCCCGTTTTCAGAGACTACCCCCTTCCGCTTTCTCGCTTAATCAGGGTATAAGTTAGCTGGCCGATCGATCACAAGCAAATCCCGATCAGAGTAGCACTTCTTGCAACCGCAACCGCAACCGCATGCGCCACGAACAGCACAGTCGCAGCGCAGCGCAGAGCAGCGGCGGCACCGTGCTGGCCTTGCGTTCCCTGAATCAGAATCAGACCGAGAGGGAAGAGTCGAGCGCTGCTTGCTGGCTGCCTTCACTTTCACTCCACCTTCTTTCATTCTCCCGTAGCAATTCCTACATGTACGATTCGGTAATTGATTGATTGATTGATTGATTGATTGATCATTGCACTGTTCATGAATGCACCTCGCTCTCCATGTGGCAGCAGCCGACGCCTCATCCAATGTGGCTTGCTTGCCTGACTGCCTGAATAACAAGCTCCGCCAGCATCTGCATCTGCCATGCCTCGATGGTCTCTGAGGCCTCTGCTGCGTCGATTATCCTCCAAGCATTCTAACACCGCCGAGTCCACCCAGAGCGACGGCAGCTCTACCACCGCTGCCACCTCCGCTTCGCCCTCTCCGTCGCCGCAGCCGCAGCTGCTGCCGCTGCCTCGGAAGTCATCGTCGCTGGCAAAGCTGAGGGAACACTTCCGAGCTCACGCGGCTGTGATCCCGGAGCTGCCGCCAGACCTCTCACAACGCGCTGCCAGTATAGCGTCTGCAGGAGTGCCGGAAGGCGAGGCGGAGAAGGCGTTGGTGCAGTCGACCTTCTTGCATCACAAAGCGCGAAGCTCGACCAGTTTCAGCCAGACTTTGGGCGACTCCGAAAGCCGGCTGGAGAAGCTGGACGAAGAACTCCCACCTCCACACCAACCAGCCATAGTAGCACCCGAACTGAAGCTTGATGTGGACGACCTCCCACCAGTCAACCCACGCTTAGTGGTCGAGGAGCCTACTCCGGAAGCACTGGGCAACCGCGCGCCCGCCTTCCAGCATCCCGAGTACGTATTACCATTTCTTTGTATGGCTGTGCACAGCGAGATGGAAGCCATACAGTAATCACCCCTACACTTCGGAACAACAAGGCCTCGCGACATCTCGATGTTGTGCATGAGCTCAACCCGGCGACTTTGCTATGTACCCGCTTAACCTTATTCGTGCTCACTCGAAGAGAAACCGCGAAACCTCCCCAGCTGACAGCTATACACAGCTTCCATCAACGGCGGGCATCGGGAGAGCTTTCGTTGCTTCTTCAGAACACCTCCAACAGTCGACCCGCTAGCCCATCCGCGTCCTTACGCAGCATAATCTCCGAACCTGCCGAAAACAGACGGCAAAGCCTCGTTGGAAGTGCCAATGCTACCATCGTGAAGGCTCTCGTCGACACGCCTCGCCGGTCCGAACGACAGACTTTGAGCATCTCCGAGAGTGTACTTCCGACCAGTGCTGGGCGGGACTACTTCTCGCCAAGCATCCCGGACATGGCGACCGTGTTGCGGCGTAAGATATGGGTGAAGCGACCGAATCAGTCGGCAACGCTGGTGCAGATTCAGGAGGATGATCTGGTGGACGACGTACGGGATCTGATCCTGCGCAAATACCAGAACTCGCTGGGCAAGACCTTCGATTCGCCTGACCTCACCTTGACGATAGTGACGAGAAGTGATCATGCCGGACCCCGTACTTCACGCATGCTTGGACCTGAAGAAGAGATGTTCAGGACTATAGACTCGTACTATCCTGGCGGCCAGACTGTGGAAGAAGCACTCATCATCGACCTCCCTCAAAAGCGCACACCTAGACCCTCACCACGAGCATTTCCGCATCAAAGCCATCACGCTATCGACGACTTCCGCCCACATGAAAATGGCACTGACTACTTTCCACCTATGCCTGTAACAATACAACCTGCACTTCCTCCAAACACTCGAGAACACCATAATTCTGTCGCAGGTCAGGATCACCCCAGATCGATATCGGTTCTAAACACTGGTCATGTACCTGCCTTGCCGTCTCCTGGGGGTAGAGCGCGTGGCCATCGAGCTGAGCGAGAACATAGACCAAAGTACGGCCGACAGCATACATCGTCGCCCACGATATTGTCGCATGGCGCTACTGCTAATCCCGCTGCCGCAGCACCCGCCATAACTGGCGCACATCTGCCTCTTAGGACAGCAGGAAGACCTAGAGTGGACTCCACCGCGTCCGAATCGCATCATCCCAATGGGATACCGGCCGCGCCTCCTCTGCCCACTCCACCCGCTCCAGAAGCCCCGCCGACCGGGAAGAATACATCATCTCCACCCACACCCAACGGCACCGCTCCTCCTGCTCACGGCCATCGTAGTGCTCGACCCCGAAAAGTTAGGAAGCCAACTCCAGATAAACCACAGTCTAGAAAACAGTCGCCTCTTCAAATCGATCCCTACAACCCCAGCAAAGAGTTGCCGAGCATCTCAACTGTCTTGGACAGCTCAGTGCCTCCAATCAATGTCCTCATTGTAGAGGACAATATCATTAATTTGCGAATTTTGGAAGGCTTGATGAAGAGGTTGAAGGTGCGGTGGCAAACGGCAATGAATGGACAGATTGCGGTGGACAAGTATAAAGCTGGCGGCTTTCACTTAGTGCTCATGGACATTCAAATGCCAGTGATGAACGGGCTGCAGGCCACAAAGGAGATCAGAAGACTTGAGAGAGTAAACGGGATTGGCGTCTTCTCTTCAACTCCTGGAACACCTAGTGAGAACGGGCCAGATGGAAATGGCAATCCAATGGACGACAAGACGAAGCGGAACCCCGAAGATGACAAGCTTTCCATGACTGAAGGCCTGTTCAAATCCCCAGTGATCATCGTTGCTCTGACAGCTTCCTCGCTGCAATCGGATCGACACGAAGCACTGGCTGCTGGATGCAACGACTTCTTGACCAAGCCTGTCAATTTCGTCTGGCTGGAGCGCAAAGTCAAGGAATGGGGCTGCATGCAAGCGTTGATCGATTTTGATGGGTGGCGAAAATGGAAAGACTACGCTGCCAAGGAAGAAGAGAACAAAACCGATGAGCAAAAGCAGAAGGAACGCGAACAGGCCGAGAAGCAAAAGATCAAGATGGAAAAGATGGCAAAGCTGCAAGAGAAGCAACGCCAGAAGAAAGAAGAGGAGGCAAAAGAGAAGGAAAGACAACAGCGGGAGAGCATGAGCGGTGAAGCACAGTCTCCAGCTCCTGCCCCAGATGCTACTAAAGACGCACCCGTCATTGCGGCGTAGCGAAGAAGCTTGCGATCCAAATTTGTCGATGTGGGAGAGGCATTGTTACAGTTTTGACTGATGACCGGCAAGCGAGGCGTTTTGGGCATCGATTGGGATGGCATTTTGGGCTGGTGATCATTCCGCCCAGAGTGATCTTTACTTCGAGCGACATACCCATACTGCGTGTTCGCAGCATGCGCGAGCATAGATATTCTAGCAAAACCTAAGGGGCCTGTGATCCGAGTGATAAGGGGAATGCACACATTCCTGTTTACTGAACGGCGCAGTAGGATCGTTATTATTTGAGACGCGGCCGCCGATTTGCTGTCTCGCAACACTTATAACTTTGATGGAGCGACTTCTGCACGAGGCAACAACTTGTCTCGGAAATCCCATCTTCCTACGCTACAGTACCTCACCAAGTCAGACGCCAAGCAGGGCAGGGATGCTCAGTTCTTCAAGGTTCATCCTCAGCTTTTCACAAATGGTTCCTGGACTAGTGCGGAGCTCGCTGACCAACCAGCCGAGGACTTCGTCCACCGTCCCTCCTTCCAAGCTCGGTCGTGAACGGGTACAACGTGAGAACGTGTAGTAAGCTGCGACTCTTCAGTTCGCGCTATCTCGGGATTGACCATAATTAGCAAAGGATCCTGGGTAGGCTTCATCGGCCGATCATATAAAGAGTGTAGGCCAGCCTGCACTTGTGTAAGACATAGTAGTATCGGAAAGAAACCCAGAATTCAGACATGAGCGGCGCAGAAGAAGCATTGGCACAAGGTGTCAAAGATGGCAAGATTCCTTTTGCCATCATTGCTGCTACCAATGCGGATGGTGAGCAAGTGACCGATATATCCCAATTGTCAACGTCTTCAGCTCACACGATGATGACTAGGAAGCTTCGAATACCACCACGCCACAGGCTTCCAACACTACGGCACCAACGACGAGCCAATCCAAGAAGACGCCCTCATAATGCTCGCCTCGCAATCCAAACTCCTCACCGCAATCGCCTGCATGAAAATGGTTGAGCTAGGCCACATAACTCTTGACGACGATGTATCACCACACATGCCGGAACTCGCCAAAAAACAAATCCTCACAGGCTTCGACTCCAATGACAAGCCCATCTTCGTCGATCGCAAAAATCCCATCACCCTTCGCCAACTCCTCACACATTCTTCCGGCGTGACATACGGCGTGCACCCTCGCGTTTTGAAATTAGAATTAAGCTCTGGTCGTCCATCACCTGTGGAAAGATTATCATCCACTGTCGCCGAACGATATGATTTCCCCCTGACTTACGAACCAGGCACAAGTTGGGAATATAGTCCCGGACTCGATTGGGCCGGACTCCTTCTCCATCGCCTCACAGGTCTGACGTTGGAAGAATTCGAAAAGAAACATTTCTGGGAACCGATGAATATCAAAGGTCTCACGTTTTGGCCGAGCGAGGATTTGAAGAAGACGAAACAAGCAGACCTCGTGATTAGAGGTGAGGATGGGAAATTCGTTCCTAATGGTGAGACTCCGACTTTGAATACTTATTCTAAGGATTGCTTCGGTGGACATGGCATGTATGCTGTCATCTCCGATTACCTCAAGGTTTTGAAGAGTCTGTTGGCCAACGATGGAAAACTCCTCAAACCTTCGAGCGTGGATGAATTCTTCAAACCTCAACTCGGTGCGGATTCGGAAAGGGATTTGAATTCTTTCATTCAGGGTTGGCATGGGATGTTTCCGGGAGATATCAGACCGGATATTCCGATTCAGTATGCGCTTGGTGGGATGGTGTTCATGGAGGATGATGTGGGGAGGAGAAAGAAGGGAACGTTGTCTTGGGGTGGTTTGTATAATCCGTTTTGGATTGTTGATCGCACGTCCGGATTGGCGTATACGTTTGGGACTCAGGTTTTGCCGTCTGGTGATCCCGGGTGTAAGGAGATGGAGGGAATTATGGAGAAAGCTGTTTATAAGATGGCGGGATTAGCTTGAATTAAATTGTCGACAGGTCTATGAAGAGTGTTGGCGCTGTCTTCTCTCGCAGTCGTGGCATCTGTTGAAGACGACGATGGTCTTGATCACCCCGTCGGTTGTTTCCTGAAGTGCTGCTCAGAGGCGACCTTAAGTCGAAGGGCACAAGGTATACGCAGCTCTTCGAAGTCAGCGATGGCTAAATGGAAAATGTGAGTTGTATTGCAGATACTCCATCCCTCGTCATGCATGGGGCTCATAACCACTTGATGTAAACTGTGATGTATTCAGAAGAGGGCTAATCTACAGGAAGCCCAAAGATGAAGTGCGCAGTTTCAGCCTCAGGCATCATGCACGTGATACCACACACCACACACTTCAAGTGCTGCTGCTGCTGCTGCTGCTGCTTCGTCGCATGCAACGCCAAGACTCACATGAAACGGTCTAGCATATCCGCACAAGAGTTCAATTCGCGCTTGCAACAACATGACAACAAGAAATGGCAAAAGAGTTCATAATCCAAGGTAAATTCGGACTGCTGCATCTCTGGCTGCTAGTGTACACTCTGGTTGTGATCAGGCTGTTCAGGCCAGGAATGTGGTTCGGGTCAGGAACTCTTGGACACCGCTCTAACCACTGAGCCACCGTCGCAGTTACTGAGTCTAAGAGTTTTGGTGTTTATGGCCCTTCATGTAGAGACATTGCCGAATTCAGGCCGTAAGTGAGCTAGATAGATTTGAGTTCATGTTGATGGCTGCGTCTAGAATTTGGGGAAGAACACTGGTGTATTCTTCTTCCATTCCTGGTAGTCTTTGCGGTCGCCGTAGCGCTTGTCGTACTTCTTCTCGGACATGGGAATGCCAGACACCTGAGAGGTTAGTTAGCAATACTGCCTCCACGCGTGTGTATTGGAGAAGCATACCTTGAAGAGCAAGAAAGTCACAAACGCTGGACTGACAGCAGCCATAGCCAATGCACCGATTCTGCCAACGGCGCCTCCACTGAATCCCATACCCGCCTGTCCAACACTGCTCATCATCACACCGGCGGCCGTGGTCGCGATACCAGTCCATAATGTGCTCTCACCAAAGTAATTCGGATGCCTCGATTTGCTCCACAGTCCACGCGTCAAGAAGTCTTCCGAATGCTTCTTCTCTTTCTTCTCTTTCATCCATTGTGACTTCTGCCTATCCGCCGTGGCCTCAAATGTGATACCTCCCACGTAAAGCAACAATCCCACAACATCCACAATCGTGAGAAACGGCAATGACGCAAGTGTGGTGGCTGGGATACTGTTTACTGCAAGAACTGGCATCAGGCACAATGACACCCAAGTCGCCTGCGCGAAGAACGCAACACCAAACTTTGCCGGTTTCTCACGGATGCCATCGAATCGACTATCCCGTCCATCTTCCGCCGTGATACGCGAGAAGAGGAAAGTTCCCAACCGCGCTGCCCAAAATGTCACTGCCGCGCTCAATACTACTTGTCTCCAATTCCATGCATTGACGCCTCCTTTGCTCGTCAAGCTTGCCAGCAGACTAGGCCATGCTGCAGCCGTGCTTCCTGGTCCTGCTGCAAGGCGGGCGCGGATGGTGGGGAGGTAGAGGGAAAGAGCGGCGCAGGAGATGTATGTCAAGGAGCCTGAGAGATCGTAGAACCGTTCGGTTTGGAAGATGATTGAGGGGATCGCAGCTGCTGCTTGGATTCCGTATGCGAGACCGATGGATGGGACGAGAGTGCGGAGGAATGGGTTGCGGAAGTGTGTAGCGTGGAGGAGGCTGTTGATTAGAGAAGACATATTGAGTGTGATTGGGGTCTTTCTCTTAGGAGGGATATGTCGAATATATGCCGACCTACCTCAAGCAAGGCAGCATAACTAATTAACAGCTGTGCTTCTACGGCACGCGTGCATGTGAAGCTCCCAAAAGTCAAAGTCGTGATGTCAGTACTTGTCAAGGTTCAGCTTCGTTCCATCCTTCTTGGCGCCATCGGAGAGATCCATACCCCGTCTGCCAACTTCAACCACTACTTCGATCGCGTGTTTTCGACTTGAACTTTCAGATCGCCGGCCGGAGTCTGCGAAACCGACGGCCGTGGAGTAGGACTGGTGCGTACGGCGAAAGTGGACCGTATTGACACGTCGTTCAGCAGACAATGACGGCACTCCATTTGGACTGGTTGAGGCAGAACTGTTGATCTGCTACTTTGAGGAAAATGCCAAGTACTGACTCCGGTTGTACTGCCAGTCCAAGGAGAAGTTCAATAACCCCAGGCGCATCATTTGAGGACGCTCCGCCGATAATGGTCGAGAAGATGGTGCGGGTGTTCTCAGGAGCCCGAGCGCCTCTTCAGCAACCCAAGCGACGACGACAGCGAGCTCGCAACCGAGTCGGTTTTTGACGACGACGCCTTCGAAGAGGAAGAGGAGTGAAATGAAGTAAGTTCACTGGTTCTCATTCCTCTGTCGTAACCATCGGGGTATCATCAAACATTGCTCTAACATTTCACAGAACATCATAACGGTATACCGATCTCCACCTGCGCCCATTGCCCTGCAACAATATCCCTCGTGTACTCCGATATATCGCTCCCATTCGTTTGGAAGAATACCAGCAGATCATTACCACCACTGTTGTTTGGAAGTGCAGTAACGCCCATGTGCGTGCCAGGTAGGCCTCGAGCGCTGCCGACTTGAAAAGGATCATACATCGTCGTGTTTTCGGCCGCCCAAGATATATTGAAGCCGTGGATATGCAGATCCTCAAGCTGGGCATAGAACACGTTTGTGTAGCCCAGGGATGTTGAAGGATGAACGTTGGGTATGGAGACTCCAGTCGCTTCGAATCATTAGTACTGACTGGTTCTACGCCGATGCATGCGAGAGGAGGACTCACCATTCGTCCAAGCATTGATCGGATGCGCCGTCGTATTGGTCAGATTGGTGTTCGTGTCCTTCCACCAGAACTCGACGGTGTTCTCTGAATTCACAAACATGACATATGTGACGGTCCCGGGACCCCAGCTGTAGCAACCTGAAGCAACAGTCAACAAGAGTTAATCAAGGCGAAGAATACACATAGACAAGTAACTCACCAACGCCTGCATGGCCATTCATGTTTGGCCACGAACCTTGATGCTCCCAGGTGTCATCACCATCACGCCAGCCATACTGCTGGAAGGTGTTGTTGTCGGAAGCATACCACATGTGCATCCCGACTTCATGCGACTGATTGGCTTGCGGCGATTCATTCGGCAGTGGTGTATGAGCATAATCACTGTCGCCGTAGTCATTCCCATACCAGCAAGCTTGCATTCCAACCATATCGGCATCGAATACCTTCAAATTCAGGTCATTGATCGGCCCATCCTCCCACACATTACTCGTGTTTCTATTCGATCGCTGCTTCAAGGTGTTGTTCTGGTCGACATAGAAGACATGCCACGTGCTGGAATCGTTGAGAACGTATGAAACAGCTGATAGTGGCGTGCTATTCTTCGCGTCTTGCGCCACAACTGTGGAATAGTCGCCTCCGAGCCAGGAACCATCATTGCTCAACTGCTTATACCTGATTTCACCTTTCCAGTGCTGAAAGTACATCACGAGACTGCCTTGATTTCCGTCTTGCAGTTCCCGACTGAAGGACTGCTGGGCCAAAGCGATGCCAGATCCATTGAACGCGCCAGATGTGGTGTAATACTGCGGACTGATAGCGCCTCCGATGAGGTAGTCAGTATTGACTTGGGTATCATCGTCCGAATCTGAAGAGCTGTAGCAATGTCAGATGCTTGACAGCAGCTGCCATGCGACCCTTACATACTTATCATTATTCAGGCCTACACCTAACCCTACGCCGAGTGCGATGGCCAGGATTATGATCGCGGCCAACGCAATCAAGAACCAAATCAGCGGAATGCCGCATATCCTCCGTCGTTTTTGAAGTCTTTCCTCAGGCCGCTGATATGCCTCCGGCTGTGCTGGTGGTATCACCACTTCTTTCTCTTCATTGTCAGATCGGTAAGTCTCTGGCATCGGCGACACTAATTCCGAGGGCGAGTATGGTCGCTCTTTATCCGATAATCGACGGCTTCCCACCACTGTCCCTTCTTGTGTCTGACCATCCTGATGTACTCCCGTTTGCTCTCCTTCGAAGTTCTGATACTGTTGATAAGGTGGCGAGGCATTACTGACTTGCTTGTCAGCATCCGACTGTTGAAAATGCGAACGAAGATCCATCGAGCCGGTCGAATGCTCGACTGCTCTACTCCTCCGATTCATGCCTCCAATGGGGACAGTGTGGCAGAGGAAGTCACTCACAAGTTTTCTGTGAATCGCGGTATGGCAGTGCCGCTTTCGGAAAATCGCGGTGGGAGAGACTCCATTCTTGAGGGAGGGGAATCTATGTTGAATTATATCGATACAAGAGTATAGAAAGTCCAGCCTTAGATCTCTCCTACCGGTTGCGATACCATCAAGAGTAATGGCGAGGTCAACGCACTGGTCAGTAATAATGCAGAAAACGTACCAACTTTCGTGAAGAGTGGTGACCAGCTCGTACTCGCCATTAATAGCCCGGCTGTCAGCACCTCTTTTGCACTTTTGTGTCCTGTACCACACAACGCTGAACACATGGCTGCTGCAGCGATCCAACCGGATATTGCCGGACTATGGTACCTCGAGAAACACTCTCAGGTCATCACGAGACTAGCCTATAAAAAAGATTCAGCTTTCTTCGTGAGGTCGCAGTGTAGCGAATTGGAGGGTCAGAGCTAGCTGCAAGGGTTGCATAGCGCTGATGGCATGCATGTATGTTGCATGGCTAGGCACAAAGCTTCAAGGAGCTCCCATAGCGCGCCCATGAAGCCGCAGTGGGCAATGCATCTGTTGAAGCGAGATTCGATCTCGTTTCGCATTCGCAGCAGTTTTCACGGTCTTCCCGAGCACAAGGCTTCTATTAGCGAGGTACGTATCATAGTTTCGACCAAGCCAAAAGTGTCCTCGATATTCATGAAGCGAGAAAATAGCCCGACCATGAGGCGTCCAGCAATGTTCCGAGCATGACTTGCGCTGCGCCTTGATCGCCGTAGCCGAGTTTTTGGATCGTGCGTTCGTGTCTGCCTCTCATCAGACAAGCCGCCAGGTCAGGTTGAGATGCAGGGCAGCAGATCCAGACCCAGTCTGTACCAGACATCTCACGGCATCCTTCGATGTTGTCTTTGGATGCGGGTGGTTGATGAACGAGTAGAGAAAAGAGAAGAGAGCAGGGAAGTATCGATGCGGCGACGCTACGCACTCGTTCCGGCCGATCATCCGACGCACGTGGTCGCCAAGGTAAGCTTACTTAAGATTTCGCTATGACAGCTTGGAAAATGAGCAGAACCATCAACAACACACCACCTGGAGGGCGACCACGACCACTTTATCACCCATCGATGCATAGCGGCCGACACTGACGGAGACGTGTTGCATTCATCGGCGCGCAGGGCTCCTGCCAGCCAATCCTTTAAGCGGCCATTGCAGCTTCTTCCTTGGAGCAGTAGCAGTAACATGATATGCGAAGAGTCGTCGTGACTGGCCTTGGAGCAGTCACGCCACTCGCAGCAGGCGTAAAGCAGACATGGCGGCGTCTTCTGGCTTCTGAGAGCGGTATAGTCTCGACTAGCACAAAGAATCTCCAATTCGAGGCACTTCCTAGTCGAGTAGCTGGCCTTGTGCCTCTCGGAAGCCGCGAAGATGGGAGATGGCAGGCCAGAGACTGGCTTCCTGCAAGCGAGGAGCGTCAGATGGCTCTATTTGCACAATACGCAATAGCTTGCGCTCATGAGGCTCTGGAGGACGCTGGCTGGCACCCGACCAAGGAAGAGGATCTCGAGGCCACTGGCGTCACCATTGGATCAGGAATCGGCAATCTTGACGAAGCATACAGCACGTCAATTGCCTTCCATGAATCTGGATATAGAAAGGTCTCGCCTCTCTTTGTACCCAGACTACTTATCAACCTAGCAGCCGGCCACGTTTCCATCAGATACGGCTTCAAGGGTCCGAACCATGCTGCAACAACCGCTTGCACAACCGGCATTCACGCTATTGGTGATGCATCTAGATTGATTGCATTTGGTGACGCCGATGTCATGGTGGCAGGCGGCGCCGAATCCTGCATACATCCTCTTGCCGTTGCTGGCTTTGCTCGCGCACGCAGTCTTGCCACTGATTGGAATAGCAACCCATCTGCGTCTTCAAGGCCCTTTGATCGAGATCGAGCAGGTTTTGTGATCGGTGAAGGAGCTGGCGTAGTCGTTCTCGAGGTTTGAAGGCATGAATGGCTGCATGTCATTTTGTGCTGACGAAACGGCAGGAACTTGAGCATGCAAAGGCTCGAAACGCGCATATCTATGCAGAGATCAAAGGTTATGGCTTGTCTTCAGACGCATACCATATGACTGCACCAAAGGAAAATGGCCATGGTGCTTTCCTGGCGATGAAACAAGCATTGAAACACGCTCAGACCAAGCCGGAGCAGATCGACTATATCAATGCGCATGCCACATCCACCAAGCTAGGTGATGCTGCCGAGAATTCCGCTATCAAGAATCTCTTGCTGGGTCAGGATGGAAAATCGAAGGCCTCCGAGATCAACGTTTCTAGCACGAAAGGAGCCATTGGCCATCTTCTTGGCGCAGCTGGAGCGGTCGAAGCTATCTTCACCATCCTTGCAACCTTCAACGTGCGTCAAATCTCCCATCGGCATATGAGCTAAGTACTGACGGTTGCATAGAATATTCTGCCACCAACACTGAATCTTGACAATCCTGGCGACCCTCCCGCTGACTTCAACTGCAACTATGTCGCCAGAACAGCACAGCAACATTCCGTAAAGGCAGCATTGACCAACAGCTTTGGCTTCGGTGGTACAAATGCCAGCTTGTGCATAGCAAAGTACAATGGATCCTAAAAACGGAAAACTCAAGTCGCGGTCTCTGCTGTTCGACTAATTGCGTGCTATCAAAAGACCCCGCAGATAGACTGAGATAGTGGGGTTTGATACAAGCACTAGCGAGCTGGCCGTTGCTACCACATTACGGCAGAGAGAAGAAAAAAAGGCTTTGCTACTTAATCACACCTGCAGAGCTCATTCTATATGGCTGAACGCTCTCCGCTACTTCCTCAAAGCGGCGCTGCGGACATGACCACAAGCGACATGGAGTCCTCAACACTGAAGGGTCCCCTTCTTAGAAAGCTGCAATCTCAAGCAGACGCCTACCACCAGCGCATACCATGGATACGAAAACTTCCCGGTCCAGCAATAGCGATCATCCTGCTGTTGATTTTCGTCCAGATCATCGTTTGGATTGCGGTGGGCATAGTCCTACACTTCCACACAGCTCTCATCTCAACCGCCGTGCTCTCCTACACTCTAGGACTCCGCCACGCCCTAGACGCAGACCACATTTCCGCCATTGACCTCATGACCCGCCGTCTCATTGCCTCCGGCCAAAGACCAGTCACAGTCGGCACGTTCTTCTCCCTAGGCCACAGCACAATCGTAATCGTCACCAGCATCGTCGTCGCAGCCAGCAGCGCCGCAATACAAAAACGTTTCGACTCCTTCAGCACCGTAGGCGGCATCATCGGCTCCTCAGTCTCCTCCGCCTTCCTCATAATCCTAGGCGCAATGAATGGTTGGATCCTCTACAAACTCTGCACCGCGCTCGAACGCGCCATCGCCGCACCAATCAACCAAGAAGTATCCTTAGACATGACCTTCGAAGGGGGAGGTTGCATGACAATGCTCCTAAAACGTACATTCAAACTCGTCGACCGACCCTGGAAAATGTATCCTTTAGGCGTACTTTTCGGCCTAGGTTTCGATACATCTTCTGAAATCGCATTACTTGGAATTTCCTCCATCCAAGCCGCGAAGGGCACTTCGATCTGGTTAATCTTAATCTTCCCGATTTTATTCACTTCGGGAATGTGTCTTCTCGATACTTTCGATGGCGCAGCCATGATGTCTCTCTACACTTCCGCCCGCTTAGCGAAAGACACCATCGCCGTCTTATACTACCAATGCGTCCTCACAGCCATCACGGTGTTCGTCGCAGTCACCATCGGACTCATACAGCTTTTGACCATGATCCATGCCGTGCGTCCGGATTTCAGTGGACCTTTTTGGGAGGGCGTGGATGTTGCGGGAGACAATTATGATATTATCGGTGGGAGTATTTGTGGAAGTTTTGTCGTGTTTGGCATTTTGTCTGTGGTTTTGTATAAGCCTTGGAGGAAAGGAGTGGATCGGAAGAGGGAAGCTAGGCTTTATGGAACGGATGATCAGGTTGGGAGTACAGGGTTGGGTGAGGTTGAGGTACTTGGTGATCAAGATGGGCGGTTGGTTGATGCTTCTGATGCGACGCCTGCGAAGAATGATGTTAAGACTCGTGCGCAGCCAGTGATTGGTGAGAGCAGTAGAGGTTAGATCGCGTTGCGTCGCGTAGAAATGTTCGAATTAATGGCCTTCGAGCCGACATCATAAGCCGGCGAGGCGATGTAATCTATATATTATATGTGACTTCAATCTTCGACTTGGTATCCAGCACATCCATGCGGGTGGTATATCTCTCTTCCTCATGTCAGTCTCCCCAATGCGTACTAGAGCAAAGTCGTTCCGCCCTTCCTCAAGAAACGATATCCAGAACGCCATAAACGCGAGCCGAACTATTTTGTAATCCCATCCTCAAACGCCAGAATTCCAGAGTGAAGTTGCAATTCAGATGTCCTTACACGCTAAAATTGCGTCCACAATCTGTGATATCTTCATATCTGTCTCCATGACCTTCCTACTTCGGGGACGCCTTCATAGCTTCATGCATGAACAGTTTCTTCAAGGACTGATCCGCCTTGGGACTTTGTCGCGAGTCCCGGCGGCGACGACTTGTGTCTCGTCTCTCGTACGTGATGTCGTTGGCCTCAGCTACCCGGAAACACGTCTGTGCACTGGCACTGCTCTTTATGCTTGCATCCTTCATGAGTTGTGTCGGACTACCATCTGCGGCAGCGGGGTATGGCATGACTAGCTCGATGCTCTTTGTGGCAGAGTATGAGCTTGTGAAGGGATTGTGTCTCGAGACGAGTGGACGATATGATGCATTCGAGGCCACGGTTCCATACGAGGAGGATGGTGAGTGCACAAGTGACGGCAGATTGGTATTGCTATCGCCGCCAGTGGCAGTAGATACATTCGCGCGGCTGCTCATTCTCGTCCTCGTCGGTTTGGAGCTGTTCAAGTCGTTGTAGAATTGTTCTAGGTAGTGGATGGCGTCGCTGTCGCGGCGACTGTCTCTGTCACTTGAGTCGGTGGAGGAACGCGAGTCGCGGTCAGAAATATTCAGGTCCGAGAAGGTGAGGGACAGGGGTCGAACAATGGTGGGCGATCTCTGAGGGACGATGTCGGGGATAGGATGGTCAAAGTACGAGGTCGCTGAGACATTCGAGGCTACTGGTGACGAGATCGATTGTGTTATCACTTGTATATCCGCTATGGACGTTGGCCTTGAGTCTCGTCTTCGGCATCTGTATCCGTGTTAGTACAGACCCTTGCCAAGGCCGATCATCTTGGTCGCAGGAGACGACGTACGCTTCAGAACAGTACAGAATGCTCGGATTGGGGGTGACAATCTGCTTCTCACATGTCGGGCTAGAGAGACAGGTCAGTCAAGCTCGTTCACACCTTCCTCCTACTCAAAACTGGGCTCGGCATACCAGAACTGCAAGAAGCTCTCCATGCCGTTCGTCTCGTGGTCAGCGTCTTTCACGCCACTGTCCTCCACCACAGATTTCTTGCTCCAACCTGCACCGGCAGGCTTGTTCGGCGAGGGTTGGCCTCCATGAGAATGCGAGTGGGCGTGGTTGTAGCTCCTTCTAGTAGTCAAGGGCGGAGGCTTACTAGACCTAGCATGCGGCGGTAGAGCTTTGCGGGCGTGTGACGGCTGGCGAGCATGATGTCGTTGGTTCATTGCATGCACCGGCGGGCCAGTAGACCCGATGGGTGATTATCGGACGCCGACGTGGTGAATGGCAACGGCTACGACGAGTTGAATGCACGTATGCGGAATTGACTTCTGCTGCGCGTACAGGAAGGGGCGGTGACTCCTGCAACGTCGTGGCAGGAGACCTATTAGGATTGGAGGACGTGCCGCAGTGGCTTTGATGGCAGTATGCGGCGGCGAGGGATAAACGAGAGTGAGTGAATAAAGCGAATGCCTGGAAAAGACGCAGTCAGCCAGACGGGTCTCACTTTGATATCGTACCAGAGTGGCAGCTGTCACGCACCTTGTGGGCGGGAGCACGTCAATCGGGATAGTAATGGTTCTTGTATGACTGCAATGGCCGCTATCGCAGGCGTGCCGCCCAAATTGGCTTTGATAACAATAGGGTAGTTCTCTTATCGGCTGGGATGCGTTGATCAAGCGAGGGGAAAACAAAGGAGGTGCGGCAAGAAGAATGAACGAAAGAGGCAGAAATGGAGTATACGTAGGGTGATGATAGAGATGCTTCTGTCTCATATGATCGGGGCCTTGTCAGGTTGTGTCCAATTGCCGTGTTGTTGCGCCATCTCAGAGTCTCTGTCGACGCGGCTGGCCAGCGACGCAGAGAACTTTCCACCGCAGCGATGCGAGGCGGTGAATAATCCACAGCGCCGGAGCAAAGCAACGGTAAGCCAGTGCCAGTGCCAGTGCCAGTGCCAGTGCCAGCGCCAGCATCGGGTGCACTGGCATGTGGAGGCCGGCGGGCGCTGCGTGTTGCTCGCTCGTGCTCGTGCTCGTGCTGATGATGTGGTTCGCGGATGCATGGCATGACTGCTTTTCACAATTGACTCGCGCTCGGCGCCTCCCGCAGTCCCGCAGTCCCGTTCCTGCCAACCTCGGCCTCTGTTGCCGTGGAGCACTTGCACTTGCACTTGCACTTGCTCATCCATGATGACTTGCAGCACGCAACGAGTTCCAGCAATCACGACGCCGATCCCGTGCAAGCACAAGCACTGGCGACTGGTCGTTCTTTCCCAGCTTCTTCCATTTGCCGAGCACGGCCCCTGCCATTATGCCATAATAAGCACACGCGCTTCACTCGTATAGAAAGACGTGACGAGTGTCGTCTCATCATACGGAACGTACGACAGCCAGCAGTAATACCGAATGCCTTGCACAGCGGATCGTACGGTACCGCAATCCCTCCATATCGCCGTCGTCGGCCATGGTAATTCTTCCACCCTGGCGCTTTTGCCGCCATTGGTCGATACGACAACACGCGTGGCACACTTGATCGAGCTATGGTCCTGCTGTGCTCTACACCGCTCCACGGCTAGCTACAGAAGACCGTCAATGGACTGCTGCTCGACATTGCTAGAGGAATCACTGCAGCTGCTATCAGATTGTCGCGCTTGTCGCGCCGATCGTCCACACATTTTCCATCTTGACCGCTACCAACAAACAACGCTGCAGGCCTATCTCACAGCACCCGGCTTCGACCTTTTCAGGAACCCGCACGGGAGAGTCCGAGAGGCTCGATCTTCGCCCTGGCTCCCTCCCTACTCTTGAAACAACTTGCCTGTTGTGGATTCCACATCTGTTTAACCCGGTCCCTCCACATCATGAACACATCTCAGCTTCAGCGGAGCCCTGGTGTTTCACTAAACCAACCCACTTGAGGCTGTGCAAACTTCTAGACCTTTTAAACCCCACGGCCGCTCAAAGCTTTCTGTTGAGGAAGACTCTGCGACAGCCTCTTATTATTCCATGCGCAAATTTGCTCGCGCTTACGAGAGCGCTACCTCAGCTACTTCGATTCGTTCAAAGTTTGTGCTCCAGAACACAAGGAAAAGTTCTCCACAGGCTCACGCAATCCTTCGGCTTGAACAGGAACCAACGAATTCTCCCACGACTGCTCTCAACTGCCAATGCCTCTTTGTGGCAGTGATTGACTTCCATCATGTCCAGCTGCTGCTAGAATATGCAACACTTCAGGAGGAATGCTCTGCCGGCAGATGCCATTCCATGTTGGTTGCGCATCGCTTTGAACGTTCAAACAGCGTCATCTAACGCGCGTTTGATCGTGCAGCCAACGACATTCATTTCGGGGCTCCTTCTGGGTGGGCCATCATGGTCAGCATGTGCACTGACGAGCAGAGTACCAAAGCCTAAAGCGTTGCTACGCCAGGCCTTCGCGAGTACCATCTACTACGGTATGATAATTTTATTGATTTCGATTATGTACCGCTGGCCACAGAGTATTCAAAGGGTTATCTAACTTAGTTAAACTTACTGCCAAACTCCCGTTAAAATCTGTCGATACTCCATCGATCTGCTCCCAGTATCGTAATTCCTCGAGGCAAGTCGACGCTTCGACACGCTTAGTTCCAACCAATTATAGCCATCAAGCAGCAGCTGCCACGACCTTCGACCCAATCTCAAGCTGAGCCCAATCACTGCAAGCGTCCACAAATGCAGTTTCATCGTCAATGCTGGCGATGGACGAAATACTACCTCGTCTGGTCGATGCAGACGAGCAGTTGACCTTCGCCATGATAGCAGTCCACCCTTCCTGGATCTGACTTAACTCTTCGAGTTGGTCATCGCCCGATGCCTCCAGAGCAGAGAGCCTCGCCGATAGCATATTGCTTACAGTCTGCTTGGAGTCGGCAGTATGCAGATCATACAAGTCAGAGCCAGCAAGATCGCCCTTCGACAAAGCCGAGAGCGTCGATGGCTTGCCGCCAATAGCAGCGTAATGCAGCACACTCCAGCCATTGGGTTTGACAACTGTGCAGTCTGCTCCCGCTTCAATGAGAGCTGGGATACAGGTGAAGCTGTTGTTCGTGACAGCCAGCATGACAGCCGCATTGCCATCCGTCGTCTTTGTACGAGCGTCAGCCCCAGCTTTTAGGAGACCTTTTAGACTATCCAAGTAACCCCTCCAGCAAGCCCAGTGCAGAGGCGTCCATCCGCAGAAGTCACGCCCATCCACACATGCGCCAAGATCTACAAGACCAAGTACATGATTCATATCGTCTTGGGTTTCCGCCGCATAATGCAGAGGTGTCGTCTTCGTCTCGGACATGGCAGCATTGATGTTCGCTCCTGCTTCTACAAGAGTCCGGATTGTTGTCACGTTACCAGTCTGCGCCGCCAGGTGAATTGGCTGCTGCGTCAAATTGTTCGCCAGGGTAATGGAGGCGCCATGGTCTAGCAGAATCTGAAGTGAAAGGCTGTCGCCGCGGGCTGCAGCCCAGGCAAGCGGTGTGTAGCCAGTACTGTCTCGTACATCAATATTGGCTGTCGAATTCTGTAATTCCTCAAGCAGGTCTCTCCCGCTCAGGCCGAGGACGATCTTGTGAAGGATCGTAAACTCTCGTGCATCTAGCTGCTCTGTATCGTTGAAGACTTCTCGAAGAGCGAGCTCTGATGCTGTATCCAGGTATCCGGACAAGATGCGGTTCCACGCGATATCAAAAGGAGTCTCTCGGCGAAGTGATTCGGCATTCAAGTCTGCGCCAGCATCCTTGAGAAACTTTGCTGTGTGCAATTGTCCTGCAGTCAGGGCGAGGTGCAATGCAGTCCAGCCAGTATCAGTGGCATCAAAAGGGCTTGCTTCGCCATTCGCGAACATTTGCGCCAGACGTCTATTGTCGCCTGCTTGGACTTGAATGAAGACTTCATGGAGGCCAGGTCGCAATCTTGAGAGTCTGAGGATTTTCTCGGGGCCGCGAGCGCCATTAGAAGTGGACACCAGCGTGAGAATGCCTTGAATGTACGACCAAACAGGGAATTGATATTGAATCCTCATGGTTGCCTTTTGCCGTTGAGCGCAGGCATGCTCGTTGCATGGTGGCGTGAAGTTCATACCAGCAAAGTCGACGAGCAGCTGTCCTGTCAGCATACGTAAGACGTTCGGAGTCTGCAATTTGGTTGCATGATGGCATTGACAACCACAAAAGACCCTACAACGCCCTGGTTGCCGTCGTGGAAGTTGAAGGGCAACTGAAGCTTGCTTCGCAGGAGCTTCAGACTTTTCCCCGAAGGGATTGCCAGGCGTGTGAGTAGCCATCTTTTGGCGGAACAAGGACAACTCTTGTGAATACTCAAGCGTGCGATCGCTCGGGAGCGCGGCATTACCAGTCGACCAGCTTCGTCCGCGAAGCTCAGGGCGTTCTGAGGAATGATCAATATCGAGAGGCGCGCACTGCTCGGAATTCCGTCGACCCATTGGGGTTGCACTTTGCATTGAAGATATGAGAGCGATTCGGAAGCTGGCCAGTTGTAGTGACAGCTCCGCTGCAAGACCTGGTCTTTGTTGAGCAATCTCTTCTTGCAGTGCCTTCAGCGCTTCGTGATGCCGAGTGTGCATCTCTTTGCCGTCAACGATGATCTTTTCCAGCTGCACCTCGTTCTGGTGCACCATAGATCTTGATCAGGATGTTAGGCTGTAGTCCAAGACAGGGTGTGGTCCGACTTACGCGCTGAAAAGGTTGATGCAAAACCCAAGCTCGATCCTGACATCTAGAGAAGCAGAGTCAGTAGTGGATAGAGCAGTGTGAAGCTCGACCAAGGACGCATGATCGTGAAACGACATCGATCTCGGACACAGCGTAGCGGATTGTCAGCAACCACACGCTCACCTCGCAGCTCCTGCTTGAGACGCCCAAACTCCGACTGCCATTTCAGCCAAGCTGACTTCTTGAGCTCCGTCGAGTCATCTTTGAGCAACTTGTCATCAAGAAACTTTTTCACCTGCTCTACCTTCGTCCGCGCTGCCTGGATCGCTGGTTCTAGAGACAAGTCCTTGATGATAGCGGGACGACTGCTGCTCGGAGCTCGCAATATGTTTCCCACATGCTCAACATGCTTATTGACAGCCAGTATTTCATCTTCTAGTGAGGCAATTTCTTTCGGTGCTTTCCTCAGGCGATGCAGCTTCTGTGTGGTGTTGGCGAGGGCAGCCGTGGCTCCCATGCATGTTATGATCGCAGTCGAGATCGACAGAGGGTCCATGACGGGTAATGTGCAGAGGATTAGCTGTTCACAACGTTTTCTTTCATCAGCAGTCGGGTACGATCGCCCTTGTCGCGCTCATGGCGATCATGGCGAGTGACGAGGACTGAAATAGAACTGCGATGCTCTCTCTTGCACGGAAGCCTGTGGTCGCCATGATCATATGGCTGCAGAGGCAAGGCTCGCGTGGCTTTCTGCGAGATCTGTGATGCGTCGCTGAAGAGGCCGCCTGCATATACACGTGGTGGAGGCGTGTGTGGTTGTCGAAAGCGAAAGGAAGGCCCAAGAGCTCGGCTAGCTAGCAGCCCACCACAAGCTGCCTCGGTGGTGGCTGGGCATTGTTGCCAGACCTTGACTACGGAACAGCTTTCGCTCACCTCACCTACTAGCCAGTAGTGTGGCCGTGCAAAGAAATGCTTTCCGCAGAGGAAGGCAGCTAAGTATGCGGCTCTTGGCTTGTCGTGGCATCAGCTCTGACTGACACAGCTAATTTTCCTGCCCAGAAAGAATGTATCTCCATTCACACCCAACTTTGGGGTCGATCGCTGGCAAGCAGATCAGTCCTGAACTGGTGCAGTTTCGATCGATTCCATACGCCACAATTCCTCAAAGATTCGCTCGTGGCCAACTTCTTGCGGCTCTTCCTAGGGAGGCAGGCTGCGACTACTACGATGCCTCTGAATACGGCCCATGCAGTATCCAGCCGTCTGACTATATTGAGCAAGATATCAAATGGAATCAGTTGCCTAGCCAGCCAAACAGGCTTCAGACGCAGTCCGAAGATTGCCTCAGGGTCACCATAACGGTGCCGGAATTACAGCTGGCTTCACAATGCAAGATACCTGCCCTAGCATTCATTCATGGTGGAGCGCTTTCCATTGGGTCTGGTGAACGCTATTATTACGACGCCACCAAGTTTTGTAACGATGCCATTCACTGGGGCAAACCTTTGATCTTCGTCTCTATCAATTACAGACTCGGCAATCTAGGCTTCTTGCACTCTCCTCAAGCAGCAGACCTCGTCCCCCCAAACAATGGACTACACGACCAAATCCTCGCTCTTCAATGGATACGCTCCTTCATTGCAGGCTTCGGAGGTGACCCTGATCACGTCACGGCGATCGGGCAGTCTGCAGGCGCTGCAAGCTTAGCTGTGCACAATAGTCATCCAAGAGCAGAGCCATTGTACCTCAAGTCCATGGTAATGGGCGGCTCGAGCACTATTCTGACAACGAAAAGTCCAGATGAGCATCAAGCTGACTTCGAAAGGACGGTACGTGTCTTGCAAATCCATACGAAACCTAACACCGCACACTTCGATCAATTCTGCGCCCCATACCTTGACTTGATTTCTGTGCCCCGATTAGTTTTATCAGTACACATCTGCTCACGTTTTGGTAGGTTGAAAGTCTTGGCATCACGATCAAAGGTCGATCTGCGCACGAAGTCGCTCAAGAAGTGATCGAGCTCCCATTGGAGTCTTTCCGGCGTGTAGAGGCACATGGCGCGTTCTGCTCTGAGAGCGAGCTGATACCAGATCATGACTGGGCATCTATGCTTCATGCGCAACGTTCAAAGCCAAATACTTGGCTCCAGTCTCGGGTGATTGGATCTGGTACGTATGAGGGCTCAATTTGCTATCTCGTTGAGAACGAGAAAGCACGACCAAACAAAACCAGAATCTTTAAAACCATATGCGAGGCACGGTTGAAGAAGCCACAGCAGCTATTGGACTTGTGGAAGATATCGACCAGTGACTCCGAAAATGAGTCCTTGGAGAAGATTGCCCAGGCCGCTACCGATACCGGATGGTATCTGCCTGCGATCAGTATGTGCATGAGTTCGGCGGGCTCCCAGACAGAGAGCTTCCTCGTGCTCTTCGACATACCCAATCCATGGCCGGGACCTATGCCTCAAGGTAAGTATGCAAGTCATACCTGGGATGTCATCTCCCTCTTTGGCCCGTACGAGGACCACTTGCCCGATGAACTGCGGTCTGGTGTTATTGCATGGCGGCAGCTTGTCATAGACTACTGCTACGGAAAAGCACCGGGCAAACCTTGGCAACAAGAGAGTCAGTACGCAAAATTATGTACTCCTCGTGGCGTCAAGTCGCTCGGACACGAGGAGCTTGTTGCTCGGAGAGAAGGTAAAGTGGCTGCGTTAGCACAGCAAGAGAAAGGCGAAGATGGATTTGACCATATATGGGAGGATGTCGTGAGGTACTACTTGGACTCAAAGGATCCTCACATAGCATAGAGCACTCGAAAGACTCAATCAAATTTAGCCTTGAGGCGACGAACTCTAGGCAGGCAGGTTATCGACAAAGTCAGCATGATCTTGAAAAGGCTTGGCGTCGCATGCGACAACCTTGGAGAATCCTTGGTCGTGCTTGACTTGTCGACCTCATCATCCAAAGCAGTAGCATTAACCAATTACAATTCCAGGTGCATCCTCCAAGGAATCAAATAGCAGAGGGCAACGACTTCGAAGCTGAAGTGCGATTCGAGCTACCCACCCTGCGTATAGACAGAAATATAGACGAAAGAAGTTGGAAAAGATGACCTGAACGTGCCACATATCATGTAATTCGGCTCATACCACCTCTAAGCAACATCACAATCTCTTCTCTTGCATCTACTCAATACCTCCTCGATAATCATACATGACATATCCTACCACAGATATCTTCCTCATTCACTCTGCATTCCACCAACTCCAGTCCTTTCCTCACCTCCCCACGATGAAATGCACTGAATGAGATGCAGCCAGGAAGCATTCATGGTAATTGCAGTAGCAGTAGTAGCACAATCGACAGTTACAGCGTAGCTCGTAAAGGTTATCGGTAATCCTCGAGCTCAGTAATGGGGTATCGCAAGTAGTCCATCGCACGTACGCCAGCCTCCATCCGGTACAGCATCAGCAGCGTCCTTGTGAAGTGCCCGGCCCGTGGATGTTATAAAGAAAAAGGAAACATCGAGTCATTTCCGCCAGTCTCCATTGCTGCACGATGCAGTCTCCGCCTCAGCGAGCCATAAGTGGTTGCGCGATCGACGACAATGGAGTACGTTTCCGCCAGTCGGTTGTGTACGCCGGACGAGCAGCTTTCTAGGCCTCCGCATCCTTGGTCTCCTCAACCGATGGGTTGTGGTTTTCAGTGCCGTTTGGCTGGGCAGCACCCTCAGCGTCACCACCTGTTGGACCGCTGTGGTTCTTGAGATACTCGTCGTAGACGTTGAGTGCCTCCTGGACCTTCTCACGGAGCGCATCATCGTTGCTGGTGCTGCGAATTGTCAGTGTCAAGAATGGCTGCAAGTGAATGTCGTTGACTTACAGGTTGATGAGCTCCTCGTTGTCCATCTCGAGAAGCATACCGGTAATCTTGCCAGCAAGCTCTGGCTGCTGGGCGTGGATCTTGGGGTACAGAGCCTCGCCGAGCATCTGCTTCTGCTGTGGCGGTGGAGCGGCGCCGAGAGCGGCAAGATCGATGCCTGGGCCAGCTGCACCACGGTTTGCAGCACGACCGCGCTGCTCATCTGAACGACCACCCATTGGGCCACGGCCTTGACCGCCTGGGGCGCCACCACGACCCATGCCTGGACCACCCATCATCTGTGGTGGAAGGCCTGGCATACCTGGCATCATTGGCATACCTGGAACTGGGCCACCACGACCAGCACCACGACCAGCGCCCTGCGCAAGGGCTTGGGCTTGCTGGATCATCTGAGCATAGGCAGCTGGGTTGGAGTAACCTTGTGGCATGCCAGCCATCTGTGGCGGAAATCCGTATGGCATCTGAGGCATCTGTGGGAGAGCGGCAGGACCACCGCGACCGCCCTGCTGGGGCATTCCTGGGAAACCGCCGCGCTGGCCTTGGCCTTGTGGCATACCTTGAACGAAGGGCATCTGACCACGTCCGCCCGGAATCATCATCGGCTGGCCGTTTGGACCAATGAACATCTGTGGTGGAGCCATGAACTGCTGTGGAAGACCGCCGGCAGTGGCCTGTTGCTGCATACGGACCTGGTTGCGCGCTTGAATGCTGGCCTCGAGCTGGCTCTTGCGGACCTCCTTACGCTGCGCCAGAGCCACGTAGAGTGGCTTGCTGTGAATCATCTTCTGGTTGAGCTCAGTGACAGCCTTGGTAGCCTCATCTGGGTTGGAGAAGCAGACGAAACCGAAGCCCTTGCTCTTGCCGAGCACCTTCTTCTCGCCGCCGATGGTGACCGTGTCCAGCTTCTTAGCAAGCTCATCAGCATCGTCCTTCTTCTCCTCTTCCTTGTCCTCGGCAGAGCTTTCGCTCTCCTTCTTCTCACCATCCTCCTTCTCGGCGCCCTCGACCTTATCAAGAGGGGTGGTGTCGCGCATAACCTTGGCAGAGGTGATGGCACCATATGGCTCGAAGATCTTGCGGAGCTCCTCATCGTCAATCTCGTCTGCCAGGTTCTTGACGTACAAGTTGACACCCTGGTACTTGGCACTCTTCTCCTGCCGCTGAGCCTCATACTGCTTTCGCAGCTCCTCCTCACGCTCGTGCTTCTTCTGAGCACGGCCAACGTAGAGCTTCTGACCCTTGAAGTCAAGATCGTTCAGCTCATCAACAGCCTTGGCGGCATCCTCGTGGCGGATGAAGTTGACGAAACCGAAACCTCGAACCTTGCCCTGGTCGTCGTGCGCAAGCGAGGCAGAGGTGATCTGGCCGTACTTCTCGAACAGCTCGCGAAACTCGTCATCGGTGGTCTCGGCGTCGATGTTCTTGACGTAGATGTTGGTGAAATTGGCCTTCATCTCCTCGAACTTGCTCATGCGGTCCTTCTTCGGGATGTGGTGGCCGACGAAGACCTTCTTCTCGTTCAAAAGCATACCGTTGACACTCTTGATCGCCTGGTTTGCGGCATCGGAGGTCTCGTAGTGCACGAAACCGTAGCCCTTGGAGTTGCCGTGCTCGTCAACGGCGACTTTGCAGGAAAGGATGTTACCAAAAGCTGCGAAGGTGTCGTGAAGAGCCTTGTTGTCAATGGCGGCATCCAAGTTCTTGATGAACACGTTGCCCTGGCCAGTCTTGCGCAGAGCCGGATCGCGCTGAGACCACATGATGCGGCATGGCTTGCCCTTGATCAGGGTGTAGTTCAGCTCCTCAAGAGCGCGCTCACCGTCAGCGGCGCTGTTGTAGTTGACATAGGCGTATCCGAGCGAGCGACGGGTGACGGCGTCACGGCAAACACGAATGGAAGCAACCTGGCCGATGGAGGAGAACAACTCGAAGAGCATAGCCTCAGTCACGGATGGGTCGAGCTCACCGACATAAAGAGAGGCGGAATTTGGGTTGGCGTTGGTTGGAGCGGCGCTGGTGGGGGTCTCGCCGATGTCACCGCCAGCTGGGACGGCGGTATTGATTTGGTTGCCGTTGGTGGCAGGAGCGTCGGATGGGGCGGCAGCCTGGCCGGCAGGAGAAGTTGAGTTCTGGACGTCAGACATGTTGGGCAGGCGCTGCTAGAAGTCTGGCTGTCTGCGCGGGGAAGTATGTCAGAAGGGTCTCTTTGATGCTCGGCGGCGGCGGCGGCGCGATGCGGGCAGTATATGTAGGTGTATTGTCCAGCGCTATTGCCGGAGGGACAAAGAAATCAGGCGGGTGGGTGGACGTACAGCGAATATTCTGTGCCTAGCGAAAGTCGAAGCGGTTCTCGAAGCGTGCAGAACTAAGCGACGGGAGCTGTGCTGATGCTATTCACGCGGTCGCCGTCAGCGTTGCCGTCGCACGTCTTCACGCCGGCGATACTCACAATCGTGTGCGTTGCGTGTGTTGGCTTGTCGCGTCCGCAGCAGAACAGTTCAGGAGCCGACGGTGTCAAGGTCGGGACGGGTTTTTTGCGATTTTCTGATTTTTTTGGTCTTGGTCTCCGAGAAGGTACAGAAGCAAAGAGCAACGGTACTGCGGTGGCAGCGGACGGAGGCTTGTCGAGATGGGAGGTGTCGAGGTGGGAAAGGCAAGAGAATCGTCACTTCTTTGATAATTCTTCAGACTTGGCAGTCGCGCTGGCCTGCGGCTGCGTCCCGCTAGAACCAGTCCAATCGGAGCTCTAGCTCCGACGCCCGTCGAAAAGCATGAATGACGCTGGCGCGTGCAGTTGTGTGGGATGAAGCAGGTGCAAACTACTGCAGACGACGTCCACAAACAGGTTGGCAGCACATCTACGGATTATAGGAAACTGCAACCTGCCATGCGTGCAAACAATTTATCCATCACACTCGTACTCTGAGTACTGTGAACCACTTATTTCGAGCCCTCTGATTTGTAGCTACTCAATATGCCGGACATTGACAAGGACATTGCTGGTGCTGTAACGACGGTGACAGGCACAGTGTGTGTATCCTGCTGAGAGAGAGAGAGAGAGAGAGAGAGAGAGAGAGTCGAGACCGTGTCTTGTCCTTCCCCTGACCGGCTTGCATAACTTCAATAAACACTAAGGTACTGACGCTTGCGGTATCGTTAGGCTGGCGCAGAATTCTTTTACCGGTATAGAGATGAACCTTAAAAATTTCCTCTCTTCTCTTCGCGACCCGGGTACTGATCGATTGCACTGTATTGCAGTTCGAGGTGTCGTAGGAGCGTTGGGTCGTGGCATTGGCGATGCCATCATCAACAATACAACTCCCATGAAGGCAGTGGGTTATGGTTTGCAGGGTGTGACCAACGGTATTGAAGATGGTGCCACCAGCGTTGCCAAAGGCGTGGAGGATGGCAGCAAGGGGAAGGAGATGTGGTAAAGCAAGCCTTCAGCTAGTAGGTCATGTTGAGAACAGCGGTTGTGCTGGTATAGCCTTGCAGAGCATGCTTCGGGTTTCTGAAGTCTTGCAGCAAAGTTCAAACGTGGCGTTGATCAGATCATGCTCTCACCTTCGCTTCGCTTCGCTTCCTGCCAGCCTGATTGATGATAGCATGCAGTCTGAGCCTTGAGAAGCCTCAATCATCGTGATGGCACTGAGCAAGGGCTGTGTCTCTCGTGTGCAGATTGACCAGCTCCAAAGCAAGTCTGTGCACGCCATCTAGTACGCGTAATCTCTAAGTTAGCCTCAGCTGCTGGTCCAAGACGACGCTCGTCTAAGTGCGCAAATGCTGACTTCACAAGACAATGCGATGCGGGTGATGTTGCTGATGGAACGAGGGAAGGGAAGGTCGTGGTGGAATGCAGCTTTGACTTCAAGGTTTCACTGGCCCCGCCCCGGCCCACTTCTGGGCCTCACTATTCTTCCTTCTAGAAGAACCACATACAAACACATTCCTCGAGTCCACTTGAACATATCTCGCGCGCATATCAAGTCGTAAGAGAGGAGAAAGGTCATCTCATACTCGCAAGATAACAGCGACTCGCCATGAATCGACTCTTCGGCGCAAAGAACAATGCGCCGAAGCCTTCTCTGAACGACGCCATCGGAAAGGTAAGACGACCACGACGACTATCTCCAGGATCCTGCTCACGTTCGATAGGTTGATGGTAGAATCGAATCAATCGATGTCAAGCTCGCCAAACTCAATTCCGAACTGCAGACCTACCAGCAACGATTAAGCCGTATGCGAGATGGACCAGGCAAGAACGCAATCAAGCAGAAGGCAATCAAGGTCCTTCAGCAGCGGAAAATGTACGAATCGCAGAAGGATCAGCTCCAGCAGCAGAGCTGGAATATGGAGCAAGCGGGCATGATGCAGGACAATCTCAAGAATACCATGGCAACAGTGGACGCCATGAAGACGACACAGAAGGAGCTGAAGAAGCAGTATGGCAAGATCAACATCGACAAGATCGAGAAGATGCAGGACGAGATGGCGGACCTCATGGACATGGGCAACGACATCCAAGAGAGCATAAGTAGGAGCTACGATGTCCCAGAGGATGTAGATGAGGCCGAGCTGGACGCTGAGCTTGAGGCGCTTGGCGACGAAGTGGAGTTTGGGGCTGAGGGTCTGGGCGAGAGCGAAATACCAGGCTTTTTGAGCGAGAGCGCTCCTCCAGCATTTATCGATGAAGCACCAGAGCAGACCAAACAGCAACAGGCAGCCACGTGATCACGACTTAACGAAACACCATTCTGGAACCATTCACCGCGCATGCGACCTACCACGCTCTGCCCCACATTTGTGCTCAGACATATTGTGCGACCTTTGTGTGGCTGTTTGCTCTTCCTGCGCGCAACCGAGCGCTCCGCCTCTTCCGCTAAACTGACTCTTGTTCCTCGATCTGTCGCGCTGCATGTTCAACATTGAAATCGCCTCGCAACCCGGTTTTTAGCCATGGATAGACGAATGGATGAGTTGGCGGATCTCATGAAGGGCGCTGATATAGTTCGGATGAACGACTCCAATCCTGCAGATATCATTCGAGCCTTGACTGGACAGCAAAGAGCATCGAGGAGCGCTGGAAGCCAGATCCCTCATATTGATGGTCATCATTCACCATCTGCCATTGATCCCGTTTCTCTGGAACACATCGGGGTTGCGCAGTTGGAGAAAGGCCGCAGAAGCACTGGAAAGGTCATCTATCTGCGTATTCTTTCTCAGCGAGACACAGAATTAGGTACAGTCTTCGCTGCTGAAGACCACGCTGGTGCAGAAGTTCATGTGTGGTCTCTCATTTTCCGTCCTCTTGGAGTTGAGCAGATACCAAGAGGCACCATAATCGCCATTCGAGAACCTTACTTTGGCCGCGATCCTTTGGAATCTCGATCAATATGCTTACATCACCCGACCGACTGCCTCTACGTCTCACGACGGGATTCAATAACGGAGCGGCTCTTCGAGACCCGCTTCCTGCCCGAGGATACCGATTTTATCAAGTTTGCCGATTTAGCAATGATCAAAGGTAACTTTCTCGAAGCTCTGAATCTCTACGATTGCCATCTTGAGAATATATATCAACGTGGTCTCTATCAGGTCAAGGAAAAGAATGGTCTCCTGATCAAACGCGCCTTCTGCTATGATCGTGCCGGCGGCCGTGATGCGGCTCTTACGGATTGCGTCGCGATTCTTGCCACCGACCCTACGCACAAGCAAGCATTGAAACTCGGATATGCCAAAGCTCTTGCTGGAGACTTGCCATCTCAGGCTCTCGAGCTTGCGGAGCGCTTGGTCCAGATTCAGCCAGACAATTTACCGTTTCAACACTTGGTGTCGAAAGCCAAGGTGAAAGCTCAAGAAAGTCTGGGTGTATTCGACTTTGGCTTGCACATACGCCAACTAGGGCTTCACGGTACCTCTGCGGACATGAGCGATTTTAGTGGGTCTCTTGAGATCAAGCTGAGCTCACTAGGTGGGCGTGGTGTATTCGCCAGTAAGGACATGGAGGCCGGCGAGCTGGTATTATGTGAGAAGTCAATGGCTGTCGGTACTTCAAATAAGAGTTCTGCTTTCGCACGCGGTCTGCAGGACATTTTAGCGGGAGAGGCTTCGAGTCAACGACATTTATCACTGCTACAAGACATCTGCGCCAAGGCTTTGGTCGACCTATTCATCAATTCGTCTGAGGATTTGCGCAACAAGCTGTTCTCACTATATGCCGGAGTTGACTTTCCATACGATGCATCACCGTCAAATCTGCCGCGGCCGCAGGCTATCGACACTTATCGAGCACTGTCTATCATCAAGCACAACTGTCACACAATTCTTCCTGGAAGCATGTCTATGCACCACGACACTGCTGACCTTGCAAATCAATATCCACGAGATGAGTCGCTTCCTTCCACCAAGGACTTTTACGCTGGTCTCTGGTATACGGGTGCCATGTTCAATCACTCCTGCCTACCAAATTGTAACTGGTCTTGGATTGGCGACATGTTCATCGTCAGAGCGAATCGAGTCATTACCATGGGAGAAGAGCTCACGCTTGCTTACATTCCCAGCTCCAACGACTCCGAAAAACGCAGAAACACGCTCAGATCTCAATACGGCTTCGAATGCGGTTGCCGAATCTGTCAAGCGGACGCAACCATCACGGCGGAAGGAAAGGCCGCCAGAACCAAAATCTCCGAACTTCTAAACAAGAAGTTTCCAAACGTCGTGAAACTCAATGGCAAAATTTCCGGCACAGCCATCACCAACCTTGAGAAACACGCCAAGAACCTGGCCCAGAGCTACTCATCACCAGCATACACCAACCTCCCACACCTCCTCCTCGCAGATACCTACTACCAACTCGCGCACGTCCACCTAGGCCATATTTCCCAATGGTCCTCAACCTCTTCCGCCTCAAAACTCAAAGCCTACGAATGTTTCGCTTCCTCCCTCGAAATGGGCCTCAATATCAAACTCCTCTTCGGCCCGAACTCAGCATATTGTCAGCTCCATCTCACGGAAAACAGTCTAACGAGATCTGTGGGCATTTTGGCATTGATGGGTTTGGCTGAGCTGAAATTCCTTCAAGGACAGGTGCGGGCCTGTAGAGCGCTTAAGGCTTGTGCGAAGCAGGTCTATGGGATCGTGTATGGTGAGAGCGAGACGTTTGGGGAGAGGCATAGGAGTTATAAGTGTTGGAACCAACTTGCGGAAGTGGGAGAGAAGCCGAGGGATTGGGAGGTGTTGAAAGAGAAGATACTTGCGGAGGAGAGAGAGGGGCCGGAGTTTTTGAAGTAGGGAAGCCGACGTTGTAATGAGGAGGAACGAGATTTCTAGTCTGTTTTGTACGACGGGCTGATCGTCATCATTGAGGTCCTCTCTCAGAGATTGATACTTATCCCAGGACTGATGTTCGATTCTTCGCGATGCTCGGCTATTTCTTTACTTCCAGGCGACTCAGGTGCACGTCAGGCAAGGAATAGCTTTGAGTCAAGTATCTGAAGTCAGTAGGTAAAGTCAATCAGCTGTGAAGGGAACTATCATTAGATCTAATCACCTCGTGGTGTTTCCGATCTTCCCATCCAGATGACATTCCAATGACCTGCTGAAGTCATTTCATCGGGTTGGAAGTCTGCCTTCCTTTCGAAGCGTGTATGGGGGCACTGCGATTCTGACGTGAAGTAGCCACTAGAGGTCTTCATGTTGGGAATGTTTGATCTGCAGCGAGAGGTTTCGCGTTCTGAGATAGGATCGTGTGCTTTCTGATCGTTGCGACTTCGAATGTTATCCATTGGGTGGCGCGAGGCTAGGAATCTGAGGAAACCCTTGTGCTTTCTGATCATTGTGACTTGAAATGTTGTCCAGCGACTTCTGTGCATGTTCGAGGGTATACTGCAATGTTTGCAAGCGCTTGTCAGTGCATACCCTGGAGGGTGATGGACAATCGGATCCCGTTATCTCGTGAGACACGATGGTGGAGCAGATGTCGTACTACTATACATCTGATAGCCGAGTAACACCTGCTCACGGTCAACTGTTTCAAAATGATTTCCACTCGGAAAGGGTTTCAGACGACGAGTGATACTGTATGTCCACAAAGCCTCCACAGGTGCCCCATGCAAGGCGGCTGCTGAGGTTGATGGAGGTCTAGAATAGGTACGAGAGGTCCTTGAACAGGATCTCAAGGCCTTTATGAAGTGTTACAACATGTCTGTCGTACGAGCGGTTATCTCACTGTTTGCCAGGTCCCTTGTCGGCGCCTACAGCGGAGGTAAGTGGGTCTGGCTGCAGCGCTTGCTCCTTGCCGAGAAGCGAAAGTATTTTCGAAGTCGGATTCGCGATTCTTCCGGTGGATGAAGAGAGACGTGAGCTCCTGCGAGTCGCAGAAAGAGGAAGTGATGGGAAAATTGGAGCCAGCATGAGACAAGTTCGGTTCACGTGGCCGTCTCCTTTGCGAGGCACCAGGCACCTCAGGGACGGAGGCGTCACTCCTCGAATTGTTTGGCCGGAAAGCTACCACAGATAGCAGCCTCGCTCTTGGGAGGCGAGGATCCTGTGGGGCTTCAAGCCCTGTCCAGCCCAGCTTCACTGCAGCGCCTGCTGATGGAGACGTGCAACAAGGTACTGATGAATGAGGCGCTCCTGTCGTGCCTGCTTTCGACATTATTTGCAATCTGCGGACCATTGTCGGAGCACACGTCTGTTCTCGAACACATGCAAAATGTTTGCGCGTTCGAATTTCCATAGCGCTGTCGATGTCAACGAATGGTGACGGGAGTGGTGCTGAAGATGACGGCGAACCGTGGGACCGAGCTCTACGATGGCGCGGTTGAGCCGAGAGAGCCTGCCCATATCATAGGTGGTGCTGTTATTATACTGGCGAGCGGGGAGCAGGTTGGCGCATGCGAGAATGTTTCATCTCAGGAGAAGATTGTGTGTGGGAGCTGTGAGCCTGTGACTGGCAGGCCGGCTTTCTGCAAAATCAAATCGACGGTTTCTTGCTAGCAAACTCAAAGGCACAGCCATGACATGTGGCGCAGGCGGAGGCGTAGAATAGCGTCGCTGCATGCTTGCCGACACTCAGCACTCAGGCATCCACTCACTGCATGCACGACGACGACTCAAAACACATGCATGGTGCTCTATTATTGCCCGACCCCGACCCCGACCCCGACCCCGACCCCGAGCCGTCGCTGCATGTCCAGGACAGCAGGTGAAGTGAGATGGCTGGCCATAAAGGCAACACGCAGCATTTTTGCGTTTGCCACATCACCGCGCTCGCTCGCAAGACTGGACGGGGCCGCAGCGAGATGGAGATTATTCGTGGCATGGCATGGCATGTCCAGCCTAGCCCTGCCCCAGCCTCATTGCGGTGGGTATGACCACGCACGACTTTCATTACCCTCATTACGCACCAGGCCGCGCTCTGCAGGTGCTGGAGGGAGAACAGGCTCTCCGTGATACGTGCCATCTCAGAAGCCACCAGATGCCAGAGCCAGAGCCAGAGCCAGCAGCCTGCGCCGCAAGCCGCAAGCCGCAAGCCGCAAGCCGAGCCATCTGTCGTGTCCGCACGGTGGTGGAAGTACCCTGAAATGCTTCGGGGACTGGTGTCACAAGACGCTGGAAATGGATGCGTGTCGATCTCGGTCGCAGTCCGGTGCAAGTTTGCGCACACCTCCTGGCATCAAGCTTGGGAGCGGATTCTTTGTCAAGATGCGACGTCAGGGCAAGGCGCCGTCTTCCTTGCAGACCTCGCAGACACGCAGAGGCATGCGTGGACGGCGACGCGCGACGACCAGAATAATAATGGGAGCACGCAGCCTATCATTCACCGCCGCAGCAGAAGTCCAGCGTCTACAAGGCCTGTTGGCTTCAGACGGCCAGCAGCGATGAAACGGTCGGCGGAGTGGCTTGCCAGGCGCGCTGCACGCAATCCAGTGAAACAAAAGCGCTGGCCTGTCAGAGCATCTCACCCGTTCGGTACCCTGCTGCGACGACGCGCCTCGGCATTAGTGACTCTATCCTCCGCCCAATCATTTTCACCTACACCTCGTGTGGGGCACATACCAAAAACTCAAGCCATCGAGCCAGCGACCTCCTGCAGCGCGGCGCCTTGCCTCCCATGAAGATCAAGCAGAATAAGTATCCCAGCCTGCCATCCCTCAGTCATGCTTCACTACTATCACCCACCCACCCGTCCTCATCATCGTCAACCCATCGATCTGTGTGCATCGATCCGCTGCCGCTTCGCCTGCATAGAATATCTAATACACAAACTCACCTCACATTCTCTTGCTACCCCGGCCCCCAGGAAACGCCACGCTGCAGATAACCTCACCCGTCATCAGGTACAGCCATCAGCCAGCCAGCCCGCCCGTACCACCCTCCGCCAGACGATTCGGATCTCGATACATTAGTTGCACTTGTCCGCTGGCCGGAAAGTCACCGAGTTAATCAGTCAATCTTTGCACGCTTCGTTGTCCTTCCGGTTTTTCTCCCGAACCCAAAGACTGGACCCCGGCAAGCCCACGAGCTCACACCGTCATTTGAAGAAGCCTTTTCAACTGCATCCTGGCTCATCTGCATCAACCGCAATCTAGCTAATAATCCTGATCTTCCGAAAACCTGCCAGGCTGCAGTTCGTTGGTCTTCTAATTCCCGTCGTGCACCATTGTCCTATTTATCCTCTTGGACAATACTGCAGAGTGAACTGTTGCCTATTGTTGGTCACTGTCACCTAAGACCCTTTGCGAAGGACTACCTATTGTTACGACGATCAATAGGAACGATATCACGACCATCTTCGCGCTACTTAATCTTGCATCTTGAATCCTTCGACCTCATCGACTTGGATCTTGTCTAACGACCAACGATATCATCGACCATGGCTTACTCTCCACCAACCGCCGCCCAGAATGCTGCTGCTTTGGAGCACTTCATCCACCTTCCAGTGTCACAGGATATGATCAGCTACCTCGCACACAAGGCTTCGCAAGTGATTCGATGTGAAGGTCAAACCGCACCATCAACTAGCAAGGCACTTCCACCAACTCCACCTACCACACCACCGCAGTCGTCTGGTAGCGCCTACTTTGAGCCGCAACTACCACGATTGGAGCTTTTCATCACCGCTCTGGTCGAGAGATCACACGTCCAGGTGCCTACTCTCATGACGTCTTTGGTCTATCTTGGCAGGCTGCAATCACGTCTGCCTCCAGTTGCCAAGGGCATGAGATGTACAGCTCATCGAATCTTCTTGGCATCGCTTATTCTTGCTGCAAAGAACTTGAACGATTCGTCACCAAAGAACAAGCACTGGGCACGATACACTTCTGTTCATGGCTTTGACAGCTTCGGCTTCAGCCTGACCGAAGTCAACCTTATGGAGAAGCAGCTCCTTAGCCTCCTAGACTGGGAGCTCAGAGTGACGGAACAAGATCTGTACACTCATCTTGAGCCTTTCCTTGCTCCTGTCCGAACATTCCAGCTTCGTCAGGCAGAGAAGCAGAGAATTCGGGAGGAAATGGCAGCTCTCGAGCAGCGTCAGATGGCTTTCGCGGCCCAACAACAACGTCGGGCAGCAATGGAGGCAACCAGATATTACGACTCACCTCGCTCAATGGGTGCCTACACATATCAGCAACCCATGTACTACTCAACCTCATCGAACTCCTCATCAAGAGCGGTATCAAGAACGCCCTCGCTTTCTCCACCAACCCGAAGCGGATCCTCAGCCTCACAATCCTCAGCCGACTCATATGCCTCATCATCCTCGCCATCCAGCATCATTTCATCTTATGCAGTGCCCATCACCGAAGAGCCTACGACATACTGCAGCCAGCGAATGCAGCCTGCACCAATCATGACCCACAGCCTGCCACTTGACCAGACCGACCTCCAACCAGCCAAGAAGCAGAAAACCAACATCTTCTCCCGCTTCTTGCCCACCACTCTCAGCCGACCAGCACCACCAACCATCGCTGTTAACGGCTACTAAAAGTTCTTTGCTTTCAACTGGACACTTTTCAATTTCCTTTCATGAACAAGGATAGAGACATCACTCTCGCTTAATCGACAGCAGTACAACAAAACTTCCTTGGGCTGGTTATGACGGTATCAGGCATACTTCAGAACAGGACGCGGCGACGACATAATGATGATTTGCATGGATGGCATTGGCAGGCGACTGACTACGAGCTCGGCTGGCACCAGAGTTTGTGGCGAGGCAGGCAGGCTCAAATTTTTTAACTACCCGTCTCTTTTTTTTTGGCTTTGGCTTTGATTGAGGAATAACAACAGCATTATACCACAGTTTGATGATGCATTTGAGCGGAGTTGTTACTGTGCGGGCATCAGGCCTGCTTGTGTTGATACGATGGATTGAAAGACCGATCGATGATTGAGCTTCGATGAGACGAAAGTTACCTAAATTAGCATAGCAAGAGCTTCCAAGAAAAGCAGGGCTACTTGACTGATCAAAACGCGCTTCTTCTCATTTCTTAAGAAATTGTTCCTTGGCCATTGACTTTGCACTGTCACCTTCATCGTCAGCAAGTTTTCCTGACATTTCGTTCTCCATGATGCTATTTCTAGCTTCCTTGCCTCCTTCCTGGGGATGCTCGATTCATGTCGTCGCTTCGTCGCTCCCCCAGATTCTCAGCTTGAATCGAAAACTCTCAATGACTTCATCCTGTCTCAAACTCACAACGCTTGGAATGTGTGTGTGTATGTCGGCATTTGGTGACCAGGGTCGGAGAGTGACGTGAGAAATAGATTGACAGGGAGGGTGAAAAAGGTGCTGACACATGACGTCTGCCACCGTCCGCGAGTTGGTGAAAAGATTTGACCCGATCACTGTCCCGAGTGGAAGGCAGGCATGGAGAATGTCGAGAGAGCGATCAGATTGTTTTTGGTTCGGCTATGTACAATATATACAATACTGCAGTTCAGCTAGGAAGGAAAATACGCCCCCATGCACCGGTAGCTCGTTAAGGGAGTTGAACCCTTGTTTATCGTCGCTTCTGGTATGGAGAATGTCAGAGAGTTTGACATGCTTTCTTCTCTATATGTTTTGACAAGTACAATGTACCGTGAGCTTTCAGCGCTGGATTGTGAATGACATGGAGCTAGGTTCTGCCTCGTCTGACAGGAAGGTAGGGAGCGATAACGCCGCCACTTCTTCACCACTACTCCCCCTTTATCAACGATAGAGATAATGCTCACCAACTCACAACCCCCTTCTCCCGATCAAAGCCTCCCCTCAACTGCCTCTCCGGCTTCACAACTTTCCCTTGCAAAACCGTAAACCTCACAACATTCTCACAATCCTCCGGCCTGATCCTCGCGAGCCAAAAACACTGAGCGGCCTCCCCCTGCTCAAAATTACTCTTCTCTCCATTGGGCTCGCCATTCTCCATCTGTTCTTGAACCGTCCTCCTCACCTCCGCTCTCCGGTATACCATCATATTGGCACTGTACTTGTGTCCGCCGACATGCGAGATGAAGTAGATGCCTACGCCTCCGGGTCTTTCGTCGTGGAGGTCCCGGAAGAGGCCGAGAGGGCGGAGATGGCGTTCGAGTTCTTTGCGGAGTAGAGGTGCGGATTGGCCGCAGCGGGCGTCGCGGGTGGCTTGGGAGCAGAGGAGGATGATGTATTTGTGGGGACAGGCGCGGATGGTTAGGCCTGCTGGGAGGTTTTTGGGAGGTGGTGGCATGGGAGTATGTGGGACATCGCCGTTTGAGTTTGTACCGTTCGACTGTAATTTTGGAGAATCTAGTCGTGTTGTGTTGGTCGGTGCGGTGTTTATGACGCTCTCGATCAGCTGGGGAACGTGTTTCGGTGTTACGTTTTCGATGTATGTGAACGAAGGCATGAGTAGGACTGTTGTCGGTCGGTCTTTTCCATATGGGCCAATGTGATCGCCTGCGATTTCTGGTGGAGGGATATTGCTTGCGCTGAGCATGAGTTTTCCGCCTTCGACTTTGCTCATATGATCTCCTACTGCCTCCATTACGCTGCCCTTGACATCTTCGACCGATCGCACCCAGTCTGTTTGACCGGTCGCCACCAGCAAGTGTCTACTCCAGCCATTTATTCCACCATACAGCTTGTCATCCTCATTTATCGACCACTTCCTGGGGAGGGTGACTGAGCAGCTGGCGCAGTCGTGTAGACATTCTTCTCCGTCTATTTCGGGGTTCGTCCTTGAGAAAAGTGCGTCTATGCCTTTTGCTGTGAGAAATCCATCTGGACGTTCCTTGGTGAGTGTGGTGTCTGAGTTGGGCGGCACCACCTTCTCGTATAGTGAGCGAAACATGGTCTTGGGTGTAGGTAGGAGAGGCATGGGGCGAAAAGTAATCGCTGAATCTTATCTGATCGGAATGAGCCGCCGCTGCCGCTAGTTCTGTGTCACCAGCTTTCCTGCCGGACTTCGCTTGCTTTTGCTTGCCGATCGCCGAACAGCGCGTCGAACACTTCCAAAGGTGATCTGCTTTTGCTACGGAAGCGGTGGGTGAGCGAGCGGATGTTGTCTCTGGAGTCCGGAGTTTGAAGTCTAGTGTGCGCAGGTCTCAACAATTGTTGCAGACAGACAGGATTTATCACGGGCTCTGACAGTCGAGGCTCGGCCGAGGATAGGCAGAGGCAGAACCTACGTCTGGGCTCGGATTTTGCAACTCTCCGAGACGCTCGCTGCTTTACAACGCGACGTGACTTCGCACTCCAAGTGCGGCTCTTCTTCACTCACCTGGACGTCGACATCACGAAAATTGTGGGACGTCACGTGGAAGTTTGAGGAAGGCAACTTCACTTCACTTCACCTCGCAATTTCCCGGCATCAACCAGCAGCGAAGACCAAGAATAGGAACGGCATGCCTGACAACGATCTATCGAAGTCAATCTGCGCATCATGGCTGCCGGGTCTGTCATCTTCTTGACCGGCGCTCCTCCCGCCAGCACCTTGTCTTGGAACGAGCATGAGCTTCCATCACACTTCAATTTCCGGCATCGCCGATTCTTACAGGCTGATGAACAGGGCGAGACCACGCAAGACTCGCTTGCTCTTGCCACACAATCTCTCGCAAAATGGCGAGAGCTTGAAATTCATGGTCAACATCATGCTTCGGATAACGCCAAAGAAAGGGAAGTAGAGCCAGAAGCTACGCAGTTCTTGTCACTTCATCACGACGACTCGAACAACGACAATGCCGAGCACACGGACTTCTTAGAACGGTCTTTATACGCACTGCAAAACCTCGCCTCATCTCAGATTGCTGTCCCAGAAGATACGGTCTACGATGAGACCACTTTTGTGACTGGAGCTTCCTCCAACACCACTTTGTCAACTGAGCTATCTTACCAGACCAGTACGAGCTCTGCATCGGACAATATCGAACAGCAAGTTGTCAATTTCAATGGACCGATCACAGACCTCAAACGCATTCCCAATGCTCGATATCTTGAGTCAATTCATCCTCAAACCATGACGATCAACGTACTGGTTGGGGTCATTGCAGTACAGCCAACTCGCACTGTCCAGCTAAGAAAGCGCACAGGCGAAATGGATATCGTCGAGGTCGTGGTCGGCGATGATACTAAAGCAGGATTCAACATCAGCTTTTGGCTGCCACCCATGGACAGCCAGACCCACAGAAGCAGGGTTACCAATTATCAGCTTCGAGATGTGCTGCAAGGCCTCAGATCAGGAGACATCATCCTCGTCACCCATATCGCTCTGGGCGAATTCAAGAACAATGTCTTTGGCCAAAGTCTCAGCAAGCGAATCACTAGGAATAACACCTCTATTGTGCTGTTGTCGTCGAATGTGACTGGTTTGCCGCCGCCGCTCGTGGCCAAGCTGAATCGAGTGAGAGACTGGAGTAGTCACTTCGTTGGCAAGAAGGACTTGAAGCGAGCTTCTTCTCCAGATATCACGCTAGGAGTTGTCAGCAAAAAGGCGAAGCGCATGCTCCCTCCAGATACACAGCCTGGAGAGCTTTGATTAGTAATTCTGTAAGCAAGCCTCACGTTCGAACTTCGAGATCATTTCCTGTGAAGTGCTCGGTCCTCGCTCGTCGCCTGCATAATAATGGTGGCCTCATATTTTATTTTATCAGCATCTGTGTCCGCCATTCCCGATTCCATGCCTGATACGGTCGCCGGTCATCGCCTGAACACCACGGCATCTATGTCCGCAGTCCAGGGCGTCGAGATACCAGCACAAGCACCAGGATCAGGCCCAGGACCAGGACTAGGATGAACACGGGCGGAAAATGGTATACGGTGGTACCTGCAGACAGGGCAAGGACGAAGAAACCCTCGAGGATGACACGGTTGCGGTGCGTTTCTTATAGATGATGACAAGGTAGGCCTCTTTCCCCGGGTTGCAAAAACTGCCGCGGTTTTTTTTCTATTAGGACAGAAAGGACGTTGTCCTATTGTACTAGATAGATCAAGGGCGAGTCGCGACTGCCTAAAGAAGTTTTGTGCTGGGTTAAGAGATGAGAGCGAAATGCTGAAGTCTACAGCACGTGGCTAGTGGTTAGTAGCGCAATGTGGTAGTTGATGAACACCAACAACAATGGACGAACAAGCACCAAAAATAGGAAAACTCATTCAATCGTCATCTCGGTGATAGCATCGATGTGAATCATGGATCGTGAGATCTCTTCATTTCGCCCTATTTTGGCGGACGACTATTGTTAGAAGTACATCGCTGCAGTAGATCATTGCATATGAGGGTTTGACTTTTCGGCACTCCCTCCTTCTTGCCCTCCAAAGTAGGAAAAGAAAAGTAGTACTTCGTTATCGTCTTCTTTGGTACAGGGTATCTTTTCTCGCGTTCGTTTCGTGTTTGCCTTTCCTTTCCATCAAGATGTACACAGTAGAGAAATAACGAATGAGCAGGGTTTATTGTGTTGGTAATGTTTCCGGCGTTTTGCGCTTCGTCCGGAGGCAGTCTCGTCCGCCGCCTAGATCGGCCCATGCACCGAGGACTTCTTCTCCGGCGCTGGTGATGCTGAGCATGCTAGATCTTTGATTCAAAGCGGAGTCGAAGGTGTTGAGTCGTGGAAGCGAAGGCCTGTGGCCAATGCCACCTGACATAAAGCTTACGTGTTGCTCTCGTGGTTCCTGAGTGGCGTCGACTCGGTTGACAGAAGGCTTGGGAGCCACGGCTGCGTTGATGATGTTGGAAAATGGCGAGAACGTGATTCGTGCGAGTGTGGGTGCCTGCGTTGCGTGTGATTTCGAGAGTGCTTCAGGTGGTACGCTTGCAGAGTCAGATCTTGTTGGAGGCACCAGTATCGTCTCGCGAGAGACACGGCGCATTGGCTGCATATGTACATCGTCCATGATCTGCACGTCTGGTGACACGTAGGCCGAGATTGGTGAGGCGCCCCAATCTTGCGTGTCTTCTGGCGTGGAAATTGATGCGAACTTTCGAGTGATGGCCTCGCGACCCTCGTCGAACGAGAAGTCTCTTGTTTTCGGTCGGTCTGGGCTGCGTTGCGGGAGAGGTGGCGCTGGCGCCGCCGCCGCAGCGTTCTCTTCTGCAATTGGCGAGGGTGGTATACTTGTGGGCTGACGATTTGAGCGTTTTCGCATGGTCTTCATGGAGTTGAGTGGAGGCACGGCCCCATTCGTAGAGATGAATTGGCGTACTCGTATCCGAGCCGACTCAGTCTCGCAATCGTCAGCTGAGCAGTAACCAGAATTCTCCTCCGTGTTGCTAGTGGCAGGGTGTGACGCAGGAGAGTATGTGGTGGTCGGCGAAAATCTGGTTGATGGGAGGAGCTCACCGCTAGGCGCGCGTACGTGAGGTTGCTCTACTGATACTGATGAATCCGGAGGATGCGAAGACAGGGGTTGCGGTTGAGACATGCCCAGGAAGCGTTCAATCTGGAATCGCTCATCCACATGCTCCTTTCGAATAACGCTGAATTGCCTGCGCATATCACTTTCACTAGGTATGCTGGCAGAGGTTGTCACTGATTGGGTCTCACGATCGCTGGGTTTAGAGCTCTTCTTCTTGAGTGCTTTGAGGGCTCGTTGCTCTGCAGAAGAAGAGTGTTTCGCCAGTCGATCTTGTTCGGTCTGCAGCGCCAGCTGATAACCCTCGGTGAAGGACATTTGCTGCATCGCTGCTCGCTTTCGGCGCATCATGTCCAGGAGCATCTTCTCCTCTTCCGACACTGCCATCACGTGTGAATTCTCGTTGAAGCCACTGTCACCTACGTCCTGGAACGAAGTGCCCGAGCTCAGTGTGCCAGCAGATTCATAACTTAGCCCATTCAGACGGCGAAGCGCAGCAGGATCCGCCGCAGTGATATTCACCACCTGCGGTGCGACAGGCAGTGGCTTGTCTCTCTTCCCAGCGATCGGTGTCGGTACTGAAGAATTGCTTGAGCTTCGCTTACTCTCCATCGCCGGCATATGTCGCACAGAGCCGAGCCGCGTGGGTCTTTGAAGTCTCATGACGTCAATTGAGGATGCATTGGCTATGGTGATATGACCAGAGTCCATATTCATAATGCTGTCCCTGATAGCAGGAAGCTGGCTTCTCCCGTCATCATCATCTTCTTCCTCCTCCTCGTCGTAGTCGGATTCGGAAAGCGATAGTATACTTTCACCTGCCATTGTTGACGATGCTAGTCTGCTGTCGTATCTATCCCGTAGCCTATTGCCTTGGTGGGAGGATTGGATACTGTTGGATGTACCTGAATCGCTTGAACTAGTTTTGCGATGGAAATGCGCACGAGCTATATCATGCTCAATGGACTTGAGGTCAGAATTGATGCGCTCATGGCCACGCAGGCTACTGGAGAACTTCTCGCTGGCAGGAGAAAAGACTCGACCGGGTCCGCTGTATGCCGGTGGCAGAACATCATCGGCCGGTAGCTCTTGAGGCACTTGGTCGTCAAGATCGTCACCATCTTCGTCGTCGTCATCATCAGAGCTCAAGTATGCATCGAACCAATTCTGGATGCCCTTGGGCGGACGTCGTACATTAGTCTTGTGTTGGTCGAGAATGTCCTCGTCAAAAGGTCTTTGCTTCTTCCGGCCAGTGCCGGCGCCGCTGGTCGAAGGTCGTCCCGATGTCGTTCGAGACCTTCTAAAGTGGGGATCGGAAGGCAGAGGAGGAAGTGGAAAGTCAGTTCGTTCGGTCATGGCGGATTCGGAGTGCTGCTGTCGTGAGGGTGACAGCAAACGGCCAGTGGACTGACGCGCGTGTGGAAAGAGCTGTACGAGATCCAGTCGACGTGATGAGCGTGGTGAGCTGCCAAGCGTGGTGGTACTGCGGTGGGCCAGTTCGTGCTGCCTCATCTCACTAGAGTTCGGATGCCGTCGAGGTGACGGAGCTTCGCCAAAGTTATCGAAGATGGTTGGAGGGCCCTTGTGGAGGGACATCGCACGAACTGCGGAGGCAGAAGTCTGTTGCGCGACATAATAATATGGATGCTCTGCCGGGGCGTGATATGCCGGAAGGTTGGCATCAGACGGCTCCCGGCGTAGGTGATGCAGGGTATCGTGGCCGGGCGAATGATTCGAGGGGGGAAGATTAGGTTGACTTTGGTAGGGATACAAGTCATCGGGGGACCATGGGCAGAAGGTGGCATCATGGGCAGCAGGGAGTCTGGGCGACAGCGCTTCCTGCATTCGCGAGAAAGCTTCGATGGCTTTCAGTTCGTCGCCTGGCACTGCGTGCAGGGGATGGCTTTCGGTGTCCGGGATGCTGTTCAGACGCAGCGAGCCTCCGAGCAGCTGCGTGGCCGTGAGCGGGATCTTGCTGTCTCCCAGCTGGAGGACGATGTGGGCATTCTGGGCGGCTTGGGGAGAGTCTTCTGTCGGGCCACGCCCAATGAGTCGCATCCTAGCTGGCACAATAATAAATTGGGTGTTCGTCGAGTGGCAGGGATGTCGGCGCAGGCAGCGGAGGCAGCGGAGCGCAGCAGAGAGAGAGAGCGGCGAGCGGCGGCCCGGCTCGCTTACGTGCGCTGGGTGGCGTGGAGGAGGCCGGCAGAGCAGGCAAAACGTGCCGGCAGTCGTGGGCAGACAGGAGCCCCGAAGAATAATCCCGCCGTCGATCAGGTAGAGTAGTACTGTATGTGTAGGGAGGATGGAGCGGCGGCGAAGTGCAACATGCGGGTATCGGTACATACCACGCCAGGCCTTTTCCCTTTCTTTCCCTTCCCTTCCCAGCGATACCTAACCGTTAAATGATGAGGCACGACGCAATTCCTCCCGACAAAGTATGCGGCCGAAAGCAGCGGCGGGCCTTGCCTTGCCTTGCCTTGGCCCTGGAGAGAGAGTCTGAGAGACACAGACACCCGACTCCTATACTCTAGGAGTCCGACGTACAGTAGTCGTGGCATACATCACACATCAGGGCGTCATCAGCAACGACGGTCTATTAAAATAAGAAGGAATGCAGTGAAAGTGACGGTGACAGGAACAGCGCTCCAAGGCCACTTCCGGCCTGTATACATACATATCAATCCAAACAAGGGTATAGATCGCTGCAGAGTGAACCACTTTACGCGCGGCGAAGCTAGAAGTAACGTCCAGCTGAATGATCCCGGCGGCCGGCGTGCATGTGAGCTTCGAAGGAATGCCATAGGGCGAGACTATTCGTAAATCAGCCCCGGCTATTCATAAATCAACGGACCTAGGGCCGCTCCGGTCTCGGTGAGACCATATTGTTAGTAATCCATATAGTATAATATCGCATAGAGACTTCTAATGCCTATGCTAGCTGCTAAGTAGAATTATAACGTAGGAAAGAGGAATTAGGTAAATAATAGATATAGAATTGGACCCTATAGCTAATCTTAACTGCCCTAGGCATACTGCCTGCCTAGCAAATAAGGTTCTACGACCCTCGCATTAACGTATAGCTCCTACTATACGATCTTAGTATATTCTAGCATTACTACTAGCGCTATAGGTACTAGTAGAGCCCTCGGTACGGGCGGAGGTCCTTCCTAAGTAGGTAAATAAGTAGATATAGGGTTTCTATCGCACTGCCTATACTTGTAATAGCTAGAGTAGTAGTCTACGTTATCTTTAACGCACTTGCACCTCCTATAGGCCGTTTTGCATATACAGCCCTTACGTAAACGTTCTCGTAGTACTAGTAGCGGTAGAATAGGCCTCCTAGGCTTAGCCTGTCTTATCGCTTCTTGCTAGTTAATAGCGGCCTGTCTAGCGGCCTATCTAGCGGCCTGTCTAGCGGCCTGTCTAGCGGCCTATCTAGCGGCCTATTTAGCGGCCTGTTTAGCAGCCTGTTTAATTAGCTTAGGTCTAGTAGCCTTACGCCGAGTCGTACGACTAAGCCGCTTATTAATCCGCTTAAGTAGCTCTAAGGTGCGGTAAGTAGTTGTCTCGTTACTATTGTAATCGCTCCTTAGTACTCGCTAGTACTTCTCGAACATACGAATAGTAAGAATGCCGGTTATAGACTCCTTAAGTGCTAGCATCTAGTGCATACAATTTAAGCTATAGACTCTTCGATAATACTAGGTACATACTAATAGCCTATAACTATTAGACTTCCGCTTCTCGAGCTTATTACGTACGAGAGCCCTTCGCTCAGCCGCTTTACGTAGAGCGAAGGTGCTAATATAGCTAACAACTGCAGCGTAGAATAGATCGCTTAAAAACAACGTTATAGGTCGACTAATCTCGGCTCTAACTATAAGCCTATAGCGGTTAACCTAGTACTAGAAGTAGGGCACTATCCTATTAATAAAGCTATAGATATCGTTCTTATAGGTCGTTAACTATACCTTAATGCTAGCGTAACAACCTTCTACTAGCGAGGTTGTTATATTACTATAGTAGCGCGTCCTATTAATCTAGTATTTAATATAGTGCTATCGATGGATCTACTATATATTAGCTATATAACTAGCTAGCGATTGCTAGTCTTTATTGTCCGAGTAGTCGCGTGCAGGCTCGCCTTTACTAGCGGCAATCTTGCCGCTCTCGAGGGCCTTCGAGTTAGTTATAAACGACTCAACCGACGGTAAGTTAATAGCCTTATTAAATAGGTCTATAAAGTCCTATACGGCTACACTTAATAGCTTACGCCTTGTCGATAGATCCGGTAGTCTAGTACTAAGGAAGGCCTTCGCATTAGCTTCTACTACGCGCCTAATATACTAGCGGCAGAGCTGTGTATACAAATAAGTCTAGTCGCTAGCTAGTGCCTTAATTAGTGCCTTATTACGGTCGTAGATAATAAGGCGAGGCTCTTTATAGTCGTGTTTAGCTAGCAACTCCTATATATACTAAATAGCAATTAAATACTACTTAGTCGCTTGTTTAGGCATAAATATAAGCGCTAAAGGGAAGGTCTAGTTAAATTGATTAAGTAAAGCGATTACAAGTAGCGGCATACTATAATCGTTAGTCTTGTAGGTGCAATCTATAACTATAATATCCGGACAATTCTTATAGATATTAATTATCTTAGGGTACGAGAAATACAGCTATTCTAGCCGTTGCTTACCGCTTAGTCTAGTGCCGACGGCCTTCTATACGAAGTAGTTCTATTATAGGAGGTCCTCGATCGTTTTGTCTACTACTAACTTGCTAGCGAGTCTCAATTTCTTAGCCTTTTACTAGGCATTTAAGATGTCTCGTAAAGTGGCTAGTACGACTGCTAAATTCAGCCCTCCGCTCGAGAAACAAGCCTTAATAGCCGTCTTAATCTATCGATTAGAAGCACTAGCGGCTCGTAGATTAAGTATCTCTTAGACAATCTCGGTAGTGCGGTAACGCCGTCGGTAGTTAGCTAATGCTATTAGATTAACTACTAGATAGTTGTAGTTGTTGCTATTAAACGTAACGGTCTATTAGCTATTATTAGGGTTAGTCGAGTCCTTAGCAGTTATCGTTATAGACTAAGGGCAATCGTATAACTTCGAGCGGCCTTTACGCTGCTTTGCTATTAGATTAAGACGCCTTCGCTCTTCTAATTTGTCTCTCTTAGCCTATCGAATAGCAGGTGTTAAATACCTAGCATAGCGGCGTTAGAAGGTCTATAGAATATAGTCTATATTAAGTCGGTTGCCTTGCTTCTTCGTCTTAAACCCCTTCTCTAAAGCGAACGTTTCTATATATTCTTTAGCATTAATAATACTGTTAAATACCTAGTTTTCGGGGTTCTCGATAGTTGCGTATGCTCTAGGTTTATAGGCCTTAGCTTCTAACTCGCTCTAGTTACTGTATTCGTCGTTATTACTAAAGTTATAGACTAGTTGAGAAGGAGTCTCGATTTCTAAAGGAGGTTGTTCTTGCTAACTAACCCCGCTAGTACCGCCTTTACTACCGCCTTTACTACCGCCGTTACTGCTACTACTATATCCTTTACTATTATTACTGCTTAGCGGCAATAACGGCGGCGGCAACCTCTCGCTACGTACGCCGCGTAGTATAAAACGAATAGTAGTATAGCCTACCTCGTACTACGCTAGCAAATTATCGAGAAACGGCAGTATCGGGTTTAGTGTCTTAAAACTATTATCTAGCTTACTAGTTAACTAGGTATCGAGACTATCGTATCTAGCTTTATATTCGAAGCTAACATACCGCTAGTAATACGAGCGCTCGCTTTCCGCTATATCTTCTTAGAAATCTAAGAGAAACTGCTTTAAATAGCGGCGATTAATGCTATAGAAGTATTCGTAGCCTTCTATATCCTTAGGTCTATATACCGTCTCGATCTATAATTTAAGGCCTCTGAGGTTACCTAGCTTCGGCTCTTATACCTGCCGCGGCCTCTTACTACGTATCTCTTAAAACTAGCGCTTTCTTAGATTAAATGGCTCGTTATTGACTTCGCTATTAAATTAGATAGCGGCGGCGGCGGCGGCCTCGGTTTGTAGCTACGTAGAAGGGCTTAACAATATAGCTAATATTAGGTATAGAAGGGCGGCGATAGAATAGCGATAGTAAGGTGTATATAATAGCGACAGTAAGGTGGAAAATGGCTATCTAGCGGTAGAGGAGATAACTAACAAATTTGCCTTAGGCCTCCTCCGCGATCGGATCACTGATTTATGAATAGCCGGGGCTGATTTACGAATAGTCGCGCCCAATGCCATACCACGGAATGCGTGCTGCCGCCCTGTCGTGCTATTCAGGCCCACAGTACTGTAGCAACGTGAACTCCGGATCTGCTGTGTGTTGTTTCTCTCGCGCGCTCGGAAAGCGGCCACCTCCACGCCACGCTTTCCACGGGCTGCGGGCCACCGCCATCTTGCAGATCCCGACACGCCAAGCCCATCGCGGCGTGATGGATGAACGGCCTGTCCGCGACGTTAGCGTACTGCCCAAAGGAATTATCCGTACCTTCAAGAAGTTGACGTCTAACGTTTTCAAGCTAGCTGCCGCTTACGGGGATTATCCCCGTTTGCCCTCTCGCTTAATCAGGATTATCAGGGTGTACGACAGGACAGGCGCGGGCGGCGGTAGGGACATGGCCGGCTTCTGTATCCAATGTCGTGCATCAACCAGAAATGGAATGCTACGCGACCCATACACGGCATTTGCGCCCTACAATGGAAGTGATCGAGTGCGTAGGATGCGTACCGGCGTGGCGTCACGGCGTTGGACACGACACGGCAGTGACGGCACAGACATCTGGCAAATGACGATCAGCCGAACTCCTGCCATCCTACCCCCGATGCTGCCACATCGATTAATACCGAAATATCAGCAGGCACAAACACATTCAGAATAATACAATGTCCTCGACATAGCCATCTCACTCCGCACCAAGCTTCCGCGAAACACAACCTCCAAAGACCAGCGTAGTCCTAATCAGCTTTGGAGAACGTGGTCTGCCCGTGGTGCCACCCAGCATCGCCCTGGACCAATGCGAGAAAGTGACCATGAATCCATGGTCCTAACGCCGCGCGGAACGCCAGGACCGTCATCATTAATTGGAAGTCGAGCACTGAGCAGCCCATACCCCAGCACTTCACATCCACGGTATGAAGAAAGGTCTCGATCACATTCATCATGATTCATGACATGAAAAAAACTTCATGATAAAATCGGTGAGGAATGATCAATGGTGCATAGAGTCAATAAAGCTGCTCTTCCACTTGCTCGAAAGATGGAATTGTCGCGGACCCTACTAGCACGGATAGTGGAAGGCGCAGCAACTCTTCCGGCGCATCAGAATTGCCTCGATACTCGATACTGACTGAATAGTTATGCTTCCGCCCTATCCCAACCGCTTGGATCACCCTGTCACAGCTAGCACGTGGTCGACAGGTAAAAGTGACAGATGAACGGCAGGGGTAGCACTGAAAGCATCACTGTTGCGATGAATCTCCACATCCAGAAGAAGTTCTCGCCTGGATCGACTTCCTCTTGCACCTTACGCGGTACGCCCACGAAGGACATGTGCGTGCCCTAGATCGCCATCTCGACATCTCAGCACTTTTCGAGACCCTCGGCTTTGACAGCACCGACGCTGCTTGTGTGCACTACCAACGAGTGACGCAACCCAGCAAAAGCGGGGCTTCAAATTGGGCCAGAAGCTATTGGGAGCACGAGATTGGTCTTGCTAACGCTTTTCCTGAATCTGATCGATTGCGGAATGTATGGGTGCATTGCATCCGAGATTCTTGCAATGATCGCAGCCTTCAAGCCGCCAAACGACGCATCGAAGCTAAGACGCAGGCATTTTGCTATGGATAGACAGACGTGCGAAGTTGATGGCTGGCAGGTAGGCACCGTTGTTTTGGAAATTGGCGGATTATTCCCTTTCCTATGGCTGGTCCGTGGAATCGTAGGTATATGCCCACATTTGTTAGATTTTCAGATTGCTCAGTGCTCTGTTTCAATGACCAAACCGGGTTGACTTCACTACTTCCGAGTGCAGCATCTTTTTATGTATGCGGCTGCATCAAGGTAGGTGCATCCGGTGGCTGGCTTGTCGTATGGCCTTTGGTGTCAGGCGGGTCTGTATCTAAGAATTGATCGTATCGTTCCCATAGCCTGCGTTCAGCCACTAGCTCCTCATCATATCGAGTCATCTTTAGGTCGAGCATTTGGTGAAACTCGGGTTGATGAACAGCGTTATAATGGGCCTTGGTGAATTCCCAGTATTCAGGATACCATGCTGCGCATTCCCAATCGACAATCGCAGCAATTCTCCCATCCCGCATGAGGATATTGAGTGACGCCCGATCGCCGGGTGTAAAACGGATACTGTACTTGCGTTGGTGGATCTCCGCCACCTTCTCGCCAAATACGGTATCTGCACTCTCGATCGGTATGCCGCCACGGAGGAATCTGTGGAACGAGGAAATGTTGTCGAATGGCCCGAAAAGCTTTACAGTTCGAACTCGAATATCTCGACATCATCCTCCGTTCGTTGACGAGACATTTTGCTGGTCAGGAGGCTGTAGTACTCGAAGTTGCTCGATATACCTAGCGACTTGTTCGGCAGCCCTCTCCTTCTCTTGGTCTGACAGCTCATGCCACGCATCCTGTACTGTCTTGCATCCGCGAAAGTATTCCATTTCGATAGCCAATTCGCCGTGGTATTGGTATGTTCGATATACTTTCGGTACTGGAATCGTCGTGTTGGCCGCAACATAGAGAAGAGCTTCGAGCTCGCTCTGCTTGCACGGCCACTTCACCAGTCTTCGGGGGCTGACACGAGCTCCTCCAGGACGGCTGGAGTTTTGAAAGACGTCAAAAAGCAGATTCCCGAGCCGGATGCGGAATGAGAGCAGTATTGTGCCCATGGCCCTCGGTGGCGATGGTAACGATGACGGCCGTGGGTGCTGGCTTTTTTGGGTACTCGCGGATAGCTTCGCTGGCACGACGCTCGATATGCTCGTTTCGAAGTGAAATAGTTGCCCTTTTAGACCCCCAAGCTCTCCATATCGAGTGCATACATCTTTTTAGGGCTGTATCACAGTAGGTGCATCCGGTATTCTATAGCCCCGCCAAGGTGACACAGAACACGCAACTACAAGCTCACCTCTTCCAACTTCCCATCTCTCCCGACCTCGCTAGATGTAACAACGCATCAGGAGCAGAGATAACACAGGATCTCCAAATCAGACGTGACTCGAATTTCGCTACGCTGTCAACTTCAGATTCCAACTTTGCAACACATCCTGCACGGCTGAGAAGCAGCATTAACCCCCAAGCGACTCAAATGGAGGCACGCGAGAACGAGAGACCGACTACCAAAATCAGCAGACTCACGATACGCAATGCCAGTCTCGAGACATCGCTCGACGATTGTCTTGAGAAGTGTCACCAGCAAATGCAGTCAATCCTGTACCGCGACCTACCAAAAGAGATTCGAGACATGATATTCGAGTACGCCACAGCACAGTACGAGGACATGGACAGAAAGTATAAGGAGACTGCATTCTGGTGTCGCCCTGGTCATGGAGTAAGTCATGTTCCCTTCAAGCTCCACTGCCACATCCTGTCAAAATTGTATCCGAGAGCACAAGTTTCGTTTGAGACATTCATTGATTATGTAAACTGACACAATTCTTCGCACAAGGGACCTCACAAAACCTGTACTAATCTACTATTGACATGTAGACGCATTTGGCTCGAAGCAAATGCGTTACCGATGAAGCAAGCCGTATTCACTTTCTGGATGAGGCCAACACGAGGGCCACCCGAGAAGCATCCCGACACAGGAGGATATGGTCGAGATCCAATTCGTAACAATACCTTGACCAAGCTCAATCGAGAAAGTCTGACCACTCTTCACTACTTCTTGCAAATGTTCGTCGCGGAGAGCATGTTCTTTCCGAACAATGAGGAGACATCGCTAATCCAGCGATTGAAGCCAAAGGTGCTTCGCATCACAATCAGACATACTGACTGGTGGTATTGGGAGGGCGATGAGCCTCTGAGACTCAAGGATTCGTGGGTGCAGCGTGCGCTTGACGCTCCTTTTATGGCGAGTGTAAATGATATCAGTCTTGAGCTCGAGACGCTAGAGCGCAAGAAGAGTCAACTTCAGGTCATCGTTGATCGTCTTACCAAGATGAAAGGCAGAGCGAGTTTGAACGATGGCATGGTCACGAGATTTGAGATGAGCGGCGAACCACACGTATGGCACTGGACTGGCCCTTCCAACATCGATGGCCAGGAGTACGAGCCCTACAAAGGTCTGAAGACTCTCGACTATCGAGTCGTCACGCTCAAATGGAAACGAGTGCCGATTCGTGAAAAAGACGTGCAAGACGTGCTCGAAGGGCTCAGTACGAATGCAACCGCTGCACGCCCGACTGGCCAGCAAAGGTGGCGTGACGGCTGGAATGCCCGAATTGCACGGCTCCGGTTGGCTGGCGTGGGTCGCTGCAGCCAAAACAGCGTCACCCTCGCTGAATACTTGATGCGGAAGGAGTCGATGGAGAGGGCGCTGAAAACACAACGGCAGATGGAATCGCGGTTCAGGAAGATGTTTGCGGAAATCGAAGCGAGGAACTTCGAAGAGAGATGGCGTGAGGAGGGCTCGCTGATGAAGTTTGAAGAGAAGAGCGAATGAGATATCGTGACGATGACGATGCCTCTAGACTAGGCATACGGGTTCTAAGACTCCATGTACGAATGCATGAACACAGTCATCTTCGAATAGACGAGTCGATGAGGTCTCATCAAGAAAGCTTCAATTCGGCTCAAGACTACTACTGCGATGCAACTACCACGGCTCTCTTCTGATAGATGGAGTCAGCGGAGCAGTTTTACAAAAAGTAGACTACTAGATGCTCAAAGAACAGGATGAGGTGGGTCACTGTTGGTATCATAAGGCACATTCGCTACTTTTCCATTCGTTGGAGGAACTGCGCTACCCGCACTCCCTTCCCCACGCAACCTGTCGTAGATTTGGATGCTTGGTGCCTTGTCACTCCTCTTTCTTCTTCTTCTTTAATGCTCATGTTATGTTTGTGGGAAGTCGTTTAGTCCTCCCTCTGGTATGCGAGACAGCCAATGCTCTCCAGCAGAGTCCAGACCTGTGCGCTGTCCGCCATCTTTCTCCACGTCTCCGCCGTCTGGAAATTGCCACGATCCTGACCCCAAGCGCACGCACTCCTGATCTGCTTTCTTGACAGCAAAGTCTGATCTTTCTTGGCTACACTCGAGGCTGCAATCTTCTCTATAATCTTGGCTGGGAAGTGGCTCAATACCGCACTGTCCCTGAAGCCTCCTGGTCCGCATTGATTCGCGCCGTGCTCCTCCTGCCAGCGCACGAATCGGGCTGGGTTGTCGTCTCGGACGATAAGGCCGTTGAGCTTCTGCGATACTGCGTGCAGGTCACTGCCTTCACTAGAGGCGCCCTTGCGATGTGGCTTGAAGATCATCTTCGGAGTTTGAGGACTGTTCGTGACCTCAGTAATGGCGAGCTCGGGCTCTCCAGGTACGGCGCCGGTGTTAGCGGTAAGCGTGGCTGCGTAGGTGCCCTGTCGTGGAAAGCCGTTCGGAGAACCCTTGGCGGTCGTTGTTGTGACTGGGCTCGAGGCCTGCTTGCGCGTCTCTGCCTCAATCGGGAAGTGGAAGATGGGTGGGCCAACATAGTAACGTCTCACGGCTTGTGGACCTGGTCCGATGCCATTGAGGACGGTTGATGAAATGGCAACGCGAAGGCCTGCCCGCCAGAGTTCTGTGCTGGAAGCACCATCTTGCGCAATGATATGTCGCTGCACTTTCTTTCGAGCGCTCTCCAATTCCGACAACTCATGCTCGCCACCATCAGTAGTACGAATGGAGCGGACACTGGCTCGTCGATCGCCCGCGCGTCTGCGACGATGGTCGAATGCATTCTTCATTGGAGACTGGGTGGCTGGTGTCACTTCATCATCGAAGTCATCGAAATCGTCGTTAGCTGTTGAAACAGTGGCATTGTCCATGAATGTCTGGCGTCGAATCATTTCAGACTTCTTGAGGAGGTAGAGACCGTCCTTTCCAAGAGTGGGTTCGCGCTCGTTCCAGTCGACACCGCTGAAGTTTGCATCCTGCTGATAGGTCTTGATGTTGGAGTCTGGAGGCGTGGCGTTGAGCTCGTCGATCATTTGCGATGGATAGTGATGGTCTTCGAGGACATAGGAGAGCCATAGTGCGCCTGCGTCAGTGAGACCAATGTCGGTAAGAGTGATATACGGGATACCACGAAGGCCGCATCGCCGCCGCAAGAAAGTGCCGTTGACCATCTTGTCATTAACGTAAGTGCTTTTGGTGGGCGGGTCGATAGTATCGGCGATGCTGTATGGCAGAGACTGGACTGACATGGTGCCGCGCGGTGGCATGGGATCAATATGCGGTTCTTGAATGTGGACACGGGCGAGGATCTCCAGGGCGCGCGTGCCGAGAGGATTGCCGCTGAGGTCGAGTCGTCGCAGTCGCCTGCACTCTCGGAAAGAGCGCAGGAACCTCTCCCAATGCGCCGCCTGCTCATCCGTCTTCACCTCGATGCGGTTACTGCTGAGGTCGAGAGTCTTGAGGTCGTAACAAGCAAGCTCGATGGCCTCCACCAGGTGGTCAAGGGAGACGGTGGTCAGGTTGTTGCCGGACAGGTTGAGGTCTTCGAGTTGCACTGCAGAGCTCGCGCTTGCCTTGCGCAAAGCCTCAATGAGCCCATCTGCCATCGCGAATACGCCTTCATCGCCCAGCTTCTTTCCCGGCGCCTTGACATCGAGCGGATGAATGACATTGCCCTCGTGGCTGCTGGAGTTGCTGCTGGTGCTCGTCTTGCGCGCCTTGTTCGCCTTGTTGGCCTGCTTGGCCGCGTCCTTCTCCGTCCTGTTCGCCTCATTCTTCAAGTCGCGTCCCATGCACGCACCCAGCTTGACTCCATCATTGGAGCGGTTAGTGTAATCAAACTTGTTCGACTTTCCTCCCATCTTCTTGGACTTCTTCGAAGTTGTGTTGCTAATAAAGTCCTCCTCCGAAGATGACGCGCCAAGGGGAAGGGGAAGCCAGGAAGCAGCAACTGGTTTTACCTTTGTGATGATGACCGTGCGAGCTTTCTCGAAGCCGCCACGGACGAACGAATCACTGCCCATGTACATTGACGCAGCGCATCGCCTGCCGCGGTACTGGTCTTCTGGTGTGGTCGCCTTCGCGGATGTTGTTGTTCCAAACGAGGTGAAGCAGGTGCGCGAAGCCGAAGCAGGAAGCCGATGGAAAGAACAAACGTTACTGCGGCAAGCGCACAGGGCACATCCGCTGCATGTGAGAACGGTCGAGGAGCGGTGAAGCTCAAGTGCGAGTCCACCCTCACTTGGACACGAGAGAGATCATGTGTTAGTGTCACTAAAGGCTGCACTAACCTCGTTGATGAAGCCGAAGCGCCTAGATCCCAGGTCGCGACATCGCGACCTTGCTGCTCAAGAATCTTGGAGCGACCCATTGCTCAGCGGCTCTGTCTGATCTTGCGCCAGCTGAGAAGGCGTGCTTCGCAAGAGGCCTCTGACCTATTGAAGTCTCGGTGCAGCGTTTTCTCCTTGAGCTTCAGCCGAACTAGCTCAGACCTCACTTTCCACTCTTGAAAGCGAGAGCTGCAACGGCCACAAGTGAGGCAGCTCGAGTGAAAGTGGCACAGCCTCCAATTTCATAGCAGAGCGCCAAGTGAAAGCCCGAGATCAGATCGCAAGCCTTCAACACATCGCTGCTGCTGACGTCCGCTCACATCCAAACTCATCATCCTCAAGTGCAGCAAATGCAAGCTCGCATCTCAATGAGTAATGAGGTCTCCATCTCCAAAGGCTTCGCAGTCGTGCCCATGGGGCTTGACCATTCTGCTCCACGGGCGTGGCTATTCTGGGGAATTGAAGTCGTGGCGAGCGACGGATGGACTAATCTTGAGGCAGAAGGAGCCACTCGTGAGCGTGAAAAATCAATACCAGTCTGAAGTTACTCGTGGCCAGGTAGTGAGTTCCAGACACATTGTGATATCCTCCGAGGTTGCATGGCGTGGTATTGATGATATGCTACAGTCTCAATAGACACATCATTTGGTGCTCTTAGTTCGCCGTTTGGAAATTACCTGCGTTGTTCTTTACACGACGTCTCAACCCTCAACATCTCAAATTGAAGCAATCACTCTCTGACCTTTCCAGCGACCCTGCGAGTATATGCTCGCAATCCTAAGCTGTGCTCGCAGCTTCATGCAAGCCTCCCAAATAGATGTGATACCCGGAACTCCTCGCTAAGTGATTCGAAGAGAAACAATGGCGGGCTTTCAAACCTTGCTAAGGATCGTTGATCCTCACAGTCCTGTCAACCAGTTCTGGAAATGCCTTGCTAAATGAGGAACCCACAGACCAATTCTGGAGCGACCGCAGGTGATGCTCAAAGGCAGGGTTTATCATAAGCTGCGGTGACTCGGTAGAATTGTTTGATGGAATTGAGATTAGTACACAGTCCCGGGGCAGCAGCCAATTTAGTGACAATGTGGTGGTGAGCGGGACGAAGAAGTCCTCGAATTTGAACTTGCTTCCGCCGAGCGTAAGCTGTCTTCGCATGTGTGGCCACGGGAGGTGATCGTTCCAGGCGCTGTGAGGTTCGCGTATTTGCTCGTTAATTGGTCGGATCCATTCGGGTAATCGTTCGTAGCATTTTGGACATGGACAGATTTGCCATCTGAGAATCAGAAACATCATGTAGAGCACAGCGACCTTTTCGGGAAGTGAATCGATGTCCGGGAACTTTGACAGAATGTCTATAAGTAAGGACGAGACTGGGTGGCATCGCAAACGGCTGTCAAGCATTGCTGAGAAAGATGGATATTCCGGCCCGATAGCGTCTTCAATGGAAGCTCCATCTCTCAACATATCTCGATGTCGATTCTGGAAGTCTGCACCTGATTAGCTCGCCGGTCTAAACAAAGGGCAAATCCAGCGAAGGGCATTCATTAGGCCGTCACCGTTGTCACATACCAATGAGTAGGGAGTCCAGTGGGGAGGATGGCGGTCCCACATTGGTTAATTGCGCATAGACTGGCTTGTCAAGCTGAGAGCGGTAAAATGCAGGCGTGGTAGGCGAAACGCTGGCATGCTGGCGGTCGCTCGGCGAATCAAGGAGGAAGTTCACACCTAGCCGCTCACCATGATATTGATGCTGAGGTGGATGGGTAGAGGGCGATCGCTGTCGGTGGTCAAACGGCGGCCCATGGGTTGAATTATGCGCAGCTTGCTGGTGAGAGCCTGGAGAATATCTGCGCAAAGTGGCCTTGTAGCGAATTAATTAGCTCATAAGTATCTTGAAAGCCCAAAGATTGACGCCTCCAACCCAGTTCAGACCAAAAGTCAGAATCTCAGTCTACGTGAGAAGTAGCATCAATTGTTCTTCACATACCTCCGAATCTGGATATCCATTCGCATGACCTTGGCTCTCTGGTGTCGCATGATCACTTGATGGCCGGAGATCCGGGTGAAGGTTGCCCTGCGTTGATTGCTCATAGTGATGTTCCGTTCCTTGTACCTGTGAATATGCCTGCTGCGTAGCCCCCGGAGCAACGGGTGGCAGTGGACTCTGTTGTGCTGTCAGAGCTGCTAGCTCTAGATTGTCGTCTGTGAGTAAGCTTGAATCGACTAGGTCGTCGAATGCAAAGAACGTACCATTCAGGCTTGGCTGCTGCGAGGCACCGCTGACTATGCCTGCTACCGCTCCCAGACGACGGCGAAGCTCTTCGCATTCTGCGAGAGCCCTATCTCTCTCCTGCACCACTCTCTGCAAATCTTGGAAAGGCTGCTGGCTTTCCAGCTCTCTAATCCTTCGCTCCAGGCCATCGATTGTGTTTCGTGTCCGCTCTCTGATAGCCCTTTGTGCTTCGCGGTCGTTCGCGCGCTTCTTCGCCAGCTGCTCGGGCGTTAAGTTCGCCACACCTCTGCTTCCCGGAGCGCCCGTAGCGCGTCGTTTCCGCCCATTTGCTGCAGCAACATTGTTCGGTGTGGGCGTGTGATCTGAGTTTTCCGATTGTGAAAGTGCAGCGCTCGCGTTTTCGACTGCCTGCTGCGCCTGTTGGTATTCAGGCTGGGTGCCGTTTGGCTGTATGGCGTAGGAAGGATACTTGGTCGTCGCAGCCGCTGGTGGTGATGGCATGCTCATCGCGCTCACGGCTGCTCCTTGATCGCTGGCAGCCGGCGTGGTATTCGAGTAATGTGGTGCCCGAGGCTGCTACAGCTGTGAGTCGTGCGGATTTTCAATCTCGCGGGGAAGCCCCGGCTGATGAACAGGCGACAGGGCAGGGTTAGTGGTGAGTGAGTGCAAGGGTTTGTGGGTGAAAACGTGAAAACCAACAAAAGCTACCACTTGCACAGTTGCACTTTGACCTCATGAAATCACGGCAAGTCCTTTTTTATGTATTCAAACAAAATAGTTGCACGGGCGATCAACTGGACAGACATCGTGGCAGCAAGCTGCTCTTCATCACAAACTGGAATGCCTCTGAGTCGTTAGGTGCCTTAGATGACGGAGGACCATGAATTGCATGAAAAGTCATAAATCTTTCGCATTGGCACTACAGGACATGCGGGACTATATCAAGTTGCGCTCTGTTGAGCGGATGAAGGTGATGAACCCGAACCAGGGAACGCATGCCAGATCGCGAGCAGTCCATCTGCGTTGCTCGAACACCGTAGCAGAAGAACACTGCTGGCGTCGGCGATGGCCATGACTCAGTGGTACGCTTGCCACCTCCGTAGCTGCGTGGACCGATCCGCCTGCTGCAGCATTTCTCTGAGCGGTGTTGGAAATGGCCTCAATACACCCCTCCGTACCACGATTGCTGCGACTGCCCAGAAGGCGCGATGGAAGAATTGATATCTATAGGGTTTCGAGACACCGACACGTCGCGGCTCTTCAACTTTCCAGGCTGCTGGGCTCGGATGCACTTAAGCGAATGATATGCCGTGTAGAAGTATCTCTCATGTTATCTGTGCTCAGAGGCATCTGACTAGATAAAGCCTATAGCAGGACCACGAAGAGGTACTGACGAGTCGCGACTGGCCATCATTGCCCTATACTGGTCCAGCCAGCTAGGATAAATCGGAATAATCAAACTTGTCGCGGGGAATTGCTAGAATCACTACCTTCGACATGCCCTTTCATGCGGACGCAGGCCACCACCGTCTCAAAAGATGTGGACATCAGATTTTAGCACTTTTTTCTGCGACGAAATTCTATGAGTCATCTTCGCCGTCGACCCGAGCAGATGTTGTGTCGATGTCAATTTCGTCCAGCAGGAATCAGACTGCTTCGAACCTGCACAGATACCTCGTAGACCATGCATGAGTTATGAAGGAAGTCAATGGTGCGGCAGTGCTCACGTTGTTTCTCCGAACGAGGAACGAGGAGCCATACCTAGTACAGTAGAAGCGCTGCACGGACGCTCTGACATATAATATATAGATAGCTACCCTATATCTCCAACGGCTTCGCATTGCATTGCTTTCTGATAGTGTCACGTGCTTCCGTCCAGTCCTCGCACTTTCGCCTAGACCCATCTCCTGTCTCTCGCGTCAAACATGCCACGCCTCATGCAATGTCGTCCAGACCATCGGCCTCGTCGGCCGTGACGCGCCGCTCGACCGCTGCACCTACAGAAACTCTCCCGAAGCCGCCTTGCAAGATTCATTCGCTCGCGATCATCTCCGAGAAAGCTCAGATCACTGGCACAAATATCGTCGAGATCGGCGAGAGCACAGTTCTGCACCCCTTCAGCAGGATCAAGGCCGATCATGGGGAGGTGATCATAGGAAGTAGCTGTACAATCTGGGGGAATGCTGTTGTCGGCCGCTTGGATGGTAGTGAGGACGGCGGCCCTAGCACCATAATTGGCGATGGAGTAAACATCGAAACAGGAGCCATAGTCGAAGCGCAAATGGTCGGCATCGGGACTTCGATCGAGGTCAATGCAAAGATCGGAAAGGGCGCTGTGATCGGCAAGGTAGGAAAATATAGACATCATGAAAAGAGGTAAGGAGCACTGACGAGAACGAAGCACTGCAAGATCACACCCCTGAGCGAGATCAAACCTGGAGAAGAGCTTGCAGATTACACAGTGGTCTTCGACAACAATCAACGCCGACTCGATATGACCATGGCAAAGAATGCTGAAGTACGAGAGGCAAAGGCGAAGGGACAGCAAATGCACGTTGAACTGCTCAAAAAGCTCATTCCGGATGCCTCTGCCAAATGGCGCTGAGAACTCTTTTCCAAGACGATGATACCCGGCTACTACACACTAGCCAAAGCGCCTACTGCGAATTTTGGTACAGAGATAAGCCCCAATCGAACCCATAGCGACTCCAATACTCAGGTATCCCTTCACCTGCGACATCCTTTGGCGTCCATGACAGCTCTTTGTCAGATGTGAATACTCTGATCTCATCTACGAACCCACGAAGAACCCCAGTCGTGACAATCTGCCCTACGATACTTCCAAGCGCGATGAGTGTCGTGTGTGGATCCGTATCTCGATCCGAGAGCGTCATGTAGTGGTCGTCGTCATACACCCGGTCAGCTTTATCTCGACTTTCCACCTTTACGCGAAGTTCCATGATATGTATCGGCTTTGGCAACGGATGTTGTGAGTCGAATCTTGGGCCGCAGTGGAAGATGTGGTTAAGCGTCTGATATAGTCCGGATGTGATGCCATGCGGACCACCAACGCCCCAGGCCTGGAACCCTCTTGATGCGTTATAGGAGGCTTCGAGAATTTGCACTTTTTCTGGAGGACACGGTATGCGCTGCCAGGATGTGGTGCCCAGGGTCATGCCACCCCGAGTGGCCTCCAGATCCAATGCCCACGTCACATTTCTCTTTATATCAGCGAACCGACTTTCGAGCATTGCTGCTCGGAGCTCTACTGCGAATGTCTTGCAGGTTAGCATCAGAGTAAGCCATGGTATGACCAATTTCGACTCGAGGTTGAGGTCAGGAACACTTTTGAAACCATGATTCTGCGTGTGCGTGTCCCTCCAGCAGTCCAGTATGATACAATTCAAGTCCAAATCGAAGACGTGCTGGTAGATTTGCAATCGCAATTCTCTCGGAAGTCCAAGGAAGCTGGCGTCGCTCGCACTTGCAAGAGTCGTCATGCTCTCCATGTCTGGCATGCCTAGCCTGCCGTTGATAACTCCGGGAGCCCTTTTCAACTCAACATTATGATCCTTCACATCTATCCGCCTCCCACGCTGCTCCTTTCATGAGTCGGACCTTCTTCGAAATTCTGGACTGTACCACGCTCCCGACTGAAGCTTTGTTAGAGTAGAGTACTATCGCGAGATCGAAGTACAGTTGATGACGACAATCTTTGCCTCGGCCGTGGCGGGGCTACGGCTTTCTATTTTGGAAGCGCGATAAAAATCTCAGTGGCATCTCACAGATTCTCACTCAATCAATGCGAAATTCTTCGTCAGTATTTCCGGACTATCACATTATCTTGAGATAATTCGGAGGTTTCCGGCCAGGATTCAATCATTCCGGTGGATACGTGGATACGATCTGGAAGTGGGCCAGCGATTAAGGGCCTAGCCGCTCTCCGATCGCTCCTAATATGGAGTCTCATTGCTGCCACTATCACCATTGTGATATTTTGACATGAGTTGTGCAACCATGAGCGGACCACGTGTGGTGCTGTTACTGCTGTGTCACCCTGGACACGTCGCAGAGGTGGATTCACAATCACTTTTTGGGCCAAGTTTCTTTCATCACTTATCTCAGCATGGCTTCCTCGTTCGATTTGAGCATGGTGGATCAACAGCGTTTACAATTCGTCGGACTATTTTGAAACGCACACAAAGAGTCTCACCGCCCAGTGTGTTTAGCTTGGCACATCTGGCTTGAGGAGATACTTTCGGTGCGTTGGAGGCTTTCTGCCTCTACAGGACAAGGCACAACTTCCAAGTCGCGTGAAGTCATGAACTCAAGGCCTGTGCTTGGACTAGACTCCGGTGGACCTTTGATTTCTCGCATTAGAGACCATGTGTGTCGATAGCTTCTGGGGATGTGAGCGCCATATGTCAACCGGAGCGCGATCCCGAAGCCCCGCGCCTGATCCCTGACCGCTCTTGCCCCACTACAGCATCTTGAGGCAGGCACAAACAAGAGCTCGGAGCATTCGAGACACTTTTTATTTCTTTCCTTCTCCCTTCCACCTCTTGACTCTTGACCACGAACAACACTCCAACAAACACCGCAGCACATCAAGCACACCACAACAAGTCCTTCACCCGACAAGCCCAACAACACATACACACTCAAGAAGAACATCCACCGACGTCATCATGGGCAAGGTAAGTGTTTTTAACAGACCGTGGTTACCTCACGACCGGCTTTGAGTTGACGGGGGAGCACAACTTGACAACAACGTCCCAATGACTCTTGCTGTGTTGGCAGCCTTGAAAAATCACTTCATTGCCTTCTGCCACACCTGCTAACTCGCCGCCAGGTCAAGTACATCCTCCTCGACTGCGACAACACTCTCTGCCAGTCAGAGCGTCTCGCTTTCGAGGCTTGTGCCGACCTTACCAACGAGGTCTTGGAGAAGTATGGCATTGAGGCTCGCTACGATACCGACTCGCTCCTCGAGGACTTTGTCGGCCACAACTTCCGCAACATGCTCGTCGGTCTTCAGAAGAAGCACAACTTCAGCATGAAGCCAGAAGAGGTCGACGACTACGTCGCTCAGGAGCTTGGTCGTGTCACCAAGAAGCTCAGCGAGAAGTGCGTTGAGTGCCCAGGTGTCACTGAGCAGCTCGAGTGGGCCAAGTCCCAAGGCTACCCAATGTCTGTCGTCTCGACCTCCGCCAAGCCACGTGTCATTGCTTCCCTCGAGAAGACCAACCTAATGCGCTTCTTCACCGACGCCACTGTCTACTCCGCTGCTACCTCTCTCAACCCACCATCCAGCAAGCCTGACCCAGCCATCTACCTCCACGCCTGCAAGGAGCTTGGTGTCAAGCCGGAGGAGTGCCTCACTGTTGAGGACTCCAAGTCTGGCGCCACTGCTGGTATGCGTGCTGGCATCCCACTCATCGCCTACGTCGGAATCTACGGTCTTGAGGAGGGAAAGGAGAAGGAGGCACAGATGGCCAAGACTCTGACCGAGCAGTGCAAGGCTCAGGTCGTCATGTACGATTGGAAGGAGTTCCCAGAGGCCGTCAAGAAGATTGAGGCCTCTTTGCCATAAGAGACTTGATCTGGCCTTTCCTGAGAGACGAGAAAAGTTCAGTTGATACGATTCGATGACTGCGATGCATGGCGTGGTTGCCATTTCATATGATTCCTGATCAGGCAAGCGCTTGAAGCACATAGAGCTGCGTAGTACAGAATCATACAAGAGAGGAGCCTGGTGCTCAAACACTGCATGGATCATTCTTCCCACCGTGCTAGCTTCTCCTGCTCCTTGCTCGAATTTGTTGACCAGAGAGGCTCGGCAGTGCTCTCGCCGTTCCAAAGCGAGGCAGGCACATTTCAGCGGCTACTCCTCGCTCAGATATCCTCCTCACTGCGCTCGTGACTTTGGCAATTTTGCAAGTTTACCTGACAGGGGCGATCATTATCTCAGACTGCCTTTCGTCACATGCATCGTTAAGCATGGACACCCGGTATATGCAAACGGAGCATGTCCGCATCTTGCACAGCTTCTCTGTCTCCATGACCACAACTGTTCGTCTCCGGCATCCGCAGCTCTTGTTTCAGACGATGATTGGCGGTACATCTACAGTAGGCCTGCAATGTCTGGAGGTCTGATGAGGGCGCAGCCTTCGAGGCAGGTACGACGCGAATATGCAAACAAGTATGGCAGTGCCATCCCCCTTTCGCGTCTTGCTCGCAGGCACAGCAAAGTACAAGCTAAGACTATAGTGGATGCTCCGGTGTTCCTTGAGATACTTATTGGAACGAGATGGCATCGAAGCGGCTACCGTGGCTGAACAACAACAGCTCCTCCGGGGGCGGTGTCCACTTTTTCACAGCTCGCTTGCATTCAATTGGTCACAGCGACAGCAATGCTTACAACTGCTCATTACACGACCAAAGACAGTAACAAATGCAGTTCGCCTCATGTTTAGCAGGTCGCTTAGAACATCTCTTGCTTTGAAACGGCGCAGACATGGCCGAAGTGCTCTTCAAGTCCGACAGTGAGCGCTGGAATGCTGTCCGCGCTCGCGATCCGCTGGCGGACGGCTGCTTCGTCTACTGCGTGAAGACTACAAAGATCTTCTGCAGGCCGATATGCAAAGCCAGACTCGCAAGACGCTCCAATGTAGAGTTTTTTGCGACAACATCTGAGGCAATAGAAGCTGGCTACCGAGCCTGCAAGCGATGCAAACCTGAGCTGGACATATACATTCCCGAAGGCGAACAGAGCATCTTCAAGATCCAGAGACTTCTGGAAGATCTTCCTGAAGGCGCACCTCTGCCAAAACTGGAAGTGCTGGCATCAGAAGCTGGTCTGACAAAATATCACTTCCATCGCAGTTTCAAAAAGGCGACAGGCATGACTCCGAGGGAATATGCCCTGTCGAGAAGACGAGCTCGAATATTTGATGCTGGAATCCGCCCGGAAAGCGGTGATGGATCTTGTATCAGCACGCCTTCGCTCACTGCAGATTCCGCAGCGCCTTTTGGAGCCCATACATCACCAGACCCTATACAGACTCCGCTTTTCGATCTTGGTGATTGGGGAATTGACGATTTCGATGCTGCATATACATTCGACACTGACTCCACTTTCCCCTTCAGCTCTGAAGATAGAATGCCTCTCGACACGATGACTATGCCAATACATGGCTGTGAGGTAGTGCCAGAAACATATGATCAATCTTCGGGCAGTATCCCAATCTACTACAGCATGACCGAAACCAAGAATGGCGCTTTACTAGTGGCATTCGACCAAGCTCAAATATGTAAGATGGAGCTGGCATCCTCAGCTGTTGATGTTCTTACATCTCTACACAACACATTCCCATTTCCGAACTTCGTTCTGGTCCCCATCGAGCAGGCTGAACCGGAGCCGCGCAGGCAACAGCTTCAGAGGCGAGTTGCTGCTATAATTGCAGCTATGGAGCAGCCAGTCCAGACCTGATCAATTCATACAGCTCGCGAAAGAGTGTGGATCGCTACGCTGAATCGAAATCTCCAATCGGCGAGCAGTCTGAGAGTCGAAGTATTCTCCTGCCTTCGTGGTCTTGACGCAAAGTGGCAATTATACATTCCAAGACATAACAACTTTCTGTGCTCTATGCTTTATCAACTCTATTGTTGTTGGCAACCCTGAGTAGCCCAGCGCCTCTTTGTCCGCAATCATTCTGGCTTAACAGAAACAGCATTAGGCTGCTCAGGAGGCAGTCTGTACAACTCCTCCTCACACCTGGCCAGTACCGAATCATCAGCCTTCCCATTCTTCAACCCATAAAGATTCTGAAACATCATAATCAACGGCTTCCACTTATCCGGATCAATTCGATTCTCATATCCCGCAAGTCGAATCTCATCCAACACGTAAGTCTTCAAGATCTTGACCTCGATCGCTTTCGGCGCGAAGAGTTGTGGAAGCGAGGGGTCTAGAAAGCCATGGAATTCACAAAGCTCGGCTTCCATTTGCACCGGGCATTCTTGGACACGAGGTGGTGAGACGAAGGTTGAGGGTTGAGGGTGGAGATTTGCGGCGGCGAATTTGTCTTGGACGTAGCGATAGCCTCGTTGGATTTTGCCTGGTGGGACGATGGGTGTGCCTGTCGTGCGAGCGAGAGCGTTCACTGATACTGTCATGTTGTCGGAGGCTAGGTTGAGGACGCATTGCCCAGTTCGGAGGCTGTGTCGTGTTAGTACGATTATCTTGAAGAAGGGAATGGCCTGGATTTCGTACAGATTGATCGTAGTCTGTGACTCGCCGGAAATACCTAACATGCAGCGGGTCCCCAGCCACCAAGCTGAAGACATTGGTGCGACGTTGTATGTCCCATCCTCGTTGACGGTGGTAATGAGGACGACTGGGGTGCCCCAGTAGTGGATAGCTGGATTGATTTCTGAGTGTGACATCTTGGGCGCGGATTTGGATGGAGAGTTGTTGTCGTGAGGACGAGGATCTTGCTTCGAAGACGAGGACGACCGGGTGTTGTTGACTATCATGAAGATGGGAATTTGTGTCCATCTTATATCTCATCTAGACCGAGCGTGTTTCGGAGCAATGTCATACTCCACAGGCAGCAATGGCATATCAGCAGCAACTTAAATCTTGCATGCTTGCAGTAGTGGTCATGTCGTGCGACCAAGCCATCTTCAGAGCTGAGTTCAGCTGGAGTCTCCACGGTCGAAGACCCATCATTCGGTATCTCTGCACCTAAAATCTACGCATATTACCCTTGTAGTCTTCTCTAAAAGTCATCATTCATGCCACGTGAACCAAACCATTAGAACTACTTCTCCCCACCAATCTTCACCACCAACTTCCCTCTCACCCTCCCACTCTTCAGCCTCTCAAACGCCTTCCCAGCATCCTCCATCTCATACACCTTTTCAATAATCGCTCTCACCTTCCCCTCCACCATCCACTTATCGATCGTCTCCATCTGCTCCCGACTAGGTTTACAAGCAAGAAAAACAAACTTCGCCTGCCCACCACCAAGCCATCGCGGCAAAATCCTCCCAAGCGCAATATCTCTGATCTGAGCAAATTTCGTCCCTCCAGGTGTGAGGAACGTCCCACTTGGCTCGAGGTAATGGTGAGAGTTCCAGTAGAGAGAGCCGTCGTTGAAGACGTTGTCGACGATGAGGCGGAAAAGGGGCTTATTAGAAGAAGTTCGAGATTTCAGAGTTTGTAGGACGTCTGTTTCGCGATAGTTGATGACTTCATCTGCTCCAAGTTGTTTGCAGAGATCTACGTTTGCGCCAGAACATGTTGTTGTGACTTTACAGCCGAGAGCTTTGGCGATTTGGATCCCGAATGTTCCTGTTCCGCCTGACCCGCCGTTGATGAAAATTTCGTCTCCGGCGCTGACGTATGGGGCTATGCTCTGGTATGCTGTCAAAGCAACGATTCCAGCTACGGATGCGTGTCGAAGTTCTAGATTCTCGGGGACTTTTGCGATACCTTCTGTGCCTACGACTACGTAGTCTGCGAGTGTACCGAAGAAAGGCGGGTCGAGTCGGCCGTGAACGCGGTCTCCGGGTTTAAGGTGAGAAAGCTTGGTGTCTACGACGGTGCCAGAGAAGTCTAGGCCAGGTGTGGATGATGGCAGGATGTAATTTCCTAGGATTGGCATTTCTGCCATTTTGTAGTCGACGGGATTGAGTGAGGCGTAGGCGACTTTGACCAGTGTCTGACCACTGGAAAGGGAGCTGGCATTCTTTGGAAGTGGTACATTGTTGTCGAGCTTGAGGTTTGCTTCGAGGCCGCCTGTGTTCGACTTCCATGTGCAAGCTCTCATCGAAGTAGGTGTAGACGTCATCGTTGAGTTGGAGGTGGATGTGAATCTTTGATGCTGTCAACTTTGATAGTACCATAGGCGAGAACGCCTCGGCGGCGGATGGGTTTTACCTTGAGCAGTTTGAAAGTCTTCGCAACTTGATGCTGGAAGTAGAGATGAGCTGTGCCTTCGCTGCGTCAATGAAACCCTGAGCTGCAGATCTCGGCCCCACTTCCTTGGCATACCCTTGCAGTTTTGAACCAGTGGGTGGACGAATAATAATTTCATAGAAGGCTGCTCAGTATAGAAGTCTACCTGATCAAAGCCTTGATGACCAAGTTCTTCCGCCTCTCTCATGGCTTTCGATATGGCGTCGAAGCATTCCTATTATCCTCGAATATCCATGGCCCTCAGCCAGCCTCAATGGAGTATTTAGATCGCCATTGCATACCTCGAGATACGGGTCGGCGCCATACTCGAGCAGCACCTGTATTGCGTCCTCATGCTGCTTATAGACAGCTTCGTATAGCGCTGTGAGCTCACCCTCGCCTTCGCCATGGCTCGAGCGAGAGACCAGCTCATTAACATCCAGACCTGCGTTCAAGAGGAGCTTGATCATGTCGCATCGGCCTCGTTTAGCAGCACTCTGCAACAGTCTCGTGCCTTTCAATAGATTGACACCATATCGCTCAATCAGCACCTGTACGCAAGATGTCTTCAGAGGGGCGCCGCGAACAGCTCGCCGTATCGTGTCTTTGTCGATCTTGGCGCCATGTTCCAAAAACCAGGTCAGCTCGTCAGGTCCCGTGCGCAGAGACCACTCAACCAGTCTGTTGAAAGCGCTTTCGGACGTCCGCATTCCTCGCCAATCGTATTTGTACAAGAGATCTAGTAGTGTCGGGCCTCGCGCCGCATACTCTATCGCCATGGAAGTATGGCGATTGTCAAGTGAGGCACCCAGCTGAAGACACAGCTGCAGGACTGCTACATCGTTGTGTGATGCTGCGAAGGTTGCAATTGCTTGCAGTGGCACACTGTTTGCGTTGCTATCGAGCTGGTTCACGATGTCTCTCACGGCTGCCGCATCGTCTGTCAAGACGCAAGCAAAGAGTCTTTCGAGACCATTTGCACCTGTCATGCGTTAACAGGGGTTCGTCAGCCAAAGAGCGGACCTACTCACCATCTGTCATCGGATTCCGAGAAGTTAGGGCTGCTTCCCTAATCGCATTTCCTACAGGGTCATTGATCATGAACTCCCAAGTCCGCGTCGCTTTCTCGTCAGCCGGATGTCGAACCCCTGCAAAATGGGCGAGAACATGGCGCAGATACTCCGGCTCGGAGATTTCTTCTCTTCTGAGAGCTTGGTATGCTTCGTCGAAGCAGAGCGTCATGCTGGGTCAAACAGAATGCAGGGAAGAGCAGAACAGGGGCAAGAAGAGCAGTCTTTCATGTTATTGTACAAACCGAAGCCATACTCACTCCTTGGACAAAGCATAACGATTGGGGTAATCTGTGTGCCGAGCGATCCTGCTTGAAGTCGAAACGCGTGCACTGTTCTTGCATGAGGCATTTCGGAGAAATCGCGCGACTCGCTGAGGCATTTACCTCTCCTGGCAAGCTGGGAAGTCGATAAGAAGTCTACGAGGAGTGCTCTTGCCTTCCCTTTGCGAGCATGTAGGAAGGAGACTGTGCCTGCGCGGTCAGTGGCGATTGTCATCAGTGAATGTGAGGAAGGAGCGAAGAACGAGGCGGAGGCGGATGTTTTTTCCCTGTTGAAGAGTCGTCCGTGCTCGCGGCAGCCGCTCCGTGGGTGAAGGGTCCGTGGTGTGCTTTCACGCCTCTTTTTTGACTTTCGACCAATGGTGCATCCCACTCTCTGCACGGCACCGTTTTCCGCCCACTCATCATCAACTCATCAAGGTCCGGCGCATCTCGTATTATGGAAATCATGCAGCAGACAGCGACATCAGCGCCCACAGCCCACCATTGTCACCCGGCTGCACGTGGAATACGCACGCGGCAGTGCACAAGAAAGTTGAGAACCGCACACATCGAGCGTGGCATCGCGGCGCCAACTGCTCCTTAGTCCTATGCAAACTTGAAGCCGGCAAAACCGAATCCTGCGTGTCACGTGGCCTCTCTTCCCACAATGGCACAATCAAGTCGACGCCGACGACGAGGGTCACGAGGCTGAAGACGATACATGATGTTCCTGGTGCAGAATCTGCAGAATCGGCTCAACCGTCCATTATGGTGCTGGTGCGCAGATTGAGTGTGGCCTGGATCCCATCGTTGACCAACGGCAGCGCCGAAAACATGGATCTGCCATCAACGAAAGTTATCCATCAAGGTGTTTCTCACCGCGCTCGGGCCTGGGCGTACGATAACGTGGGACGTCGCACCCCAAACCTCGTGGCACTCCTGTCAAGCCTGACAAGCCATTCTCCAAGCCTTCGCCGTCGACAAAAACACCCTGGTCTTTGACTTCGCATAAAGACCTGGTCCGAGTCCGAGGCGCTGTCGTCTGCGCAGTCGACTCCATTGTTGCACGTCTTGGCCAAAACCACTCCGGCCTCACGACTGACGGCGCGACCACAATGTCTGGAAACGCCGACTCAAACACAAGCCCCGGCCAAATCGCTGCCGACTCTGGAACATGGCCAAACGCCGCTGATACCACTGCCTTCGACCCGAGCAACGTCAACTTGACAGCTGTGGTGGAGCAAGGTCTCCTGCGGCAAGTCACTTGCTATCTGAACGCTGGTGGAAATGAGTACAATGGCATGCTGGGAGCACGCATCTCCGCCCTCTTCGTCGTTCTGGTCGTCTCTTCTGCAACCACTTTCTTCCCGGTGCTGGTCACGCGATCGAAAAAGCTACGAGTGCCGCTTTATGTATACCTCTTCGCGCGTTACTTTGGCGCTGGTGTCATCATAGCCACTGCATTCATTCAGTGAGTATCAAGTTAGCATTGTATTGATGTCGCCTTGACTGACCCATTCACAGCCTGCTCGACCCTGCCTACGAGGAGATCGGGCCGGCGTCATGCGTCGGTATGACTGGAGGATGGGCAGAATTCTCTTGGGTCCCAGCTCTTGCGCTTACCTCAGGCATGTTGGTATTCCTGATGGACTTCTACGCCGATCGCTACGTCGAGAAGAAGTACGGCTTCAAGCACGGAACCAGTGCAAACCACGGCCAAGCTCCCATCCGTACTGGCTCGGTGGACGCTGCTATGATGGCGTACGAGATAGATCGACGATCAACACACCAACCTATGCACTCTGGCGAACAGGACGGCACCTTGCCGCCCGCTCTGCCTACTGGTAACAAAGAAGACCCCAAATCGATGGAGGACGGTACCAACTCCAGCAGTAGCAAGAACAACGGTGATGTCTTCTTCCATGAGAAATATGACGAGTCTGTGATTCTGGAGAGATCCTTCAGACAACAGATCGCCGCTTTCTTGATCCTCGAATTTGGTGTCATCTTCCACTCGGCCATCATTGGTCTTACTCTCGGAACTGCTGGTGACGAATTCTCGGTGCTCTACCCGGTCATCGTCTTCCACCAGTCTTTCGAAGGTCTGGGTATTGGCGCTCGTCTCTCGGCTATCCCATTCCCAAAGCATCTAAAGTCCATGCCATACCTGCTGTGTGCTGCCTATGGCTTGACCACGCCGATCGCGATCGCAGTTGGCCTCGGTCTGCGCACCACATACAACTCAGCCTCCCCGACCGCGAACATTGTCTCTGGCGTTCTCGACTCCATTTCCGCCGGTATTTTGCTCTACACCGGATTCGTCGAGCTTCTTGCACGCGACTTCCTGTTCAACCCAGATCGTAAGTCATATTCACCATCCCATAGACGTCCTCTTCAGACTACTGACTTTCTTGTTTCGCAGGCACCGATGACGACAAGCAGCTGACATTCATGATCATTTCTGTTCTCCTTGGAGCAGGTATCATGGCTCTGCTCGGCAAGTGGGCGTAAATCATTTCCTTTAACAGCTATTTCTGTGCACATATCTAAATTGAGAGCCAAAGTGGTGTTTCTCGGAACGTATTCTCATTGAAACTAATAGGTTCCATTCGTTACGCGCTCGCTGTCGTACGCTATCCAAATATGCGGAATACTAATCTGGCTCTATTTCCCTTCACGCACCGCTTCCATCATCGGCTGGTTGGGTTGGCGCAATTGCTCGGCTTGTCAAGACCACCAGTGCTGTTGCTCGTGCTGTAGCTGTAAGCAATGTTGAAGTAATCAGGACCACGCCATTGTCCAACATTAGTAGCAAAAGCCGCAGGCCAAGTCTCATTGTAAAGCGAGCAGTACTGTCCCACAGCTTGGGTCCCGTTGTACAAAACATAAGTATTGAAGAATTGGCAGGTCTGGAACGAGCCATCAGCCGCTGGGTGTGCGCGGTTGTAGTCGCTTTGCGAGGAACAGGCTGCGGCACAGTTGCCGACGGAAAATGGACCGTCTGTCCAGATCTTCACGCCCATGTACGTTGGGTTGCCGTTGCAGTCGTTTGGTGCTTGGATTGCGGCTTTGTCGAGGAAGGTTGGCGTGCTGTAGCCTGCTGGTGTTGCGATGGAGTTGTTGACGTATGCATTCGAACCGGCGATCACGACTTGGAAGTCTCGACGCCATTGGCCGGTGTTGGTCTGCGAGCCTGGAGTGATTGGGCCTCCGTAGTAGACGCACTTGATTACAGTGGTCGAGGGTGGGTTTGTGCAGCTTTCTGTTGGGTCGGTGCTTGGGTCACGTTCGTAGTCTTGATATCAAATCAGCATTGATATGGAATGAGTGGGAGGTTGGAGTTACTTACAAATGTTGAAGGACTGACAGCCTGTGATTTTGTCGCAGCGGCTCGAGCACTCAGATGTGCTGTAGCTGTCTAGAATGGAGAATCCCATATAGCCGTAGATGCCAATTGCAGACCCGGGCTGGTTTTGGAATATTTGTTGGTAACCCCCGGGAGTGGGAGCTCCGTTTGCTGCCGAAGAGAAGTCCGAGTTTGAGGTGAAGCCGCTGGGTGTATCGCTTGAGGAAGGTTGAACGGAGCATCCTGTGTTGTCTCGACGGAGCTTCAGGCTGGTGTCTGATGGAGAGGCCTGAACAGCTGCAGAGACAGATGCAGCGGCTGCAGCTGTATTGACGGACAGTGTTGTCTCAGCAGCGGCAGCATTGACGACTGGAATGGAGGCTGTTGGTACTGGTTCCAAGGCATCGATAGCAGCCCAGTCAAAGCCTTGTGGAACCGGATTGGCAACAGCACTCCCAAGGAGAAGTGCTCCCACAGCGTAGGATAGCATGTTGAATAGATTGAGTCTGGAACTGCTCCCGATAATGCAATTGAGAATCGAGCAAGGGTGTGACGGCTACAGTACGAGCGACTTGTGATGTGATGAACGAGATCGCGATGAAGGGAGATGCGCTGTAAGTTATATGCATTGCGGGAATTGGGACGATATCGGTCCAGCCCTGGTGGTATCGTGCCTCGCGTAGCATAGCCGGCCTATCCTGAGTCTAAAACCGCGGTGGCTGCCGTCTAGGCGTGCTTTTAGTCTTCGGTATAGGCGATGGCATCAGACAATTCCCTTGGTGAGGATCAAAACAGCGGCAGGAAGAACGCTTCCCATCTCGACATTGTGCTGCTATCGAGGACTCAAGACCGGCTTGGCGACTGCGCCAGACCAAGTCTCAGCTCACGAGAGCAAGACTTGTGCTAGTTGCTAAGGGTTTAGAGTAACTAAAGACCGTATTAGATTGACTCGAAGGAAGTCGCGTGCCGTCTCAGAATCCACGTAGCTTGTGATATCGAGCTGCCCACGTTTATTATAGGGCGACAAGAAGATTCTAGCTCGAAAGCTGAAGCATAATGTCTCCACTTGTGGAAATGCTACTCAGCATGCTTACCCATTTCGTCTCACACATTCTCAATCTGGCTGTAGCGGGTTGCTAGAAGCGCACCGAGTAAGGCCGTAACGGCACAGTGTTGTGTCCCTTCGAGCATGGTTTTCGTTTCCCAAGGGCTTGGCTATGGAGCTGGTCTCTTGTACGTCTTGTCATTGCATCATGGATTTTTGTATTTTGATATGTCAGGCAGAGTGTGCCGGCGTAAACTAGGATTTGCGGACAGAAGACACAGTTCGGTCATTTGAGAGACGGACTCGTCGACTGACGTTGTTCAAAGTGCCAAGCCAGCCGCATGGGGCAAAGCCGCCACACGTGGCGTCGCAAGGCACGACAGTTTCGAACCTTGGAAACTTTTCCAACTTTTGGTTCGACAGTAACTTCGACTGCCGCGAACTCTGCTGAAGCCTCCTTTGCACAAGTTTTCTATCGGCATCGCGCGGAAGAGGTGCGGTGGAGATAAAGGGCCATGAGACGCGTTGCCTGACTACACCGACTTTACGCCTCAAGATCAGAGTTCGTGGCGAGGGGAGGAGGAGCGCGAGGATCAATCGTCAATGATGTGGTCAGGAACAGTCCCTGGCAGCTGGGAGAAAAAGACTTCGGTTGCCGAGACAGAACCAGGGCGAGATCCCTTGGTGCCTGGGCAAACAGTTCAGGTACGGTAGACTACTGAGATAGTGGACGTCAGCTTCACTTCGACTATGCAGCGCACCTCCCGCTGAGGTTCATGCACTGACAATGATGGTACACTTTGCCGCCACGAGACCGGAGACAAGAGACAGTGCTTTCTCCATCTAGGACTTCATCTATGATACTGAATCCATAGGCAGCGGGCCAATATCACGAACGACACTGCCTCATCGCCTTAGCATGTCTGGAGAACCCTATCACTCATCAGCTGGCGGGAATGTCACAGGCTCCAGACAAATTCGGCCTCGAGACTCATCTGTACGCCGCCGGAATCTCAGCTCAGTTTCAACCCACTTCGTTCTGCGGCATGACAGCGTATTGCTGTCCATCCAAGCATTTACCAAGGCATTCGAGACCGTGGGACTTGAAAGCCGAGCTTTTGTAATTGGAGCATGACTTCTTATTGGCATCCAGCACAGGGGTGTGTCGTTGCTGTAAGAAATGTCATTTTATATTTGTGGTCAGGTAGCAATGACCGTAGCATAAAGCTCTAGACTATTCGTGCCCCTGCCAGGACTGCCGAAAGATCTAGAGCAAAACCCCATGCCCTCGATCGCGTGAGGATGAATGTGCGATCGTTTCTCCATAAAATACCTATACACTACAGCTCCATAGCATTACGCCACGCTGGACATGCAACGCAGAATCTGGGTATCTCTGAAAAGTAACAAAGCTAGTGGAAAGCAAAATCGCAAACGACCATATCACTCTCCAGTCAGGTCGATGCATTCGATACCTGAGTCAGTCGACGCTCGCGCACGTTTCCTTGCTGGGCCCTCGCCAGTAACGAGGACGCCCTCGTGGTCGCTCTCGTCGTCGACATTCAGGGTATCAGATCGGTTGCGCTTCTCGCGCTTTATTTCCTTCTTGATGGCAGCCTGAAGTTTCTCGCGCTCTCGCATGCGGCGAACAAGCTCACGCGCCTCCTCCGGGGTAAGGTCGTCTGGGTCACGGTCTTCAAGAGGCGTTGGAGAAGGAGACCGTGGGATGATACCTTCGATTTGAAGATCTCCTATGAGAATGTAAGTAAGGAGCATAGATTGGGATTGAAGAAGCTACTGACGCCTGGAACGATACTTGAACTTGTAAGTTGCGAACGGCTCGGGTCCGTACGGTCTGTCCGTTGATTGCATGGTCACTTGAGAGCCTCCTCGCAGCTCTTGCGGTCCGAGCCTGACGACAGTTAATGGATACCCACTTGCATATGAGCTGGCACTTACGTAGCATGGTTCGAGATGGAACGTCCTTTCAAGCACTTCTCATTGATGTTCGATGCAAAGGCAGACTCGAAGCGAGAGTCATCTTGGACGACGCGTGGCTTGCCTCGTGGCCTCTCGAAGATGCAGTCAACCTGGACTTCGCCCAAACTTTTGAAGGCTTCGACCTTCTCCCCGCCTAGTGGTCCGTCATCTATATCATGTTAGCAGAGGACGCAGAATCATTCTTCATTCGCTCACTGGTTTGGAGCGGGGCGAATTGGAATCGCTCGATGACTGTGCCGCGGCTGGTGTTCCTCTCGCGGCCTTCAAAAGACCATGTAGCTTTTCCATGGTGCATCCTTTCCAGACTGCATAACCTGCCAACCACGTACTTGCCGTCAAGCCGTATTGAAACCCCCAGTCTATCCAGCGGAGAAGGCGCGATATTCTCTCTCGCGGTCACGCGCACCATGAAGTTCGAGCCCTCGTCCACCTCAACGTAGGACGAAGCGGAATTTCCCAAAGTCGAGTCCTCATCTTCGTACTCATGGAGCACTTGTCCAGCTACAGTGAGCTCGACGGTCAAACCTTCGGTCGTAAGGGTCTTCATCTCGAACGTGGTTGCATGAGGTTGCGACGGAGCGAAGTGGGTGTGCCTCGTGCAGGACTAATTCGTTTGTGGTGCGAGACGGGTTATGTAGAAGTCGAGCAGTTGCATTGATTCGACAGGTCCATCACGTCGAGTGCAAGGGTACGCGATTTAAGGTTTCCCGACGCGTTTGTCACGTGACCGTGCATCTTGTCTCGCCCGTCACTTCACTTCTCCATCCTACTTCACACTCACATCTTCGCGGATGGAAGGCCACATGTCCGTCAGACGAAGTTGGTCTGAAGCCGTGTCAGGCCTGCAGCGTTGCCTGGAGCTCTGCAACACCTTGCGCCGATCAGCGCCTCGGCAAAGCACAGTCGCCTCCTGCCGTGCCGCCCATGCATCTCTCCTTTGCCGACCTCACCTCTCCAACTCTACAACAGCCTAGGTCAGGATGGAGGTGTATCGCCGGACATTGGCACGACGAAGATCTACATCCATTAAACGCCAATTGATCGATGTAACTGTCTGCAGCACGTCACTTCTTCGCTAGGACTTTTTGTGCCCTCCATTGTCTCCATTCTCATATAGACCACCATCCTCTTTTACCAGGCCCTTCTTATCGTTAATGATCTTTCGACTGCTGTGACCATTCAGGAGCTTCATCCTTTCCTGACCCTTCCTCTTCTTCTCCCTCCTCCTTTGTCTTGTGCACCGTTTGTGGGTCGTGCTCGGCAGGGCAGTAGATCGTGACGAGCTCTAGCGGCTGAGTCTTCGAAGTGTTGATAAATTGGTGCTGTGTTCCGGCAGGAACCACTACGACATCGGAAGCCTTGACGTTCTGGTTGATGTCAGCTAGTCGCTTATTGAGATTGATTCAAGTTGTGTCGACTTGGCCCTTGCCGGCAATGGCAGTCTTGCCCTCAAGACTTGTAAAGAGGAGGACTTGGTCAACAGTGTGAACCTCATCACCAATATTTCCGCCAGCTAGGCAATCTCATACTCAGGATGGTTCTTCGATATCTTGCTGTCTTTACCCATCTTGACTTCTGTTGTTAATAGAGATCGAAAGCTGCGTAGTGAGATGGTCGGGCGAGAGCTAAATAGAAGGCGCATAGTACTTACTGATGCTCGAGTGGCACTGCATATGGACAAGGACAACCTTCCCGACTATATACAGGCTATACGACTGCCCCGCGGCACACCGGCGTCCTTTGTTGTCAAAAGGCGAGTTGCCGTGGCATGTCTCTGCAGACGACAATTCTTCGCTCGTCCTCCTTCCCCTTGTTTACCCTTCCATGAGTATGTGGGTTTCTCTCATCGAAACGCTACACTTTGGTTTGAAAAGTGTATCACAATTTTCAATGAATACATCAGCGCCAGCGAAGCTGCATACCTTGACAGCTACTCAAGCGCTCCACTTGCTCAAGGACAACACGATCACTGCTGAACAATATGCGAGAGCGCTCCTGGATCACATAGAAGAGAGAGACGATATAGTACAAGCATGGACATATATCGGTATGCCTCTTTATCAGCCATAAGCTTAAGGAAAACCAGTGCTAAGCATTGCGCAGACAGAAAACTTGTCCTTAGTCAAGCTCGAGAGCTTGATAAACTCCATCAGAATGAACGTGGACCACTGCACGGAATTCCTGTGGGCATCAAAGACATCATGAACACGAAAGGTGTGAAGGTCTGCGCTTCTGATATGCCAAGCCTAATAGAAGACAGACATGCCTACTGAATATGGATCCCCTCTGTATCAAGGCAATAGGCCAGGTTCTGACGCTTCGCCGGTCGCAGTGTTACGACGCGCCGGTGCTGTCATCATGGGTTTGTGAGAAACCAATGTCGACTTGTGAAGAAGCGATTAAATCTGTGAACCTAGGCAAGACGACAACGACTGAATTCACAGTTCTCAACTCTGGACCAAATGCAACAAATCCTCATGATGTTCGACGCACACCGGGCGGCTCCTCAGCAGGCTCAGCAGCAGCTGTAGCTGATTTTCAAGTTCCACTAAGCTTTGGCACACAGAATGGTGGCAGCATAATACGGCCGGCATCGTATACCGGAATTTTCGCAATGAAGCTCAGTCTGAACGCCATGTCGCCAGAGGGTGTAAAGGTCGTCTCTTTCAGTATAGATAGGTGTGGAACGTTTGCTCGCAGTTTAGAGGATTTACAACTATTGGCGGACGTTTTTCGCTTTCCGTCCAAGGGTTAACCAGAAACGGTGTCGCTGCCAGAAGCAAGGGTTGCTTTCGTAAAGACTCCGGTGTGGTCTCTTGCTGGTCCAGGTACGATTGCAGCTATGGACAATGCTGCCGCGATACTGAAGAAACATGGAGTTCACGTGGAGGAAGTGGATCTTCCCTCCGAATTGAACGACGCTGATGTGTTGAGGGCAACACAAAGGGTTGTGCTGCGATATGAGGCCCACTCAGCTTTTCTTGCGGATACTTTGCGCGACGTGAACGAAACCAAGATGGATCGAAGGATACGTAACATGATAGACAATGGAGGTAACCTTACCATTGCAGAAGTGGCAGGCGCTGTCGACAGATATGCAAGGCTTCGGTCTGAGTTCGATAAATTTGCTGTCAAGTATTCCGCAGTCCTTGCACCCAGTGCACAGGTTATAGCACCACTTGGGATAGGGGACATGGGTGATTCGAGTTTCAACTTCATGTGGAGTGTGAGAATTGACTCGAACGTTTATTGAGCATCGCTAATTCCCCAGTAGGGACTGCACACACCTGTGGTTCATATACCAGCATTTACTGGAGAAAATGGCCTGCCGGTCGGGTTATCAGTGATTGCAGGCAGATATCAAGACCAGTATCTCCTCAAAATCTGCAAGGTCCTCGCCAATCCCTTGATGGCTGAGGGTGGTTGGAACGTGATAGAGACAGCTGCTGGGACCAAGTTATGACGCAAGGCTCCTTCGATAGGCCCACGAGGAGTCGGGCGACATCGCCTCTGAGCTTTGTCAAAAGAATGCCTCGATCGAAGCAGTGACCATTGCCATTGCATAGAACTCTGGTCCCTCTGGCCTGCACAACAATCGAAACGAGAGCCGTGCTGCAACTTTGGCCGACCTTCCTACGTCAGCTGCACCGGAATTGCCTGTACCAACGATATCATTTCTATAGCTCTTAACGATAGACACCTTAAGCTATAACTTGGCTACCGTCTACAGTATGCCAAAAGCCGTGGGTTTTGTTGACAAAGCGGCGGTAAGGTAATATTTGAACGACGGCTGATAAGAGGTTGGGCAGCGGTGGAGACGAAGGTCCGTCGATTCGGGGCGGTGATTGATCCTTTCGCATAGTCATAGCAGCCTCCATAGAAGTCAGCCAGGAGTCGCGTCCCATATTGGAATTCACATGCAAGCGATGCTGACTGGAAATTTGGCACTGATTCCTCGATCGTTGCAACGGGATCAGTGAAGTGATGCCCTGTAGGTAAATAATGGCGTTGTTCAGACGATTTGTGAGTTCATCGCGGTTGTCCATGCTTTTGTTCGACTCAGACCGTTGGAAAATACTTATGAGGTATCTTTCCTCGTATAGCCCATGGGCACTGTGATGGGCGTGAAGGCTACTTCACGGTCGTGAGTTTCGAGCCTCCGACCGCGAGCATTACAACTATGTCTGAGAGCGCGTATGAATTGGCCAATTTTGCAAGACTGCGGACATCGTGTCGCATGCGACATCGTCGAGCCATTCGACCACAGGCTCCGATCGCAGAGGTCCATGTCGGTTGGGACGGCTTAGGAGTGAAGCGGCTGCAGCAATTAGCGCCCTCGCTGCGGCATTTTCGACCTCTTGATAGTACGGTGCCAAATTTCATCGTCGCTGGACGGCCGCGTCGCAGGCGGAAGTCGTTATAGGGGATCGAGGGATCGCGTTGCAGTCGAGGGAGGAGGAGATGGAACGCTATGAGGTTAGAGGTTAGGCCCGGCGGCGACCGCAGGCTGCATCTGCGAGCGTCGAGGTCGTCGCCCCCGGTGGTCGCGGCACCGTTCGACGGAGGGTGCAGAGACGCGCCCGAGGTGAGAACGCGAGAGGCGAGAGAGGGGAAGGGAAGGCAGATATGTGTCTTGGATGTCACGAGCACGCGGTCATGAAAGCTCGAGCGACCGTCATTGGCGGATCGGTCCGACCCCGAAGTGAATGACCAAGCGACGGATGATCCTACTCTGGTATAGTATCTGTCTTGCATCCTTCCCCCATCGCGAACGCGACAGCCGAATCCCTGATGCTACGCCATGGGAGTGCATTCGTAGCAATCATTGCGCAGACTCTTGTTAAGCTTCTATCACTTCAGCATCAGTAAATCTGTAGAATGGACGACCCGACTTGCCGATAGCGTTTGTCAAGGATAGCACGCAAGGCTCTTGGCTCGGGTAAAGCTGTCGATCTCAGCATGAACAACGTGGGACCTTCGCCTCAACAACACGCCGCACCGAAACAGCTGGTACCTATTGCACCAGCCAGCCATGTGTCGCCAACGCAGCAGAATGGAGTCGAGCAGGGGCCGCTTATGCCATTTACCTGTGTGACTTGTGCTCGCAGAAAGGTGCGCTGCGACAAGGTTCCTGCTCCATGTGGCGCATGCAAGAAAGGCCGTCTTGAATGCTTCTACCAAGAGCCTCCACCCAGGAAGCGGAAACGAAAGCCAGTTGATGATCTCCAGGAAAGACTAGACAAATACGAGAAGCTGCTTATCGACTACGGTATTCTGCCTAAGGAAGGAGAGTCTTCAATATCGCCGACAGAAGCCAACGCTATCCCGACAACAAATCACTCCAAGAACACTGAAGATAACAGGGACATCAGGAATCCTGGTGATGAGCTCGGATTCCGATCGGTCACCGGCAGCAAGGAAGCCATTCTGCTTCGAGGCGAAGGCAAGACCAGGTACATCGACAGTGGTATCTGGCGGAAGCTTGGCGAAGAACTTCATCCATCATCGGATGAGGATGGCCCAGACGATGACGAGCAGACCGAAGCCCCGTACTCTGCTGGAGCGGCCGATCCAGCTTCAGCAGCGTTCTTCAGTCCGTCTACCTCGATACAGAGTCTGATTAACGTTCACCCTACCTACGATGTGGCGATGAAGCTGTGGAAGCTCTACGTGCGAAATGTTGAGCCTATAATAAAAGTCGTCCATCAGCCTACGACTCAAGATATCATTCAACGAGCAGCAACCAACCCGAGCGGGATGTCGAAAGTCACAGAGTGCTTGGTTTTTTCGATATACCATTTTGCTATCGCATCCACACCACCATCGGAGTGCGAGGAGATTTTTGGATCATGTTGGAACACTTTACGGAAGAGATACCATGACGCCACAAGACAGTCGCTAGTAGCAGTCCACTTTCTAAGGACTACTGAGCTAGCTGTTCTGCAAGCCTATACGCTTTTGCTCTTATCGGTTCGGAACCAGTACGACCCTCACACATTCTGGATACTTACAGGAATTGCAGTCAGAATCGGGCAAAGAATGGGCTTGCATCGCGATGGCGAGGATATGGGACTGTCACCCTTTGACGTGCAGATGCGACGCCGCTTATTTTGGCAACTACTGCCGCTGGATGGTCTTTCTGGACAACTGTCTGGCACAGGCATTGCAATTTCGGCTGACTCCTGGGACACAAAACAAGCGCTAAATGTCAACGACGAGGACATATGGCCTGGTATGGAAGTGCCTCCAGTTGAGAAGAAGGGTGCTACAGACATGATCTTCTGCCGGGCTCGCAGCGAAATAGGCAAGTTTCACCAAAAGATCAAGCCTGCCCTGGGCAACTGGTCTAAGCTCTGGGAGGCTAAGGACCTTCCCCTGATCCATGATGCGCTACAAGAACTTGAGGACATGATGGAAGAGAGGTATATCCGATACTGCGATATATCGATTCCCATACATTGCCTCACGCTCGGCTTGGCTCGAGGTGCGATCAACTCAGCTCGATTACGGATCCGGGTGGGACGAGCGAAAATCGATGGAGCAAGTGCAGAGGAACGCAAAGACATTTACAAACTCGGGTTGAAAGTGCTTGATCTGGATGTTTCAATCATGGGCAATGGTAACTTGAGCAGATTCCATTGGCATATGCGAGCATTCTTCCAATGGGACTCTCTTATCTGGCTTTTGACTGAAGTGCAGAGAGAAGATACATTGATAGATGCAGAAGAGGCTTGGCAGAAGGTCGACCAAGTCTTCGCTCATCACCCGGAACTTACGACGTGGAAGCGCTCGATCGACGTTGCCTTGGCGAGACTCGTGATGAAGTCATGGAATAACATGAAATGGAAAGACAATATGGCCAGGTCGTGGCCGTTTGTAGAGAATTTGCGGGAGGCATTCGAACGAAAGCAAGCTTCCAGAGCAAGCAGCAGCGATGCTTCGAAGCACACGCCTGTAAACCCGTTCGATCCTGCTTCTGATGCCTTGGACGACATCCCGATTGACAACTATCTCACTGCAACTGCGATGCCTTGGGGCTACGCTAGTCATGGTCTCGTACCGGAGACGAATGCCGCAGCGGATCTAGACTGGATGCTCTGGGATCAGCTGACCTGGGATCCGAATGCTCAAGGCATCCACCTTTTCCCCGGATCATAGTGCTCGAATTGGAATTTATGCTCCACTCAGTCACGCGTGCCATTGACACATTCATCAGAAGATGGATCGTTGGCTATATGCTGTATGTATATGACCCAATCTAACTCGAATCGCCTTTTGTGCTCGTCCCTGTGGCTCTTGCTACCTGCTCCTACGTCACCATGCAAGACATACGCGAAGAAGGCGGCGAATGGGCGGCAGAGCGAGCATTCCGAGCTTGCGATCCGTGTGTCATATCGACGCTCAGATGCGATATCTCAAGGTCAAGTCGATGTAGAACTGCTTCGTTAGGATCTGCCTCACGGCTGATCATCGTGTTCGTTGTTGCACGACTTCGATTGTGCAAGGCTGAAGCGTGGCCCGTAGCGGCAGCGATTCGTTTCGTTTCACAGCGTGTGTCGTGCGTGAGATGTTTTCGTGCTCGAGCCTCGACACGGCATGGCCACGTGGTTTTGATTCTGCTCGGCTCTTACAGTGGACACCAGGGAAGCGATTACATGAACAAAAGTGCTTGTCAAATGCAGTGGTCATGGAATTGTAGTCCGAACATGCTCCGCGTTGGAAGATGAAGAATGTTGAGGAAGAAAAAGGTCTCGACCGACTCTCCACCCGGCCGGCTCGTGGGAAGATTCAAGGTTAGGGTTGAAAAGTTCGCCAAGCAAACACGTGGAGCGCGCGAAGTCTGAGCCAATCGGGCGGCAGTCAAGGGGACCGAAAGATTCTTTCGACTGCAGCAGTGCCCAGCTCGCTTCTGCTCACACCTTCCATCCTCCCGATGCGCCCTTTTCAGCTGATTGCGGGCTCAGCACCGCACAGTATTTGCCAGAAGGTTGCATCCCGAAACAGACTGCTCAGCTACACCCCTATATACTGCGCGACAAGTCATACCGCAGCCCGTATCCTACGCGGATCCACGCCCTCAGACTCGTGGCCGAGGTTTCACGATGCATTCTCAGGGACCAGACTGCTGACGACGAATCACGCGTCCCAGAAAGGCTGTGCCTTGCCTTAGTGCTGAGGCGACTTCTCGGCATGGCGTCTGCAGGCTCCTCGAATTGCCCCAACCCAGCCAACCATAGACATACCCGCTGCCCAGGCCGTCTGATGAAACTTCGATGCACCCGCTGAAGCAGAGACCGACTCCTCGTCCTGCCTACCGAACTGCATCAGCCTCCTTCAATCCCCACTTTCGCGCAGGAGGACAACCGCTCTGCCTCAACCACGCATTTGTCTCGTCATTCACGCCAAAATGCGCCAATCTCCCGCACATCACCCTATTCGAAGAGCGTCGCCAAGTGCATCTTTGTCGCGCGTAGTGCGTCTTGGCCTATAAGGATCTGATGTGCCATGCTTTGTGCGCGCGGCAGGTCTCGCCACGGCATTCAGCGTTGTTGCTTTGTCCTCGCTTCTATTCTCGAGTCCTGGAAGACGTTCATTGTTTTTGCCTTCTTATTCTCACGCACCCACGCTGTTCTGCAAGCCACTATATTCAATATCGGCATTGCTGATAGTCACTCATTTTTCTGATACCATTCACCACACATTCTCTTCTGATTCACTCTTTACCACGAAGTAACGCAGGCAACAGAACCTCCTGAACTTTCGGAAACTTCGAAGCAAAAACAATCACAACTCTCTACATGGCGCAGAGCGCAATGATGAAAGCAACATTTTTCACGGCCGCAATGGCCTCCACTGCCATGGGCGCTCAATTCGTCATGTATACGCCTGGCGGCGATGACACGGCCGTTGAGCGCATGGACTCGATCATCACTCCTGGAGGCATCTCGGCTCACGTGCACCAAATTTTTGGTGCGAACAAGATGAGCCCCGATATGACTTACGATTCCCTTCAAGACTCCGACTGCACGACTGTCTCCAACGCTGCCGGGGATGGCAACGCTGCGGACAAGAGTGTCTACTGGCATCCAGCACTTTTCGCCGAGGCCAGCGACGGCTCGGGCTATATCCGTATCCCAACCTCAGGCCACAAGCTTTACTACAGAGATGTCGGCAATGATGCCGATAAGAAGGCCGATCCATTCGAGTTCCCGAAAGGCTTCCGCATGGTGGCTGGTGATCAGACCTTGCGCGCAGCCAACTCCGACACTCAGCACCAGACCATCACGGAATGGATCTGCCACGGCAGCGGTTCTCAGAACAAGGGCGAGAACGGCGGTTTCCCGACTGGCGTCAGCGATTGCGACGCCTACCCTGGCTTCAACGGCGCCATTCACTTTCCACACTGCTGGAACGGCGAAGATTTCGACCAAAACAAGCCAAGCGCACATGTCAGCTACCCAGAGGGCGATGTTCAGGCTGGCCCATGTCCAAGCTCGCACCCAATCCGCGTCCCACATATCTTCATTGAGAACCAATTCGACTTGCACAAGGTCAAGGACCAGGTCAAGCCGGACTCGTTTGTCCTGGCTCAGGGTGATCCGACTGGATATGGCTGGCACGCAGATTTCTTCAATGGCTGGGAATCCGGCGCTATCCCCGAGCTGATGAAGTCCTGCCCAGCACCCTACTATGGAAACGCGGATATCGGAACATGCCCATCATTCAAGAAGTTCAGCACCAAGAGCAGCGACTGCAAGCTCAAGACCACTTTCGACGAAGATGTCAGCGGCCCAACAAAGTTCCTCCCCGGCTGCAACCCAATCAGCTCCACAAGCCCGGCTCCAAAGATGTCCATCGCTGCTCTTGGCGTGTGCACCGATACATGCTCCGCCGCCAGCGGAAGCTCTGGCTCTGGTTCAAACTCTTCGCCACCAACTTATGAATCCAGCTCCAGCTCTGAATCTGAGGCTAAGCCATCAACGACTATGGCCACATACTATGGCGCGAGCAGCACTTCCGCTGTCGATTCCGCTTCCGCTACTGGCTACGGCGCAGCATCTTATGGAAACTATGGCTCATACAACGAGGATGTCGAGAATGCTGTGAAAAACATTGTCTACGAGACAGCTTATGTCACCGTCACTGCCGATTACCAGAAGCGCGAAGCAGCTCCAACTGCTGATGCCGCCTTCCACAATCACGCCATGCGACACATTCACAGACACAAGCGTGGCCATTAGACGAAAGGCACGCAAAGCCAGCCATTCTCTTCTTTTGCTCGGCATGTGTCGGAGCCTTTTGTTCTCAGGTGGGAGGAAGTGACAGGGGAACTCTTTCACAGTATATACCCCATGTTTGGAACCAGATCTCTTGCAGAAGCAGGATTCGTGACGGTCTAGATCTTGACGATGACGAGACCCGAAGAAAGATCTGTACATATTTTTTGCACAAATGACGATTGAACGATAGAAAGAAAATTTTTGGGTTTGCTTGCAGCAATCTTCTTTTCAATGTAGATTTTTTTTTTTTGCGGTATCAGATATGATGTATCAAATCTCCGGCTGAATTTTGGACGGACGGCTCGACATACTGTCGCTTTTGCGTGATCGACATACAGCACCCCGAGGTTGCACGTTCTCCCTGAGTTTTTGAATAGGTTATCACCTATTACGTCCCATCGTCCTAATTAGCTAGCTACATTGATCAGCATCGACTTGACAACAAGGTACTCATCGATTCCTTGAGTCCCACCCTCCCTAGACGAGGAGACACAGTAAGTATTAGCTCATGTCTCCCACCCAGAAGCAGATATGCAGATAAACACTCACCTCCCAAACCCACTTCCCTTAACCCCACCAAAAGGACTCTCACAAGCACTAAGCATCCCCAAATTAACCCCAACCATCCTAAAACAAACCACAAATCAGCAAAAAAAAAAATTACATCACCTCCACCTCCACATCCATAAGTATTAATCATCCATGTACTCACCCAACCTCCAATTCCTCCGCAACCCTCCAACTCCTGGCCAAATTCCCCGTACACACAAAACTTCCCAGGCCAACATCACAATCATTCGCCAAAGACACCGCTTCTTCCTCAGTCTCAAATTTATACAAAGCCGCCACGGGCGCAAACGTCTCCTCGCGAGTCGTCAACATGTTGGTGTGCATGTTGGTGATGACGGTGGGTTGGAGGAAGTAGCCTTTTCCGTTTCCGATTGAGGGGTCGGGTTTGCCACTATCAACAAATCAGTAATAATAAGGAGGCGGGAGGGAGGAGGAGGAGGGATGGGACACGTGCCCGTATATGACTTTCCCACCATGACTTTCCGCATCTTCGATATGTCTCATAGCTTTCTCCACGGCTCGTTCATGCGTCAACGGACCGATGAAAACACCCTCTTCGACCCCGGGCCCGACTTTCAACGTTTTGATTTTCTCCGTCAAAGCTGTGGCGAAGTCGTCATAGATTCCGGATTGCACGAAGATGCCTAACAACAAGAAAAAATGTCAGTAATGATGGGTCCTTTCCATCGTCTCGGCTCGACTCGAGACTTACGATTCGCAGTGACACAAGTCTGTCCCGAATTCCTAAACTTGGCCAAAATCGCCGCATCAACCGCAGTCTTCAAATCCGCGTCATCGAAAACAATAAAAGGGGAATTTCCGCCTAATTCCAAAGATAGTTTTTTGAGGGAGTCGGAACATTGTTTCATCAAGAGTTTTCCCACCCGCGTACTGCCGGTGAAAGAGAGTTTCTTGACTTTCAAGTTTCGACAGAGTTCTTCCCCGACTTCTGCGACGGTTGTTAGGGAGGTGATGAGGTTGATACAGCCTTGGGGATATCCTGCCTCCTCTGCGAGGACGGCGAGAGCGATTGCGGATAAGGGAGTTTCGCCAGCGGGTTTCCAAACCGTTGTACATCCCGCAGCGAGCGCGGCGGCGGCTTTCCGGGTGATCATTGCGATGGGGAAATTCCAGGGGGTTAGACATGCTGCCACACCACTATACCATATCACAAACATCAACTCCCATTCCTTCCTCACGCATATTGTCTTCCGGACTTACACGGGCTGTTTAAACGTGACAACTCTCTGGTTCAAATTCGCAGTGGGCACAGTTTCTCCATGAATCATTTCGGCTTGAGTTGCGAACCATTCGAGGAAACTTGCGCCGTAGATGACTTCGCCTTTGGCTTCGACGAGACTTTTGCCGTTTTCGAGTGTGAGGATCAGGGCGAGGTCGTCGGCGTTGGCGTGGCAGAGATCAGACCATTTTCGTAGGAGGCGAGCACGGGATCGCGCTGAGGTTTTTTTATAGTCCTTGAAGGCTGTGGCGGCGGCTTCGATGGCCTGTTGCGTTTCTTGGATGCTCATTTCTGGGAGGGTGGTGAGGACGTCTAGTGTTGCTGGGTCGACAACGTCGAAGGTGGAGCCTGAGAGGGAGGTGGTGGTCCATTTGCCGTTGATGAGACCGGCATTGGGGAGGAGCTTTTTGTTCTTGATGTCTGCGAGGGTTTTCTTTTGGGTAGCCATGGTGTCGGGATCTGTGAGTCAGTTGCGTCTTGCGTAGTATGGATGAGGTGAGAAAATTTGGTTAAGACTGCGTTGCTGTTTCAAATAGCATACCATTGTTGCTATGAGCTAGATGCACTATTATATACCAATCCCACGTGTGGTGTGGAGGTTGGAGCTGTGCTGTGCGGGGTCGGCGGGCGTAAGCATGCCTATAATAGGCTACTCCCATGTCGAAGAAATTCCTCTTTCAAGCTGTCATAGTCGCACCGCCTCTCGGAATGCGTGAAGCGTAGATCATGCTATGAATGAACGCCCGGCGATATGGATATGATGATCAGAGGCACTACTGTCGAAGACTCGTGCAAAGCACGGGCGTATACCAGCTAGGCGCATCATCCGCACCTCTCGCGTAATAGATATTGGAGTGGAATGCACTGCTTCAGTCTTCATGTCCAGCCAAGTGCGGCGATGAAGATTCTGCACTTCCAAGGGGGCGATGCTCAGGCTCGGGAGAGTCTTTTCGCGCTCCTGTGTCATCGCTCGGTAATGTGAGAGAAATCCACGTTCCATCAGCTTCTCAATAATCGAACGAGGCCTCTTCCATGACTGGGGTGCTTCGTTATGGGTACCGATAAAGTGTCATCAAAGGCTGCAGCATTTCGAATGAAGTGGATTGCATTGGCCTTCGCAGTAGAAGCGGCATGAGATAGCCGCCCATCGGGCATCCAGTCACTAATGCCCATGCGAGCCCTCTGAATGGAGGATTTCGTCATGTGCGTAGCTTCGATGCTGAATTCATCGAAGGTTTGCAACTTGGCCTTCGTTACTTGATGACTTGCTGTGGAGGGGTGCAGCCGCTCTGTGGAAGCTGGAAACTCTTCCTAAATGTCATCACCAGACTCCTTCCGCTTCTTTCCCTTCTTCTTGACCGGCTTCACATCCTCCGAATCGCTACCGGTATCCTTCTTCGATGACTTGGAAGGAGCGTCAGGCACCTTTGAAACATGATCCTCCAAGAAGTCCAGCTTCTTATCCGCGAGAACTGCCTTCTTCAGATGCTGGGCCAAGACGCGTCTCGGTGCCTTGGAGGAGCCGGCTGCATCTCCAGGTCCACGTGCTTGGTGCGCCGCTGCTGAGATGAGCTTGATCATGAACAGCTCCAGCGCGCGACTAACGACTGTTGGTGTGACTTGAGCTACTTTGCCGATATCCTCATCTGCCTGCATAATGCGTTTTATGCGCGCTACGGGGAAGGAGGTCTTGAGTGTGCAGCCCAAAGTCGGGTCGATGTTCTCTTCACTCTTGATCATAGGCGCGGGCCCGAACGATGGCAGTCCGTTTGTTGGCATTTCCTGCTTGATGCCTCGCGTTCTTCTCGTCGTGGCGGGTGCGTCTGGCATGAAATCGTCATCATCGCTCTCGTTCTTGACGCGTCGCGGCGCCATGTTCGGGATGGGTTGCGGCTGGTAGAAATTTTGTTGGTATGGGGAGTCGGGCTGCGAATAGCCGGAGGGGAGCTGTGGTTGTGGTACCGACGTGGGCTGGTATGCGTAGTGTGGTGCGGGTGCGGGTGCGGGTGCGGGTGCGGGTGCGGAATAGGCAGTGTGTTGGCTCTGGTTGAATTGGTGTTGGGCGAAGTTGGTGTAGGCTGGCGGGGACAGTTGTGCAGCGGACAGATCGGGGCTCTGGGGTCGCAAGCCACTCAGATCTGGTGATTCAGGCAGGTTGCCCAGTGCTGGACTGGTCGGACGATAGGTCGAGTCCATTATTGTCGTCCAAGCACACGCACTGCACAAGCGCAATAATGGATTCACACTCCACAGCGGCCCGAGCCCCGGGGCGCTTGTGCGCGGCTAAATTGCTGGTGGGCTGGGGAGCTAGTGGGCTAGTGGATTGTTGGTGAATGTTTGCGTTTGCAAGCAGCAACCGCGAAAGTGGTGGGACAGAGTGGGGTGGGCGGTGGGCAGAGCTGCCAGAGCGCGCGCGGCGAGCGGCGAGACGGTCATTATTATATCCCGACACAGAGCCAGGGTGCTATTCCCCATCAAGCGCGCACGGCCCGGGCGACGGGCGTTTTCTTTCAGGCGCTACTCTACTCTGCGAGACTGCGACGAACAACACATCAACGTGGATTCGCGACTGCTCCAGCCTTTGCACCGAACGGCGGCGACGACGCGCTCGTAACCGCAACCCATCTCTTTTGCTCAACCATCGCCGCGAGCCTTGTGCAACCACGTGCACTAACACGCACCGCCATCTCCATCGTGTCGTGTTTTTCCGAAGAACAGGTGGCAGGGCAGGATAATGCCGAGAGTTTCATCGCTTCACACAACATTAACACCAACAAACGGCGTGAAAACAGCGTCGAAACGAAGGCGCCGCACCACAAACCATGCAATCGAGTAGTGGCTGTGGTCCGCGTTCACGTTGATACATCGCGAAGGAGTAAGCGGCAGAGGATGCCACCTGGAGGCGTAATCATACCGCAATCTTCGTGGCCACCCTCGAGCAGTGTGGCAAGCGTGAGAAACGAGAAGCGCAAGATGACTTCACCAATACCAATAATCCATTCGTCATTTGTCATTTGTCATTTGTCATTATCAACCATTGTGAAGCTCTCCTGTTCGTGCCTGATCTCTGTCCCAGTCTGACCCTCTGACTGTCCAAGCAGTCCTCTCGTCCTGCTGTCCCAATCGCTCTCTCCAGCCCAGCTGTCGCCGCAGCTACTCCTCCGAGCCGGGGGATAGAAACAAAGGAAAATACGTACCTCTGACAGCTGTTATGCAATTCCTGGACTTATTTGAGCGAGATACACTCAGCCTGTGCCAGATTGCCAGTGTCAGTTAACCGAAATATGCCGAAGGACTGTCCAAGGCGGATTGGATACCTCTGTGGGCTCCTGCGATGGTTACACAGATTAGCAGGAAGGAGCAAAAGGAGAGCGAGGGCGATGGCGATGGCGTCTTACCACGACCGCCGCGCTCAAGACCGATGCCGGCATCATCCTCTCCACGACCACGATCGAGCGTAGCTTCCTCAGCTCCCTCGCAGATAACTCCCTGCTCATGAGTATGCCACTCGCATGCCTGCCAACGACGGGTCATCATGGCACTGACCTGGAGGAACAGTTTTAGCAAGAACCTTTGGACATTAGTATTGGAAGCAGCTCGAATTCCTTACCCGAATGACCTGCCCATCTTCCATCATCTCCCGAATAGCATAGACCAAACGATCCGGGTCTTCTGACAAGCCATGAACAAGCGTGCCCCAGATTTGCGACTTGTGACGGTACGGGATGGCGATGGCGCGAGTAAGTTCGACGAAACACTTGCGAAGCTTGGAACCTGGCTGAGTCTTCTTCCACAAGTACTCTGAAGCCCAACCATCTGGGAGTACGGTGCCTGTCATAAGCTCAGTAAGCCACTTCTCCAGATTTCGCGCATGACAAACCGAAAAAAAAGACAAACTCACAATACTTAATACGCCTCACAAACAAATCCACAGCCGCATTCATGATAATCGGCATGCCCTTCTCCTCACCAAACGAGAACAGATCGATAATTTTGTCGAAAGTAAGCACGGCGCCTGGCTCGACGTTCCAATCGAAGAAACGGCGGTTTTGGAGGTAGTATAGGACCATGCTGAAAGTTGCGGGATCGTCGCCTGGGAGGCGGATTTCGAAGGGTTCGTTGGGGTCGACAGGGAAGTAGACGGAGTTTGGACCGCACATGCGGCGGAACCATTCGCTGTAGAAGCAGAGCATGGAGACGTTGATTTTCCAGCTGACGACGAACGAGGGTTGGCCGATGTGGATGAAGACGGCTGGGCCATAGGGGTCCCTGCGAGGGGTGGTGGTTAGTTGAGGCGATAGTGAAAGTGAAAGTGATGGTGAGGGTGGTTACCACTCGTGCTCGCTCATTGGTGTTGATGCTACTGGCTTTGAGAAGGCCGCCATGGTGGGCGGTCGCGCTTTGGAGTTGGCGGACAGCGCTGGTGGTTGGTGTCGGTGGTCAAGAAAGGAAGAAGCGAGCGTTGCGGCGAGTCGAAAGATGAAGGATGTGCGAGGTGAACTTCTCAGTCCGGCCGTTGAGCCTTGCATGCATATTGATGCGCGTGACCTGGAAATGACAGGGATCTTTTCGGTTCGAATTGAGTGAATGATGCTGCCTAATGCTCCGCCGTGGTGTAGAGTTGTTCGTCGAAGAGGGTTGATAGGGCGAATTTAAGATGCTTCTGTTAGAATAGCAAAGGCCTTTTCTGCGTCATTGCACGTATCCGTCGCGTTAGATATGAAGAGAGATGCTTGAAGTCTTTCGCGCAGCTCACATGCAGAGCCGTTGGGTGCACGGACCAACTTCCGCTGGGCGCGCAAGCGATGTGCTGTGCTGTGCAAGCTCGCCACATGGTGATGCTATTACTAGAGGGCTGCACGATGAAAGCATGCAATGGGTTCGAAGTCCATCCAAGTCGGTATTATCAGTAGTCTGTAGCGATGTTGAGATCGAGAGACAGAAGGCGGCACCTGTTCGCACTAGCACAGACAATGATACTGTGTGAAATCCATGTGTCGCTGTTCGGCTTGCCGTTTGATATAGCAATATGGTCAACTATCGGCCGTCAAGTCATGATCCACGTCTGCTACCCTGGCGACATGATCTAATAGTTATCGTCGCGGCGGTTGCTGCTTCCATAACTGTCGTCACCATAGCTGCCCTTATCCTTGTTACCACCTGGCAGTTTGTCCTTGATCTTGTCCATCAGACCTCCACCGCTTCGTCCGCTGTCGTCTCCGTAGTTGTCATCATCTCTGTCCTTATTACCTCCCGAAAACTTGTCCTTGATCTTGTCGGTCAGGCCGCCGCCAGACGAGCCAGTCTTGTTGCCGTAGCCTGCACCGCCGGTAGTGCCTGAGCCGTAATCAGTGCCACCCGAGTAGCTGTCGGTGTTGCCACCCGAGTAGCTGTCGGTGTTGCCACCAGAGCCGAAGCGTGTGTCGGAGGAGTCGCCGTAGCTGTGCAATGTCAGTCATGTTTCGACACCAGCGAGGGCTATGCATCACCTACCTGTCACTTCCGGAAGTCTTGTTGCCGTAGCCTAGCAGAACATCAGCAACTTGCACCTCTCCTTTAATCCCTTCGCTCATGATTGATGCTACCTGCTCCAGCAGTTGCACCAGAGCCAAAAGCCGTGCCTCCGCTGTAGCTAAATGTGTCGCTGGCAGACCCAAGGCGGGGCAAGTCACCAGCTTCATCACCAAAGCCATCAGAGGATTTATTGCCGTAGCCAGGGCCACTGTGCGTGCCTGAGAGGTCACTCATGTTGGGTTGACTTCTGTAAAGCAATCAGAATGGTCCAAGAAAGATCGAGTCTTCTTTGAGAGCAATGACATGAGGGGCACTTACACCTGAGCCAGAGCTGTCATCGTCACGTCGTGACGATCCATAGCTATTAGACCCGCCAAGGCCGCCGCCAGTGCTGCTGCCGTAGTTGTCGGATCCTCCCGTGCGTCCAGAGCTGCCATACGAGTCGTTGCCACTAGTACGGCCAGACGATCCATACGAGTCGTTGCCACCAGTACGGCCAGACGATCCATACGAGTCGTTGCCACCAGTACGGCCAGACGATCCATAGGAATCGCTGTCTCCAGTACGGCCAGACGATCCATAGGAATCGCTGTCTCCAGTACGACCAGACGATCCATAGGAATCGCTGGCTCCAGTACGGCCAGACGATCCATAGGAATCGCTGTCTCCAGTACGTCCAGACGATCCATAGGAATCACTATCTCCAGTACGTCCACGGCTGCCGGACGAGTCGCCTCCACCTAGACCTCCAGTACGGCCGCTTGAGCCATAAGAGTCATCACCTCCAGTCCTGCCACTGGATCCATAGGAATCGTCTCCTCCAGTGCGTCCCGAGCTGCCGTAGGAATCATTGCCTGATCCGTAAGAATCATTGCCCGAACGGCCACCACTGCCATACGAGTCGTTGTTTCCGCTTCCGAAGGAGTTGTCATTATCATTTTTAGAGCCGTAGCTGTCTCCGCCTCGCCTGTCATCCTGAGTATCTGATTAGGATGTTTATACACAGCCAATGAGATGCTTTGATCGGTTAAGTACGTACTCCGTAGCCACCACCGGTTCTGCTTCCACCACTGTAAGAGTGGTCTTGGCGACCTGCAAGCATGTTAGATAAGGTACGATGAGGTGTATCTGCAGGACACTGGCCACTGCTGCCGTAGCTATCGTTGTTGTCGTTGTAAGACATGATGTTGATTTGTTTACTTTTGGAGGTAGGTAATTTTTCTGAGGAGGACTAAGGAACAGAGAGCCAAAAGTTTGGGAAAAAGAAGAGGAACAGAGCTATATACCGGCTTCCTACCCTCCTGAGCCGGAGTGGCTCGCGAGCTATTAGACTCCATTGACAGCCATCGCGATCCAGGGCGCATTGGAGTGGATTGGGAAGCTATTGGCCTGCATGTCGTCACGGCGTGGCAGCTGTTCGGCGTGTCTGTCAGCTCGAGACCTCTCGTATTCAGCCACGCGGGTACAAGTGATCCTGGCCTCGTCATGTCGTATTGTCACTCTGGTCAAGCTGCTCCAAAACTTGGAAACAAGGTCGACCAGGGCTGGTTCTAGATGGAGTCGGCAAGACAGAGTTTGTGTCGGTTGTTCATCGCTGGTACAAGAGTCAGGACGCGTGCGAGCAGGAAGCTCGGCCGTCATGCAAGATCGCCAAATCTGACGCCAGCGTCGTTGTCCGGAACTTGGAACAGAGTGGCACCGATTGACCTGGACCTGGACCTGACCATGATGCTACAGCCGCGAGCGCTGTGAAAGCCTGAAAGGGACTTGTGGTGGCGAAGGAGGAGGGATACAGTACGATGCCACCGTGGGTCTGTGCGCCATTCAATCCCTGTTCCTAGGCCGGCAGAAGCCGACATCAGGGGTCGCAACAATTCACTCACCTTCACCTTCACAATCATCATACAAGGCATGTGAACGTGCGTTTGCCATTGGCAATACCTCACTGCGACATGTCCCCATGAAGTCTGAATATGAAGTGATGAACCGCAGGCCAAAGCGTTTGGGAGATGAGCGAGAATTTACAGCATCGCATTTCTTCAATCGATGTCACAATCGAAGGCCGGGTCCGGAAGAATAACGGCGTGATCAGACCCTCAGAAGGCAGAAAGACATACAAGGTAACAATCAAGGCAATCTCAAATCCGTCGTCGCCCACCACCAATAGTGCTCCATGCTACGGGCATCCTCTCTCATGCGATGTCCCTCTGGAAACGCGGATTCGCAGTCCTCAACAATGCGGTAAAAGTCTCTCATGAGGTCACGGAGAGAGTTGTACCGGTTCGTCCTCAGGTTGTTACCGAGAGTGTCCAAGTCCATTGATCGGGCGGTGCCTGTGGGAATGCCGGCTGAGGTCTGGTCTCTGAAAGACGTGGCCCCTTGGCTTCGCTTGAGAGGACCGAATCTGTTTTTCGAGATGGATTTGCGCAGTTCAATTGACATCTCGTCGTCAGGGTACTTGAGCCATGGTCGGTTTGCTGGAGTAGCGCTGGCTTGAGATGGTTGAACGACTAGAGATGGTTGAGCGACTGGAGCGGGCGGTGCAGACAGAGGAGCTCTATAGTCGATCCGCTGCTGCTGCCGCCATTCATCTCGTCGAATCATCACTTGCCTGAAAATTTCACCTTCCTGCGCTTCCATCCTGAAGGGTTGACCTATCGGTGCGTGCGGTGTCGGAAAAGGAGCAGGATGAGCAGGATGAGCAGCCTGATTTGGTATTCGCGGGTAATACAGGTAGTTCTGGTTCAGCTGAGCGGCTGGAGCTGGTGGAGTAGACAAAGGAGCTAATAGTGCCGGAATAAAAGCAGGAGAAGCAGCCTGTTGTGCTCGTTGGTAATTCGAGTCGTTCTGGTCGTCGAAGGCTTCCTCACCGCGCGCTGTCCGTTCGTACTCATCGATGAACGGGTCCAGATCAGACGACAACTGCAATGCTCGATCCTGCTCTGCTAGCTGCTGAGCATACAACAGACCATTTTCTGTCTCTTGAGGAGGAACGTAACGCGGACGTTGTTCATCGGCAAGAAGGCCCTCAAAGTGGTCAATCTGATCTGTTTCCAGCTGAGCGGCGTAGTACTCATCCGGCGTTTGAGGAAATTCGTTATGGAACGCATCCATTATGTTCGGCTCTAGATGCATTATTGACTCGTCGCCGGCGGAGACTCGAAACGTCCAGGAAGAATGAGATGATATCGTCCTCGCTCTTGATATGATATAAGAGCTTGAAGATGCCTGAATGCTGTGGTAGAAATTGGGGTAGCTCTTCGAGTTTTGTTCGAACGATGATGCGCAAATAGTGGCGATGAAACGCGGTCTGTGGAATGGTATGTTGAATGAGTGCGGTGGAAGAAGTTATACGTACTTCACCTAACAGAAGTGTCACGAGACTGAAGCCCTGCGTCTGGCACATGTCATTCATGTATCAAGCACATGATCTACACTGATTCACTCATAATGAAAGGTAGGCATGGCATGTGCATGATTCACCGTCATTCTTTGCGCAGTGAATTGTTCGATCCGGGACGTGAGCGGCGGAACACAACGGCATTGAAGCAATGCCGTGTGTCAGGGCGTGTTTCCTATTGTCCATCTGCTGGTGTATTGCAATTCCAGCTTTACGTTATCGATGTAGTAGAGAAACTATTCATCGGAAGTTCTGGATGGTGTAGAACTGTTGAAAGAACTCTGATGAATTGGATGATCCATCTAATGCTGAATAGGAGCTACTATCAGTATCTCCTCTATGTTTGCAATGTCTTTCACGTTGCAGAAGGTGCGGGAAGAGTCTAGGACAATCAACAGGAACAGCAGCTCGATTGTTCTGACCACATAAGTAAACCGCCACGTCTTGGCGCTTTGCTCGATGCTCACGAGCAGCAAGAGAACAACAACCATTGTATCTCATCTTTCCTAGAGTGGCTGTTAGCGCTGCAGAGTGAAAGAAATACGTGTTCAGAAGCAAACCTCGCCATGCATCTTTCGATTCTACTTTGCTTTGGAGCATCTCATAGCGGACTGATATGAAAAGGTAAAGTACTCGCTGAACCGAATCGAAATAAACAGCGGAGCAGCTCGTAGCTGACTGCCATGGACGGGTGTAGTACTCCCTGAGCCGGGGTTGGGTTTGAAGGCTCGTTTGCCTCAACGAATATTAAAGCGCCAGTTCTCCTTCGAGCTCGAAATACGGTAATCTGTCGCAGCTGGGCGAGGGTTCAATGGGATCATAGTGTGTCGGACCACTTCGGTAGAGGTTTGGAGGAATGGTGCAGACCTTTGAGTTGCAATTCATGATTATCCAGTCATGCGAGCGTGCATAAGCTAGCCTACGAAACGCTTTCAATCGGCCTGCCCACTATCATAATGCTTATGTATCTGCGCTGCCTGCTCAGCGGTGAAGCACTACTACTTCCCAGCTTTAGCTTTTGCATTTCTGGTGCGTCTTGCCGGTCCACCCGGTGATGGCGTAGAGGGCAAAGGTCCAAGGTCTTGCAACTCCCTATTCCTAGTCTTCTTCTCTGCAGGCTTCTCCTCCAAAGCTTCTGCTGACGTCGCTTTTCTTTTCCGTCCTGACTGCTGAGATGTGGTGATAATTGGTCCGTCGTGCGCCTCTGCTGTGCCGGTGACCTTCGTCCTGTTGACCTGCACAGCGGCTGCATTCTTCTTCTTACTAGCCTCGCTCATAGTCGACTCTGACATCAAGGGATCTTCGCTGGTGAGAATGTCGGCATAGTCCGAGTCCGCATCTTTCTGTTCGGTCTGCGAAAACGACGATGGTGGCACGTCGAAGGTGACCTTCTTGGTCTTCTTGCGTGGCGCATCTTCCGCTATCACATCCATTTTCCGCTTCTTAGTCGATGCCGTAGGCGAGCACTCATGAAGTGGCATCTTGGTAGTCTTATGTAACTCGTCAGGCGGCGAGTGTCCCGGCCTTTGTTTGGAAGCCGCGGCATGTCTTACATCCTCTTGTTCATTTGTTGCAACACTTGAGGCATCGTCATCTTGTTTGAGATTCACGCCTTGTCCTGACAGCCAGCCAGACAAAGCATCGTCTCCCTTGTCTGATGTCACTTTTCCGAGCAGGCTATTCGCTAGCGCGCCAGCAGCGCCGTCGGCATCGCCTGCGCCAGAGAGCATCTCATTGATAGCTTCCATGAATGCGGATTCATCCATGCCTTCCAGTCCAGCGCCTCCAAGTTTCTCTCGTAGGATGGCCTTGAGCATTTCTGGGTCAATGGCTAGGCCACCCTCACCCTCCTCTTCGTTTTCGTCGTCTTCGTCGTCTTCCCATTCTTCATCCCCTTCCCTGTCTTCGAGATTGTCCACGTTGAAGCCGCCCGCCTTTTCTGGTGTCTCCTCTGACTTCGATTCTGCCGCCGCTTTCATGGCTTCGGGCATTTTCTGCTGCGAGATTATGCCATCGGCTCCGGCGAAGCGCTTCCTCCAGTCGCCAAGGAAAGACAGCGGAGGCTGTTTCCGCTGCAGGGGAGGGTGGCGGAAGAAATGCTTGATACGCTCGTCTCTGCTGCGAAAGAGCAAAGGCTCGAATTCGCGGAGGATAAGCTCATCTTTGCTCGAATTTTTCCTCTTGCTTGGCGTGCTTTCTGCTTTGCTCGGAGCTCGTTTTCGCTTGTCGCCTGGCTTATCACTCTGGCCATAAGAGCCATAGTCCCAGTAAGAGTCGTCGCCATATTCTAGATCTTCTTGATATCCGTACAGGTCGAAGTCGTAGCCTTCCATGTCGATCTCATGATTCGTGCCTGGGTAACCAGGACTAGGGACCTGATTTTCGGCAAGCTCGTCCTGCACGCGATCAAGCTGTCAGCCTTTCTGCGACCCAACGCAAAGACATGTACGTGGTTCATTGAGCGCCTCCGGCAGCATGGCCCTGTGAAGCTGCACAGAGCCGTGCGAATGTTTGCTGTGTGCTGCCACTTACCGCCAGGTCGAACTCATCTTCAACATACAGCCACGCATCGTCCATATCAACGAAGGCGCCGTCATCGTAGTCGTAGTCGTCGGCCATTTTGCAGGTGTTATACGCGTGTGCAGAATCAGGTGTGGAGGAGAACAAAGAAAGCCGGCGATGCTGATGCCGTCCACTCCGCTTTCGTCGGCCACCTCAAGACGCCGGGGTCGACGGCTACGTGCATGCGATATCAAGCATTCGGGAAATGCGAGCGTAGGTAAGGCGAAGGGGTGCCAGGTGTTGGTGGTTCGTTGTTGGTGGTGGTGGTGGTGGTGGTGGTGGTGGTAGGCACGGGGCACGAGGCTCTCTTCTGACGCGTTTCATCGATCGGCGAAGTTCTGTGCACTCCGCTGGTCAAGTCGTTGTCGTTGTGCTCTGCTCTTGAACGAGTGGTCGTAGTTGGAAACGGGGGACACGCCAAGGAGACGGAAGTGCGTGCGTAGATTACATGTACATACTGTAGCATTGCCTGCACTGCAGGCGTGTCGATGTATGTAGCATGTACTTAACTCCTCACAACGTCTCGCCCGTGCTTTGCTCTGCGTCTTGGCGAACCGTTCATGTGCGGCGGGGCTCATGTGGGCTGACATCACGCGCTCTGTACACAGCATATCGATCTGCTACTGTACCGTGTACGAGCCTGCAATTATCAATATCAATAGCCATCTTCACCTCGCCGTCCATACCGCATTCCACCTTGGCATAACGCTCCGATACAGCATCGCGGAATGCGAGACACGCACGTGAAAGAGGGTCCCCGGTCCACTTTTTCCAAACCTTCTCCCTCCTCCGCGTTGCGGCCAGCATCGGCTTTGCCAGCGTTTGTTTGTTATTAGACTTCAGTAATAGCACCTCACACTCTTGTTACATTATTGTCACGCGAAACATGAATCGAAGATTTCCGTTCAGTGCGCTCGCCCTCTCGGAATCATGAAGTCAACCGTGGCAAGGACCCGCGTCCTGCGACCCACAACCAATGCTGTCCGGGCGAAGCGAGGGAGAAGACTGCAATCAACAGACGTCCAACAACAGCCACTGAAGTCCATCCTTATTGCCAATCGAGGCGAGATTGCACTGCGCGTGGGACGAACAGCCTCGCAATATGGCATACGTACGACAACCTTATACACAGATCCAGATCGCCTCAGTCAGCATGCTCTATCATCTCCATTTGCCATCAATTTAGGCTCCACCGACCAGTACCTGAATGGCACTCGGATCATCGAGGTTGCGAAGCAAAACGGCTGCCACGCCATACATCCTGGATATGGCTTCCTATCCGAGAATGCTGCTTTTGCGAAAGCCTGTACGGACGCTGGCGTCAAGTTCATTGGTCCGCCCTGGAAAGCAATAGAAGCCATGGGTGACAAGTCGCGGAGTAAGGAGATCATGACTGAAGCCGGCGTACCCTGTATCCCTGGTTACCATGGCTCAAATCAAGATCCGAAATATCTGGAGCAAGAGGCAGGGAAGATCGGCTATCCGGTATTGCTTAAGGCTGTGAAGGGTGGCGGCGGCAAGGGCATGCGTATCGTGATGCAGCCCGGGGAGTTCCACCAGCAGCTTGATTCTGCTAAAAGCGAGGCCAGGAGTAGTTTTGGTGATGACATTATGCTAGTCGAGAAGTACATCACCACACCTCGACATATCGAAGTCCAGGTCTTTGCTGATCAACACGGCAACTGCGTGGCACTTGGTGAGAGGGACTGTAGTATACAGCGACGACATCAGAAGATCTTGGAGGAAAGCCCGGCACCGAACCTTGACGAGGCCATCCGCCAAGACCTGTGGGAGAAGGCTAGGCAGGCTGCTCTGGCAGTTAGTTACGAAGGCGCAGGCACAGTGGAGTTCATCTTCGATAACGATAGCGGCCAATTCTTCTTCATGGAAATGAATACGAGATTACAGGTCGAACATCCTGTGACAGAAATGGTGACGGGCGAGGATCTTGTCAGATGGCAGATCATTATTGCAGAAGGCGGCAAGCTACCTCTTACTCAAGCAGAGGTGGAAGAGCGCATCAAGAGTCGTGGTCATGCTATCGAAGCACGAATATACGCCGAGGATCCCAGCATGAACTTCATTCCTTCCACCGGCAAGCTCCTACACTTACGAACGCCGACTGAGACAGCGGATGTACGAATCGATGCTGGATTCGTGCAGGGTGACGAGGTTTCATCACACTATGACCCCATGATCGCCAAGCTCATTGTGTCCGGACCAGACAGAACAGCATGCTTACAGAATATGGTCGCTGCTCTCGAGCAATACGAGGTAGCAGGGCCAATCACAAACATCGAATTCGTCAAGAAATGCTGTGAAAGTCCTGACTTCATCGCCGGAAATGTCGAGACAGGATACATCCCAAAACATCACGACGAACTATTTGCACCAACACCAATCTCGAACGAAGTGTGGGCCCAAGCAGCAATAGGTCTCTATAAAGCCGAACGAATCAAAATTTCCAGTCCGCCGATCCAGCCACTCCAAACAATTGGCTTCGGCTACGCTCTACAACCTCGCGAATTCCACCTTGTCCAGAGCAGTACCGATCCTCAAAAGGCCCACGAACCAGTGCCAGTCCAGGTTTTGCAGGTCGCGCCTCAAACCTATGCCATTACTGTCGAGGGAGAAACATACTCCACCACATCGTCCTACGACGCAACCACAAAAGTCCTTACATCCTTCTACCCTCACACGCGCCTCTCAACTACTCTAATCTCCGACCCAGAATCTAATCAGCTCACTCTGTTTCAGCAAGGTCGACAGTATCGTCTTCATCTCGTCGAGCCGTCATTCCTGAAATCTGTCCTTGGCAAGAAGGGTCTCGCGAATTCCGTCGTAGCACCCATGCCGTGCAAAGTTCTCAGAGTTGAAGTCGAAGCTGGCCAAGAAGTCAAGAAGAACCAGGCCCTAGTCGTGATAGAGAGTATGAAGATGGAGACTGTGATCCGAAGTCCGCAGGATGGGAAGGTTAGTAAAATCGTGCATAAAGCGGGAGATATGTGCAAGGCTGGGACTGCGCTGGTTGAGTTCGAGGGTAGCGAGGGCTGAATGGGTAGTTTTGAGAGCATTTAATGCCCTTAAAGAAATGGGCGATGCACTGCTACTGGAATTGGAACAGCTCGAGCAAAAATCTCTATCCGCAGCTGAATTGGAGGCAAACGCCGCTCACTCCGAAGTAAGCGGCGTGTGACTCCACCAAGCCGCGGATATGCCGACCATTCTGTTCAGCACCGCTTCCTGAATTACCTCACGAGGCTGAGCGCTTATGAGCAAGGCATTTACTACAGACCCGAACTCCTCCAGATTTCAAGACGTACAAGCCGTTCTCAGTCATCGCATGCAGCATGAGGTCGATCCATTATAGTCATGTGCCATATACATACAAGCAAACTGTGGTTGAAGCAGTGCCTACTAATCCTTTCTGATCGCAACCATCGCAATCAGCTCTGTTATGACACTATGGCAGACCATTGAACCGCTCAATGACCTTCAAGATTCGATCTACGGCTCCCTAAAACATCTCATCTACCTATCTTGACCCTGCGCAGTCACATCTGGAACAATCTCGATCTTGTCCATACCTTCTCACTATAACACGAACTCGATATGGACACAAGGCGTGATCAGCGAAGGCTCTTCCTAGTTCCCCAGAATCTGAGGGTCTGGAGTTAGGAGCAGGATACAGGACAGAGCTTCGGTGCATAGGCAGTCTATATTTCGGTGAAGTGAGGTATCAGCTGATGCTATGGAGGAGGCCACCTGGGCCCCGAAAGGCACGAGCGCTTCTGATGTTCCTTGATATCCGAGCCCTTAGTATTTGAGATATCGTATAGTGTAGATTGAACACGCGCTGAGCCTTCTATGACAAGTGAGGTGAGATATAGTCTGAGGTCCTCGGCGCGGTGACTTGATACCTTGTAGAGATCATTTCGATAGTGGATTCGATATGTTCAAACGACTTCTTTTGGCTTAACATCTCCCTCCTTCCCTTTCTCAATTTCCAAACCATTCTCATCAGCACCTAATTCTTGTCCAATCTTCAACGCGTCAGGATGCCCCTATACGCCTTTTCCATTCTTTCCACTTGAGCTTCACTTGGCCCTTTGCACCCTCTCAAGCCAAGTATCATGAGATTCATTTGGCGATAACTCTACCTGCCTGTCCTTGCCTCTTGTTTGCGGACCTAGCGGCAGGCATTCGTATGTTGATCGCGGCCCACTCGTGGGAAAAACGTCGTCTTCTGTGCTAGAACTACATCGCGTATCTCATAGGAGCATCCGGTGATGCAGAGTATGTATCGATGTAGGCATTGGATATATTGACGGTTGATGGTAAGTCGAGTGTGGTGGGTGGAAGGAGAAGCCTCGGACTTGGCGAAACTGGCCATGCTCATCTCACCGCGTCTTGGTCGGTCTCGACCGTGGTCTGACCGTCTACATAGATGACATCGGTTATTCACATCCGAACGCTGAGCTTTGCGTGTGTTCGCAGCCGTCGATCCAACGCCATGAACCCCGCCCTTCCTGCTCGTTGTTGACGCATCCCGGCCAAGGTCAACCAGCCGATCCGGATACGTCTGTAGTAGCCACTGCGGCTTCTACCGGATCGGAGGTCGGCGCATGCTGAGAATCCGTTTCTACTGCCAACCCCTAGCAAAACCGTAATCTACGTGATGTTGTCGCGTCGCGCAGGGTAGGGGTAGTATCAGACCTTACTGTCGCTAAAAATAAAGCTAAAGAGATAGCGTAGAAACAGTAGTATAGACTAAAGTTAGGTATTACTAGTTTATACCGCAGTAGATAGACATATAGACTTATTTACGCTTCTTGCTAGACCTTACCGTCGCCGGCGCCTTCCGCTTGCCTAAGGCAGAGATAGAGGCAAAGTCGTAAGAGATAGTTATATTAAAGGAGATAGATTATAAAGGCTATAAAGATAGACCTATTACTACGCCTATCTATATAGAGGGCGGAGGCTCGTATAGATTACGCTATAGAGCGACCTACGCCTCCGGTATCGCTAGTTATATAGCAGCTAGTATAGTAGACTCGATCTCTAAGGCCGCTAGCGCTCTTAAGGTAGTCGCTAAGATATCTATTACCTCTACTATCGCCTCTTCTATACCTACCTTACGAACCTTACTATATAACCCCTCCTTTTTAACTATCGCCTTACTCTTACCTTTACGGGACTTCTTAGTCGATAGACTAGCGATTTAGCTAAGATTAACGCAGTATTAACTTAATAGTACCCTAGTAGGCAGCGGCTATTACGATAGTTATAAAGGAGGTATATTTAGTAGCAATTCGAGGCTAAAGTAATCTTCTATAGCGAGGCGCGCGGCTTTAGTGCATTAAGGTCTACTTATATCGTTAAGTCGCTTAATAAAGCGCTTCTAGTCTCGTTGTCGGTCTTTAAATAGCACCTAGTTATCGGCGTAGCGCTGTTTAATAGTATATATCTAGCGGCGGATGTCGTCGCTATACTCGTATACGCGCTCGCGGTATAAGAAGTTAGGTACACTCGGCGTACTAATATCGTCGTAGAGCTCTTTAATAGCGTAGGAAGTCGTTACTCGGTTATAGATTAAGAAGCCGCCGCTGTTATCGTATTTAGCGTCTTTAAACATAAATAGCTAGCGCTAAAAGTCGTAGTCTTAGATTATATTCTAACTAAGTTAGAAATAGTAGTACTATAGGTTAGCGTAGGCGACTTAGTATTATAGATAGAATCTATACTCGCACGTTGTCTCGTTACTAAGTAAGCGCGCTACGACAAAGTTAGGTTAAGTGCCCTTCTAGTATTGCTTACTAATTAGCTGTTGTAACCGCTATAGAAACTCTAGTAACTAACGCTTTAATAGCTCGTTATCGCTAGTAGCGAGAGGGTAAAGTTTGCTATCCTTACTCTTAGTATAATTAAGTAAGCGTTAGTTGTATTTGCAGTCCTTTACCTCTACGTATATTGCTATACTATTATTAGCTAGTAACCGGCCCTATACACCTAGGCTGAGTTTTAAGCCTATATAAGAGGCCTTCTTCTACATTATAGATAGAGCACTAACCTCGTATAGCACATTGTTTACGTTACGCTTCTATAATGCCTATGTTGCAGGGCTCTAGTTATTAGCCTAAGTAACCGTCTTGTTATCCTATTATGCTAAATATAGCTGCCTATATTACTATAGGTTATGTTACCCTCGGTAGCCTATACTATTACTATAGGTAGTAGTAGTAGTTTTAGTTTCCGTCCTTTATTAGAGCCGAAGGTAGGGCTATCTCTTTATATCTAACAGGTTCGGGTATATTGAAGGTAGTCTCTAGGCACGAATAGCTATAACTAAAGCGAGAGCACGATAAGAGCCTACGATACGGACGATACCGAAGTATCTTAAGGGGCTATTACGACAAGCAGAGAAACCTCTTAACGAGGGTATCGCTTTAACCCCGAAAAGCTACAAACCCTTAGGACTGTTACAGCTTAGAGCCTAGTCTATAGCTATAGCTAGCTTCTAAGGACTCGGCTCCGGGTCGAAGACCTATTTAGTACCGCTTGCTCGAGATAAGCCCCGCCTAAGGAGAAGATAGACTAATTACCTATCGGCCTTACTTAGTTTGCTAAGACTATTAATTGATAGCAAATACGGATTGCAGGTCGGATAGCCGGGGAGTCCCCTATTAATCGGGTAGGGCGTCCCTAGATTCGCAGCCTCGCTTAGATAGTGCTTAGCCTTCTACTAGAAAAAGAAGGCTACCGCCCCTCCCCCCCCGCCTAGCTAAAGGAGATACGAGCTAGTTTCTAGGATCTAGGAGTGAATAGAGATTGCAGTCTCTCCCTCCGAGCGGCTTTTGTCTAAAATCTACTAAACTAAGCTCCTAGAGGTAGTTAGGCGACCTTAGGAGGCTAAATCCTAATACTACCCTAGGGGTAATACTAGGAGAAACAGCCTAACATACTACTCTCTCGTATAGCAATATCACAACAAACTAAATAGACTAAAGTTACTAAAAACACATTTATATAGCATTCTATTTCAACTTTATATAGTATTCTATTTTAACTATTTCAACTATTTTATAACAATCGAATAAGCTCTAGCTCTAGCGAAAACGAACATCGAGAATTAGCGGAATCCTCTAAATCCGAAAACGCCCCTAATCCTATTAACGAAGAAATTAGGCGGCGACTAGTTAATATAAGTAAGCCTCCTACGCCCTCTACGCTAGAGGCGCTCTATACTATCCTTATAAAAATAATAGAGAAGCAAACTAAGCTTCTCCGTTAAAACAAGCGTCGCCCGCTAGAGCTAGGGAGTAGGGCAAATCCCCTATTCGAAGGGTAGAACGCTATAGCACATATTAAGCGCTTTAAGGAAGGCTTAGTTAATTACGAGCTCGACAGAGAATCCGACTAGTATAAGATTCGGTCCTTTACGAGGACTACCTCCTCTAAGCTTTACCGAACCCTTAAAACCCTAGTTAGCTACCTAGAAAAGGACGACAAGTCTAATGCTAACTAGGAGACCTTTAAGATAGCCTTTATAAGGGAGTATCGGGAGCGCGATAGCCGTCGTATTAAAGGCAGTCGTACGTAGCTCGAGTCCCTCTGCTTAGTAAGGCGCACTAAGGATAACGACCTAAAGAGATATATCCGCGAGTTTATCGAGTTAGCGGATAGCATCGAACAGAGTAACCTCGAAAACTCTTAGAGAACAAGGCTGCTCCTCTAGGGGTTGCCGTAGCCTATAGCTTAGCGTATCTTCCGTCGCTATAAGCTTAGCGAGGCCGATCCTAAGAGCTTTAGGAAGTATAAAGAGGTCCTAGTGTGTGTTAAGGCCGACATTAATAGCGCAGCCAATACGAGGAAGTTTATCTACGGCGAAGACCGGAATAACCTAGCGTAGGTTAGGAAAGAAGCCTTAGTAAGCAAGGGACCTAAGTTCCTTCCTAAATCGCAAAGTAGTCCTAAGACTGTAACTCCTACTATTACTAAGCACTCTTAGGATATCGCGGACTTAGCTAAATCCCTAGCCTAGCTAAACCTAAATGCGAAAGCATTATAGCGAGTTAGGGAGGTTATTAATGCTACTATACTAGGCGATATACTACTAGTCTACTAGGTTTCAGATCCTAACTACCCTAAAGCCCCTTTAGTAGATGTCTACGCTATACGGAAGATCTATTCTAACTTGGATAGTAAGTGCTAGATATGTAGCGGGTTCAAACATATCTAATCGTCCTACCCTATCTAGAAAGAGCTTCTTAAAAGGAAGCTTATTATGCAAGTGAATAGCCGATTCTACTATATAGACACCGGCGATAAGATTGATTTCGAATAGGATCGGAGAGCCCCGAAGCTGCCTTAGCTAAAGACCCTTCTAGAAAAGAAGTATAGCGGTAAGATCGAGTTTAAGGACACTAGGAACAGTACCCTCGCCGCTATTGCTAAACGAGAAACTTAGAAGGTTAGGGCAAAACAGGTTAAGGAGCGGAGCAGTAATAGTACTACTAAGCCTATTAAGGTTAACTTTGTTTCTTAGGATCCGGACGCAGTTACTAATGTTTACGCGGTTACTAAGAATAGTGTAGATGTCTACGCTACTATACGGTCTTAGACCTAGTCCTAAAGCAAGGGCAAGAGCCCTTAGAACCCTACTCGCCCTAGTGCGGCAGCCCCTACTAGGGTACTAAAGAATAAGGCGGCCGACAAAGCTAAGCAATAGCGAGAGTTAACCGCTAAAACTAAGACTCTCTAGACAGCTATAGACCGTACTACCCGATCTAGCACCGTATCTAGCACCGCACCTAGTACCCTACCTATAGAGAGCCTAGTCGTCCTAGAGACTCTAGAGGTCGATATAGAGGATGTTGCTACCGATATTAGTAGTACCCTAGGCCTAGCTAACCTACCGGCCTATAAGCGAAAGTCATCCGATCTAAAGAGCTTTCGCTTTAATAGGTATATAAAAAAGTATAGTACTAGCCTAGCTAACTCCTTAGATACAAAGGCAAACGCTCTCTTCTAGGCTTTATAGTTCCTAGACCTTAAGTCTAATATGTCTATAGGGGAGCTACTAGCATACGGTTTGCCTACTAACCTATTCTAGAGCCGAATCCCTAACGATACTACCTTTATAAAGGATCTCGCTGCCCTCCGACGAAAATAGGGACGAGAAGACTATATCGACGTCTCTTCCCTATAGTTCCTTCCTAAATTTTCAGGTGCCTAAGAGTTAGTAGAAGGCGAATCGGTAACCTACGAGAACTAAGAGACTATCGATAATACTAACGAAGAGGGAGTTAAGGAGATAGGCTAAGGGGATAGTAATAATCCCGACCCTACTCTAGTTTTAGTTTCTATTAAAGCTGTCCGATTTACTAGCTAATAAATCGGTCGAGTAGGACCTCCTCAACCTAAGGAACTTTACTCTATCCCTAATAATGTAGACCTTTCCGCAGTTACCCGTTTCTTCGCCGTCGTCTCTACTATCTATATTTAGGTTACTATCGGGAGCTATAGTTAATAGATGCTAGCAATGCTTAATAATGGTTCGGAGTTACTTATTATAAGTAAGCGTTAGGCTAAATAACTTAGGCTACCGATAAATAGAGACATTTCCCTCGGTATATAGGGAGTAAATAGGGAGGTTGCGCTAGTAGGTGCTTACTATAATATTATAGTAGACGCCTTCGGCATATGCTTTTCCTTTACCTTCTAGATTGCCGCCGACCTAAACACGCTAATTATTCTAGGTCGACTATAGTCTCGCATAACCCGAGGTGTCTAGCGCAATTGCGACGATAGCTCCTAGGAGGGAACTATTACTAACTAGAAGGGCAACCGAGTCGTGTTTACTAGTTATGTCGGAAATACTAGCTACAAGTCCTACGAGGATATCCTTGCTGCTTCTAGACGGTCTTCGGGAAACGCTACGGCGCGGTTATAAGACCGGCAATCTACGCTATAAGTTAGTATAGCTTTAATAGGTTATATCCGGAAGTGCGCCGCTCCGTGCGTTAAGGCAAGTTTCTAGGTTCTATACTAAGAAGATAAATGCTCGAAGCGATAGCGAGTATAACACCGCGACTACCTAATGCCCAAGTTAAGGTAATAATGCTGTCGCAAGTATTATTACCGGAGGCGGGTCTACCCGAACTAACTAATTAGAGCGCGAGTCTAATGCTACCCCGGGGGTGTTATTACGAATCTAACGTTTTCGCCGGCGTTATAAATTAGGACTACTAGCTATACACCTATCGACTTAAGGAAACTTCTAAAGAAGTTTACGCGCTGTTTTATTGCGCTAATCTCTAAGCCTAACGATAAAGAGAGAGAGCTCGGGTTCGGCAATCGATTAGTATCTATACCCTATATAAGAGGGTAGCTAATAAGGTCAAGCCCGTAAAAGGCAGCGTATACATTACCGATAGGTCCAATCCTAGCGGGAATCCTAACTAGCGATAAAAGTGTCTTAATTGGGAAGCAACATTGCTACTTAGGGATAGTCCGTACGATTAGAGATACATTACTAAAAAGTTCTCTACTATTCCTAGGGGTTTAAGGCTAATACCGGAGAGGCTTGCGAAAATCAAACCTAGTATAGAGCTTTCGGATCTTAAACTTGACCTGCTGTATAAGCTTCTATATAATCGCGAAGCCGTATTAGCATATAATTTCACTTACCTAGGCAGAATTAACCCGGAGGTTGCCCCTCTATAGAAGATCCGAACGATCGAATATAAGCCTTAGGCCTATCTAGGTTTTAAGCTAAACCTAAGCCTACGAGGTATAGTTAAGGACATAATACGACAGCGTATAAAGGCTAGCACCTTAGAGCCTTCCTATGCCTCGTATCGTAATCTATACTTCCTAGTTTAGAAGAAGACAGCTCCTAAGGAGCTAAAGAAGTACCGCCTAATTAACGCTATATAAAAGTTTAACGTAGTTACGATTAGAGATACTAACCTTCCTCCGGAGACTAATAGGTTCTCGGAAGCCTTTGCTAACTATATTGTAGCCTTACTAGTTGACGTTTTCTCGGGCTACGACTAGATTCCTCTTTACCCTAATAGCCGCGACCTTACTAGTTTCGAGACACCTCTTAGATTGTATAGACAAACTACCCTTCCCTAAGGGGCAACCAACTTAGTAGCCTAGTTCGTTCGCATTATAAACTAAGTCCTCGCGGCCTATATCTCCTATATAGCGATACCTTTCCTCGACGACATCGGTATTAAAGGCCCTAAAACTAGGTACGACAATAAAGAAGTAGAGCCTAGCATCCGTAGGTTCTTTCTCGAATATATCTAGAACCTCGATAGCGTCCTCTACGACCTAGAACGAGCTAATCTAACGGTGTATAGGGAGAAGCTTCAGCTCCTATACAAACGAATAAACATTGTCGGGTTTGTAACCGATGAAAACGGCCGCTATCCTAATAATATACGGGTCCTAAAGATAGTATCCTAGCCGGATCCTACCTATTAGAAGGATGTCCGAACCTAGCTTAGAGTAGTCTCCTACTTCCGTATCTAGGTCGAGAACTTTGCATTAGTGTACAAGCCCTTATACGCCTTACTTAAGAAGGATGCTAAGTTCGAATAGACCCCCGTTTACTAAGCGGCTAAAGACAAGGTAACTAAGGCACTCGTTAGCGTACCTACACTTACGTCTATTAACTACTTAGAGGGAGCGGGTTTAATTATTGTTGCTATCGACTCGAGCGGGGAAGGCTATAGCGAGATACTAATATAGTATAACCGTAAGGAGCTATCCTTGCGTTATCCTATTAGGTACGACTCCGGGCTATAGAAACCGATCGAGGCCCGATACGATACTAGCAAGCGAGAATGCCTTAGAGTCTACAAGGCTCTAAAGAAGTTCCGGCTATAGCTCTTTAGTATATTCTTTCGTCTAGAAATCGATGCTTAGACGCTAGTCTATTAGCTTAACCGTATAGCCTCCGACCTGCCTAACTCTACGATAGCTCGGTAGGTTGCCTAGATCTATTTGTTTAACTTCGACGTCTTCTACGTTCCTAGGAAGAAGCATACTAGACCGGATAGCCTTTCTAGGAGGCCTGCTATAGAAGAGGACATTGCCGAAATAATAGAAGAAGAAGATATCGACGCGGTTATTAACTGCACCTTCTTCGCTACCTTCTATATTAATGCTATACTAGCGATCGCTAGGCCTACTACTAACGACTAACCTAGCAACTAACCTAGTAACTAGCCCGACGAGAACCCTACTACTAACGATAACGACTAGGCTAAAGCTAAGGCGGATAAACTAGAGAGGGATAATATCCTTAATAGGGTCTACTCCGACGACTCCTATTACATCGCCTACTTCCTAACCTATACGAAGAAAGCGCCTAGCCTATTAAAGAGTTAATACCGTCGGGTTATTCGCTATTCTCGACGATTCCTAGTTAAAGATCGAATCCTTTAGCGACAAGCGATAGTTAATGTACCTCTCTAGCGTATTATTAACGACCTAGCAGCCCGATAAGAGATCCTTCGTTCTGTTTACGATAAGCTCGGCTACCGGGCGGCGGAGGGCACCTTCGATATCCTTCGTCGGCGGTACTAGTAGGATAGCGTATAGGCTAATATCTCTCGCTACTATAAGAGCTGTCCTAAGTGCAACTTTAGGAATAGCTACCGTCGGCTAGGCGAGCTACGTATCCCCGCTACCTAATTAGTTAGTAAGCGATAGTACGGCGATAGGGTTTATCTAAGCCGGAACAATAGCCTCTATATTATTCGGGAAGGACTTTCTCGATAGCCGGAGGCCTATTATTTCTATAAGGGCTGCGGTACTATTAATGCTCGTAATATAGCTACCTTCCTATTTAAGGATCTGTTTTGCCGCTAGGGAACGCCTTACGAGATTATCTTAGACAACGCTACGAACAATATAGCTAAAGAAGTTTAAGCGCTGCTTGTTTCGTATAGGGCGAAAAACGTTCGTATCTCCCCGTACTATCCCTAGTCGAATGCTATCGTTAAGCGTAGCTATCGGTCTTTAATTAATGCCCTATCTAAGATAACTAATAGAGGGGACAGGTCCGTTCCTATCTCTACCCGCGTTCTAGCCCTTCTCTAGGCGGATCGAACTACTATTATCGACACGACTAGACTTACGCTAGTAGAGCTTATAATTAGGAGGGACGCCGTTCTTCCTATTAAGTTGTCCTATCGCACGCATAGCGTTTACGATTAGGGGTCTATTCGTACTAGAGCGGATCTCCTTACCCTACGCGCTAAGGCTCTTAAGGACATAACTACTACTTCTTAGGAGAGACTTGCTCGATAACGGCGCCTTCGTAAAGAGGCTAAGCAGTATTTTGATAACTATAATGCTATTAATTAGGAGCCTCTAAAGGTTAGCGATATAGTTCTCCTATACCGGTCCGAGTTAGAGTATAGTTACTCCTATAAGCTAGCCTTTAAATAGAAAGGGCCTTATAGAGTATAGGAGGTCCTTTACGATAGTTCTACGTACCGACTTTAGGAACTTAATAGTACTACCTTAAAGCACTCGCACCCCCGGGCTAACCTAAAAAAGATCGTCGAATTAAGAGAGCCTACCCGCCCTCCCCCGACCGAGGAGGAAGTTAATGCCTCTACAGACCCTCTACCGACCTTAGATACCTATCGAGAGGAGGATCCTACCGCGATTATAGATCCTATTCTGCCCGATAACTATACGCATCCCTAGATACATCTTAGTAAGCCATTAGGAATAACTTATAAACAAAGGGAGGGTTATATACGTATTAATTGCGCGTAGAGCATTTCCGATGTTAATTCCGATAGTAAACTAGACTTCTAGCTATCTAACTCTAACTCTAAGGAGGAGCTCGACTAGTCTAGCGACGAAGACCGCCTAGAATCATAGCTAGATCCCGAGACTGAATAATTGCTTATCTTTCCCTGCCTCTACTACGTTGTTTTCCTTACCTTCTCCGCGCTATTAATATAGTACCGCCCTATAGCTTTAGTCCTTACTACTTGTTCCTACGGATGTTAATGCTTATAGTTGCTACCCTCTTTTGCTTTTACTTTGTCTATTGTATTGCTCTTTTGCCTTCGAGATGTTGCTATAACTTTATTCCTTTGCTCTTGTTTTTCCTTAGATAGAACTGTACGAGGCGTGTTTTCCTAATAATACCCCGGGGGTAGCATTAGGAAGATAGCCGAACCTAACCCCTCTACCCTTCTAGGACTACTTCCCTCTAGATTCCTAGACTCTAGCAACCTTCCTTAAGTAATAACGACAACAAGATACTCTACTAGAGACTGTTCCTGCCCTAATTAGCACTAGTTACGCAGGACACTAAGAAAGGGAGGTTCCCTATCCCTCTCCCTTCCTAGCTCTTAGATAGATACAGTAACCTAGGCCTATAGCCTCTAAGAATAGGGACCTTAGGCTATTAAGCTTAGTGTTTAGAAGAAGGAAGAAGGTAAACGCATAGACTACCCTTATGTACTTACTAATATAGAAGGTAATACTGTATCTATAACGGTAGTGCTATAGGCTAATATACCGACGAATTAGCTACGCTAGGCCTAGGCGACTTGCTTCTCGCTACCGAGCATCTCTAGAGAAAAGCTAATACTACCCCGGGGGTGTTATTAGTCCCGCTAGCTTTACTACTATAGATTTCTACTAAGGACTCGAACTAACTAGTTATATTTCGAGTGCGCGAGAATCTACGATAGCTAAAGGTTAATAAAGGCGCGTAGTCGCTACTAGCAATTAGCTAGATCGATTGTTAAACTTTAGCCTACCCTAATAATAAAGAAGTCTCGCATATAGCTTTACTTTTATATATAGCCGTTATCCGTTTGCTTTACTAGCGCGGAACATACGGACTACGTTACCTTCGCACTATATTTAAAGCGAGCTTCCTAAGCTCCTTCTTCTACTCGGTTACTAACTAACTCGCTACCGCCTAAGACCCCTCTTCTATCTAAACCCTTTAATTATTATTGTTAAGCAACGAACACACTTTGCAAACTCGTTTCTAAACCGCCTCGGTCGACTATGTCTTCCGGCGCCCCGAATCCGCTAGGCGCTAGTAGTAGCAACGACCTACCTACCCCTATTAACCTAAGCCTAGCTACCCTAGTCCCGATCGAAGCCCTATCCGACAGCGCCTTAGCTACTATAACCAGCCTCGAGCACTGCTTCTAGATCGTTACCGCCCTTAAAGACCCTTAAGAGAAGATCTAGAACGCTCGTATCCTACTACGTATTATTAATAAGAACATTAAGAAGGCTGCTATCTTAGTTACGTACGGTATAAACAACTTGCGTTAGTCTATCGGTAAGCGTATCTTTAAGCGCGAGGTTCTTAACGATATAGATATCGAACAAGCCTTTCCTATCGTCTATAGCCTCGAGACGGCCGGCACCTAAATTCGTTTGCGCTTTAAGACCCTCGACTAGGCCTTCGAATATTAGGGGGGACTAAGTAGTCTTCCGAAGAGCCTTATTAACTTCGCCTACGGTAGATAAGAGCGTGCTAAGCAGGTCTCTTCGTTCGTTAACAAGTATAAGGTCCGTCGTTAAGGCGCCGAGCATCTTTCCTATACTATAATCTATCGCGTATCTACCGCTAGCAAGAAGGTAGGTAAGTAGTTACTTAACCTATCCTTTGCGCTTAACGACTTTACGATAGCCTACTAGAAGAAGCACTACGATGCGATTGTCTAGGTCGATCTTAACGTATAAACAACTAAGGATCTACTAAAAGAGAAGGGCTGTCGCATTAATAGTGCAGGCTTTATTGTTAAGGGTTAAGAGGCTCCGATCGTTAATATCCTTAAACGTAAGGCTCTTCGCCTAGAGACCGAGGCCGATACGGCTGCTAGTCTTACGCTCGCTATAGAAATGTAGGCTAAGGATCGTCGCTCGACCTATAACCGTAAGGTCTCTTAAGAAGTTTAAGACGAGCGCGCTAAGGCCGAAGCAGCGCGCAAGAAGGCATTGCATACTCGCTAGGCCCTCCGTAAGGCTACTAAGAAATACAGCGCTCCTTCTAGTACCGACTATAGTACTAACTATAGTACTAACTATAGTAACTCGGATGTTAATATACTAGATATACTACTAGAAGATGTCTCCTCCGAAGGCTCCTTTAGCGAGCGTAGAAATAGAGGCCTCTCGCCGATCCTATTAACTAAGAATATTTGTAGTTCTTATAAGGGCGACTCTATCGCGTACCTTATTACCGACATCGATATAGTTCCTAAAGCCGTAATAGGCGAAGCCCCTACCGCCCTCTCTATTTATTAATAGCTCGACGACCTTAGCAAGCTAGGAGAAGAGCCGTTCTCTATATATACTAACTATATTAAGAAGGCCGCTAAGGTCTATAGTCTCTATACTAGTGCTAAGGCGAGTGTCCTCGTCGGTCGCCTATTAAAGATTAGTCGCGAGGTTCCTAATTAAGACGCCTTCGCTACCCTTAAGGCTAATTAGGCCTATACTAACTAGTTTCCTAGACGCCCTATTGCCGCCCCGATATCTCTAGGACTCTACGCGTTCAACCCTACTAGTACTATTACTCGCGCCCTTACGCTAACGGATCGCTAGAGCAAGTTCGTTACCGGTATTCTTAGCTAAGGCACCTCCTTCGATCGCTTTCGCTAGACTAGTAATACTATCTTCCCTTAAGTCTTTAGTTAGTTATAAGAGCCTCGTAGAGCATATCTTCCTTTCCTTATCGACCTAATATAGGAAGAGTTTAAGATATACCTTTAGTATATGCGTAACATACCTAAGTCTAAGCAAGGAGGCCGCAATGCCCTTTAAACTTATAGTATAAGCAACTAAATCGTCCGCTAGTACCCTGCCCTATAGCTCTTAGCTATCGCCCTTCGACCTAATTACGTATACGAGCTTATCTCCGTCCCTAAGCCTACTAAGTTCTTTAAGGTTAGCGGTACTTACGAAAACTGTCCTTCTAAGGAGTCTGCTCGTCTCGGACAAGATATAGTTAAGCTCGTAGCTAGCGAGGGTGCTAGTTACCTACGCATTAAGGTCTGTCTTATATCTAAGGATAAGACTAGCTACTCTACTATTATCGAAGGTATATATCAGCCCGAGGTCTTTGCGAACTAGGTTAAGAAGCTTAAGGCTCGTAGCCTAGTCCCGCTAAGCAAGATCGGCAAGCTTACTAATAAGCACCTTACTAGCGACGACCTCGACCGTATGTTCGATAGTTAGCCTAATAGTAAGGGGCGTAAAGCGGAGTAGATCCTTAACCCTCTAAAGGAGTGCGAGGTCTCTATTCAGATACTATACCTACTATATAGTAATCTAAAGACTAAGAGCAACCGTATATTAATTAACCTAGGCTACTCTCGCGTTATTAATAGCACTAAGGCTAAGGGTTACGAGAACTTAATAGTCTCCTAGGTTGCTAAAGCGCACCGCAATCTAACCGCCCTCCCGGCCTCTAACTCCTTCGTGCTATTCGCTTTCCCTACGGCGATCTTAGTCGAAGGCCTTAGCTACATCTCCGACGCTCTAGTTAGTAGGATTCCTTAGTCAAGTTACGTTATTTAGAACGAAGTTAAATAGATCCTCTAGCTTAATAACGAGGGACTTAAGGAATATCTATACAATTAGGAGAATGCTACGACGGAAAAGGCTATTAACCTCCTCGTTAATTAAGCTTTCTACGAGGGATAGTACTTCGGTGCTAACAGCTTCAACGTATACGGAGGAGATTTCGAGAGCCGACTAGTAGATAAGGTTATTGCTAGTAAGGATTACGGTACATTAAAGCAGCAGTAAGTTAGCGTAGTAGATTAAATGCTTAGGAAGTTGTTTTTACATATTAATAGAATCTAGGAACAATGCTACCCCGGGGGTGTTATTACGGAGTTTCTAAAAAATAGCCTTAGCTAAGATGCCTAAGGTGCCCTATATAACTGTTTCTTTGTTTTAAGCGCGCAATATAAAGCGTATCTAGTTAGACACGAAGAAAGGGAGGGATATTAGCTAGTAACCGGCCCTATACACCTAGGCTGAGTTTTAAGCCTATATAAGAGGCCTCCTTCTATATTATAGATAGAGCACCAACCTCGTATAGCACATTGTTTACGTCACGCTTCTATAATGCCTATATTGCAGGGCTCTAGTTATCAGCCTAAGCAACCGTCTTGTTATCCTATTATACTAAACATAGCTGCCTATATTGCTATAGGTTATATTACCCTCGGTAGCCTATACCATTACTGCAGGTAGTAGTAGTAGTTTTAGTTTCCGTTCTTTACTATAGAGGGTATATTCGCTAGCTATTTGCGCCTTGTTCTCGTACTTGTATTTATTATAATAGCTATATCCTTAAAGGGATATATTCGCTTAATTTAAAAGAAGGGATCGTACGAGCGAAATAGTAGCGAACAATTAGAGACGAAGGGAAGACAGTTAAGAAGGAAGGGAGGACGAATAGAAAGCACTATATACTAGGGTAGAGGAGGTGCTAAAGGCGGAAGATAGAAGAACCCCTAAGAGGGCATATAGGATAATAATCTTAGAACTCCTTAGAGGACTAAAAGCAATCTATAACTAGGTAAGCTACGTAATTACAAAGGTAGCTAATATAGTCGTAGCAAAGATTACGAAGAAACAATAGGAGACAAGCCTAAACTACCGTACCTAGGCAGTAGTAGCTAGTTAGGAGGCGCTAAAACCCCCGAGGACAGTAGTTAGAGTCTATATTACGGACCTATAGGAGCAAAAGGAAATCTAAGGACTTATAGGGAAAGAGATTATAGAAAGAATTGCAGTTAAAGAGGTAATTAGGGCTAGGAACGAAGGTAAAGGGGTAATTAAGCTGTTTATAGTATAAGAGCAGGACAAAAAGAAGCTAGAAACACAAAAAGAATAGACAACTAAGATAGGGAAAACAGCAAAGGTCTCCTAATAGCAATTCATAATTATAGCCTATAGTATAATAAGAAGCTTTAAGGAAGAACAGGATATCGAGAGCCTATAGAGACAAAACTAAGCTACATACCTAGGCCTAAAGATTACAAAAGTAGCATAGATTAAAAGGAAAATCGAAGAGACTAAGAAGCAGTCTTCCCTAATTATCTAGGTAGAGAGTATAGAGCAAGCTAATATAGTGCTAGACTAGGGGTTGTTCTAGGACTTTAAAAGATTAGAAATAGAGATATATAGAAGCAACTATAGGATAATGCAGTACTTTAAATGTTAATACTATAGACACTTAGCAGCTAAGTATATAAAGACAACTAACACCTGCTCCTATTGTATAGGGGATTACTAGGTTAAAGAATGCAAAGCATATAAGGGAGAAGCAAGATATATATACTATACTAAAAGACACCCCTCTTAGGCGAAGGAATGCCTAGTAAGAATACAGGCAGCTAGGAAGGTAAAGGAAGCTAGAATCAACATACTAAAAAGATACATAACAAGCTAGGGCAGCTAGGTATAGAAGCAACCTAGCTAAGTGCTACAAAAGAGGTCTAGGCAAGATAATAGGTTTACATTTAGGGCCTTACTAGTACAAGAGAGTTACTAGTAACTAGGGAGACTAAGATACCTTAATATTGTA